GTTCAATCGTCACTTGACTCTCCAAAGAAGCACGATCAACCTTGATCACGTGAGACTACCTAGTAGGATCATAACAAGAAGTTACGGGATTTTACTATTAGGAGTAGTACGTAAGCTAATTAGATAAGAGAAGTCTAAGCTTAAAAACTACTTAACGCTCGACGGTAATCGAGTAGCGAGTACTTAACGCTCGAAGGCTATCGAGTAGCGAGCGCTTAACGAATATCGGGTTCGAGTAGGATATAGATAGGTATATAGGAACTAAGAATGTCTTTAATATTCTTATATTTAACTTATATTATAATCTTACTAAAAGGTCTATAGCTAATTAGACTTAAGTTAGTATCCTTACCTTTATTTACTATTACCTAACTCTCTAAAGAATAATCGATTAACCCTAATTACGTAAGACTACCTTGTAGGATTATAACACTATACTAAGCTCCTATATATACGTTACTCTCCCGTAATACCTTATATATAGATATATTAGAGAAACCCCAATAGAGGAAAGAGCTAATCTATACTCTAGAAGAAAGTTTTAAGTCCTATATTGCGTATATAGGTTAATACAACGTTAATAGAGTAAAAGTTCGTGTTTGTCGAGGGCTAGGCGATCGGCATATCGAAATTTAGCGTCTTGGCATGACTGTATATCGCGGCAGCCATAGTGACTCCTTTACTATTCAACTATTCCAAATTGCTTTCGTAGACATTGCATGATGCCGGCCACGAACGATCTTTGCGACGAGCAGCGAAGAATAGGTAGGTTTGCGGAGTGTAGGAGTGCTGTTTTCGAAATAGAGCGGCACGCTACCCGTAAATGCAACCCACTATCTCACTCGTCCAAGTGCCACTAGAGTGAATGCGACTCCATTATGTCGACCTCAAGGAGTGGTCTTGTCGAGGGAAGCAAAGCGTGTGCTTGGTCTGGCTGCTGTTGTCAAGAGGCGGACCCTTCTACCGGAGCTCCAACTCCCGCACAAGCTCTACCGTGATCATCGCTGGAGAGCCTGCCCCTGTGTGGATCTCCAATGAACTGAAGTGAGTACATCTTCTGCTTTGTCTTTATCGTTAGACGCCGACAACCTTCTTGCCCCGGCAGGAAATTACTCTGCAAGATTCATCAAAATGGCACAACCCAAGCAACTCCACCTCACAGCTTTCATGCGCCCAGTCTCTCTTCCTACAGGACCATGGCGATACTCTGGCGCATATCTAGACGCTAACTTCAACCTCAAACATTTGGTCTCGTTTACTCAAAAGCTTGAAGAAGTAAAGTTCGACGCTTTCTTCATGCGGACCACCTGGCCGTGCTCAATGTGCCTGTTGAAGCTCTCAAGCGTAGTCATACTGTGACATCGTTCGAGCCCTTCACGTTATTGTCGGCGCTGGCCATGGTGACCTCGAAAACTGGTCTGGCGGCAACGGCATCAACGACATACGACATGGCGTACCGCATCGCCCGACGCTTCGCCAGCCGAGACCATATCTGGCGGCCGCGCAGCAGGGAACATCGTGACGACCGGCAACCCCGAGTCGGCGAGAAACTTTAACTTGGACGACCATGTAAAGCACGGAGAGCGCTACAAGCGGGCCGGGGAGTTTTACGATGTGGTGACGGGACTTCAAGATGGCTTTGCAGATGATGCATTCGTCCGCGGCCAGCAAAGCGGTATCTATATCGATCCAGAGAAGATGTATGTCCTCCACCACAAAGGGGCGGAGTTGAAGGTTAGAGGACCATTGAACATGTATTCAGCCAAAGTCATTCGTCGTATTACGTGCTCCACCTTCCTTCCTATCCTGGCTAGATTCACATGCATTACCTCAGCATTGAAGGTTGCATCATTCTAAGACCGCACTTCCATCTCTTCAATTGCACGATGTGATACCCAAGATGTTTCGGCGACCTTTGACGGCAGCATCTCGAAACGTGCGCTCATTCTCTACATCGCGGTCAATGGCACGGTTACGAGTCGGCTATGTGCCCGGTATGAACCCCGTCGTACTTCCCCTCGAGACCAGCTACTAAAATGGAGTGTAGAACACTTCTCCACCCCTCTCTCTTTCGCCTCCACCCACCACTCCCTCGACGCCGACCTCATCCCGGAACCCCTCGGCACCGGCGCCCTAACCGCCCGCCTGAAAGCTCCCCACTCCGACTCCAACGCCATTGACGTCGCCGTGGGCCTGACTGAAGGCTTCGTCGCTGACTTGGGCAGAGCTAAGCTCGCGGGCGAGGACACTGGGTACAAGCTCAGCGGAACCTACGTATCAAGTCCGCTGTGTTGGGCGATCGTTACCGGCGCGCAGCGAGCGGGGATAAATGGAGTGGAGGATTTGAAGGGCAAAAGAGTAGGTGTCAGTAGGATCGGAAGCGGGAGTTATGTCATGAGCTACGTCCTCGCGGACCAGCATGGATGGTTGGAGCAAGGCAAGGAACCATTTGAGGTAGTAGTCGCGGGGGACTTTGCGTCGCTACGCAAGAGTGTGAGGGAGGAGGGAGCTACGCCGTCGGACTTCTTCATGTGGGAGCACTTTACTACGCGAAAGTACTGGGAAGAAGGGGAGGTGAAGAGGATAGGGGAGATATATACGCCTTGGGCGAGCTGGATGATCGCTTCAAGGACATCGGCGGAGAAGGAGGTGCCAGGGTTCTTGGAGGGCGTCAACAAGGGTGTGGAGATGTTCAGGGGGAAGCCGGAGCAGGTAGTGAAGCATATTACGGGCACAATGCATTATTCGGAGGCAGATGCTAGGGAATGGATGAAAAGTGTCGAGTATCCGGATGATGTAAGAGGGGTGGCGCAGGAGACAGTTGGGAACACTGTGAATATATTAAGAAAGTCCGGCGTGCTGAAGGGCGATGTTGGGAACGGACAGGCTATGGTCCATCAGGCCCGATAACAGCACGCACGATTTGAGCAAATCTTGCGGAGGATGTCAAATGGCGGTCAGACGCTGCGAAGCCGACTGCCATGTGCAATGAGAATGATATGCGCTATGCTGCCGCACCCCTGCCCTTTGATATCATCTCCAGGAATCCCTCCTTGCTCATCTCACTGACCCTCTCCTCCCTCTGCTTCCTCCCAACCACACCTCCCCCACCATCACCACCCTGACTCTCCTTCTGCGCCCTCTCTGCCCCGACTTGCGCCGCTCGCACAGCGTTGAACAGCTTCACCACACCTCGTTGCGCAATCTTCTTTAGCCGCTTCTCCTCTTCGACCACCTTTCCCGTATCTACTCCAGTATCCTCTAAGCCAAGCAGGTCTGTCACGCGGCCCTTGTTGAGCGCGGCTTTGCGCTCGGACCGTATTTGCGCGCGGGCTGCCGAATCCAATTTGCTGTCCTGGATGGACTTGTTGGCCTCCGCAGCTGTCTTTGATCTTGACAACACCGGGTCGGCGCGCTTGGCTGTGGTGAGTTTGGTATCGAGAATTCGTGATATACTCGTTGCGAACGCCGCCGGGTCATTTCGTTTTCGTTTGGCGGCTTGGCTTGAGGTCAGGGAAGTTTCTGAGGGTGTGACTTCGTCTTCGTCGGCGGATGACTCGTCCAGATTGTCAACTTCGCTGTCTCCTATGTCTGCATCTTCGTCGCTTGCTTGCTCGTCGTCCTCTCCAGACTCGTCGCCTTCTGCGCCGGGTATGACGTTGAGCGCGGCATTGCGCTGGGCTTCATCTAGATCCTCGAGGCCTTCAATTTCTGACGCTGAGGCCTCATCTTCGTCCTCCTCTTCTACCACTTGCTTCTGCTTCGATTGTGCCGACTGCTTCAAGATCGATCTCGGATTTGCTTTCTGCGGTCTTTGCTCCTCTGCGACATCTTCCTCGCCCTCGTCCTCTGACGAGCTGTGGTATGCCGGCTGTTTCCTCACGCGGATCTTCTTCTTTGGCCGCCGCACCTCGTCCTCCACTCTCCGTCGCTTCGTATTGACCGGCGCCATTCTATTCCTGGGAGTATTGCAGATTTCTCAGATTGTCCGTTGGGTCAAGATCCACCTCACCTTCAAAATTTCCATCTAGGTCCTCCGCCAAGAGCTCACCCCCGCGGCGAACCATTATTCGTGGTGGGGTGTATTGACAGTGACTTCTACCAACGACTCTACAAACAACCCATAAGTAACGGCCGCCTCCATCTTCTCCTCAGACACCTCCAACCCCTCAAAATGGTGTTACAAGACTTGGGCCGGCGCATCAACAGCGCCGTGACCGACCTCACCCGCTCGCCCACTCTCACCGAGAAGGCATTCGATGGCATGATTAAAGAGATATGTAACGCCCTCATGGAAGCCGACGTCAACATCCGCCTCGTCACTAGCCTACGAAAAACGATCAAGAGCAGTGTGAAGCTGGATCAGCTACCGCCCCATGCCAACAAGAAGCGAATAATCCAGAAAGCTGTCTTCGATGCGCTGGTTGATATTGTAAATCCCCATCAGACCGCCTACCAGCCGAAAAAGGGCAAGAGCAATGTCATCATGTTCGTGGGGCTGCAGGGTGCCGGTAAAACGACTACCTGTACGAAGTTGGCAAGGTGGTATCAGGCGAGAGGATTCAAGACGTGCCTGGTCTGCGCGGACACCTTCCGAGCTGGAGCTTTCGATCAATTGAAGCAGAACGCCATCAAAGCGAAGATCCCATACTACGGCTCTCTCACGCAGACGGATCCTGTGGTTGTCGCCCGAGACGGTGTGGCCAAGTTCAAGAAGGAGCGATTCGAAATTATCATTGTAGACACCAGCGGTCGCCATCACCAGGAGGATGCATTGTTCGCTGAGATGGTGGAGATTCAGGGCGCGGTGCAACCGCATCAAACCGTCATGGTGTTGGATGCGTCCATTGGGCAGGCAGCCGAAGCTCAAAGTAGAGCCTTCAAGGAGACAGCAGACTTCGGTGCGATCATCATCACGAAAACGGACGGCGCAGCAGCAGGTGGTGGTGCAATCTCCGCTGTCGCAGCCACTCACACACCCATCGTCTTCATTGGTACTGGCGAGCACCTCCTCGACCTCGAGCGCTTCAATCCACAATCCTTCGTCTCCAAACTCCTCGGCATGGGCGACATGCAAGGCCTCATGGAGCTCGTGCAGTCACAAAACCTCGACCAGAAACCCACCATGAAGAACATCAGCGCCGGCAAGTTCACCGTCCGCGACATGCGTGACCAAATCCAGAATGTGACAAAGATGGGACCGCTCTCCAAGATGGCTGGCATGATCCCTGGAATGGGCAACATGATGCAAGGCATGGACGACGAAGACGCTTCGCTGAAGATCAAACGCATGATCTACATCTGCGACTCCATGACGGCCAAGGAGCTCGACAGCGACGGCAAAATCTTCTCGGAGCAACCGACCCGCATGGTTCGGATAGCACGTGGTTCGGGCACGTCGGTCCGTGAAGTAGAGGAGTTCTTGTCGCAGCAGCAGACGATGGCCGGGGTGGCGAAGAGCGCGAAGGGCATGCAGGCGAATGCGCAGAAGGCGCAGGGACAGATGCGTGGCGGGAACAAGCAGCAGCAGATGGCGGCTATGCAGAGGCAGATGCAGAGTATGGGGGGTGGTGCCGGCGGGGGAGGAATGCCTGATATGGGCGCCATGATGAAGATGTTGCAGGGTGGTGGAGGTGGAGGGGGTGGGATGCCGGACATGAGTAGCCTGATGAATATGATGGGTGGTATGGGTGGTATGGGAGGTGGTGGTGCAGGTGCTGGGAGAGGTGGAAGGCGGTAGGACGGGCTCGGTGAAGAAGCTGGATTTGGATTTAGCGATGGCGTTGGGGAAATGTTGACGGTCTACAGGAAGGCCTTTTGCGGTCGACACAATGAAACAACATTTGCTTGGTAGTTACGCCTGTTCCTCCGACGCTCGACCGCCTGAAGTCTCACTGCGGGTATCCTTCCGCAAGCACTGACCCGATCGTGCGGTCCGTTGATCTTGCCCGATCTAGGCAGGAAGGTGGAGAACGATAGATATCTGGGTGGTCGCTTTACGAACGATATCTTCCTTCTTCCTCTAACCTCGTCACCTTCAGCTCTATACGCGGTCAAGACGGCCAGTTGCCACCTCTGGAGCGAACGGGTACTCCGGGAAGGCTTCCAAATCTTGTCTCTAGCGTACGTCATTCAGGCTTTCTTGGATCTTTCGGAGCGTAGCTTGCCAGTGGGGGCCAAAAGAGGTGTTAAAACTAGGCCGGTGGAGACTGTGTTGTTTTGGACACACTCTCGACAGCACCCAGGCTTGCCAGGCTCGGCCTACCCCCCGATCTTGTGCGCTGCCGGTATACATCCAATAAACCTTGACTCCGTGCTTTGTTGAAACAACCATTAATCTCTCTCTGTACCACAAAGCACAAGGAAAGGTGATGCGTACTGTAGCTTGTGTCCCGGTGGATATCTTGCAGTTGGCTGGAAGCAGTGGCGTCTTTAATCGATGTGCATTCACGCATACCGCGCCTTAGGTAAGTCGTTCACACAACCAGAGATCTTCTCTGTAATACACACATTTATAACTGTCACAAAGACCAAATAAGGGAGAGGACAGACATGGCTACCCCAACTATGATGTTCGAGTTTCTTCAAGTCGGGATTGATGATTGCAACAAAGCTGTCACGGAACAAGGGCAACGACGTACGGTACGCTCTCAGGCAATGAAAGATTATAGGAGGCGGCAGAGGGAGAAGAAGTCCAGCGTCATGTCAACGCCCGAACTTCGAGAACAGCTGTCTACAGATCTTCTCTACGGAGAGTTTAAACCACTCGACAAAAGTCCCAGACGAACAACATCAGCCGTGTCTCGGTCAAGAAGACAGTCAAAATCCGATGCACGAGCCGACCGACGCCAGCCATGCAGCCGGTTCGATGGCTTCACCCTACCACCAATCAGCCAACTGAGCGTCGACCCCAGCAATGTCTACCGTATGGCACTGGTGACCGCAATCGCAGACGACTGTTTCATGACCAACGACAGCGAGCGCTTCTCCAACATCTCGTCAGTCTTGGAGTCATGGGTGGCCCCCCATACAATGGGAATGCAGGCGGCAAACGAAGCTCTTGCGCTGATGTGCCTGGGTGGCAGTGTGAAAGATCACAGGATCATCCTGGAAAGCAGAAAGCGACATCTAGCAGCGACCATGTGCTTACGGCAAGAAATTAGCGGGCGAGATTTTGACTTCGACAGTGTCATGGGCTCGGCACAGCTCATACTGGCCTGGAGCGCGCACGGCGCCCACGAACAGGAGGGAATCTCTTGGGAAGAACATGTCTCTGGCTTGACGGCCATCATGGCTGCAAGCATGGAGCGGACGCAGACAGCGCCAGTCCACGGGTTCTTAATGCGACAGTACCGGCACTTCGCTCTGATGCGGGCTTTCATTCGTCGACAAAGGATGCCATTTGATAAGCAGACCTTCTATCTTGGTGAAGGTGAACCGGACGAAGGAGGCTATGAGACTCTAGTTCGAGTCGTCCTCGGTCTGCCTCTGCTACTTGAGCGGTCCATGTCGCTGCGAAATGTTCCGTTATCAAGCAGAGGCCGTAGACAAGCGTCGAAGTTGTACTCGCAGCTGCACTCCATCGAACAAGGCTTGCGGGAATGGCTGGACGACTTCTACATTACTCAGGATGGTGTCGACCCCGGCGAGTCACCAAAACAGCACGGTGTTCTGGCAGCAAGAGTCCACATGGAGGATATACCGGAATTGCACGACAACGACGGGGCGGGTGCCAGACCTGAGACGATCATGGGACAGCGCCACCACTTCTCAAACACTCTCAACGGACTCTTTCATGCCTTCTACTGGACATGCCAGCTGCTGATCAAGCAAACGCAGCTCGATCTCGCCAAAAGTGATCCCAGACATGACATCGAGACCGAAGGCAAGTTGTTGACGCAACATGCCAACGATTATGCTGCTCACATGGTGAGAGCAATCCCCTTCCTCTGGGAAGCAGCAAGCGGCCAAACGGGCAAGATGTTTACCACGAGAGGTCTGTTCCACTTTGCGAGTGAGTGGTACGAGCGCAGCGGCAACGCACAGCTTCTGGATTACTGTCAAGAAATGGAACGCAACTGCAGGGAGGAGAACAAGTGCTTGCAATGGGACGCCATGCTACCCTACAGTTTCGGGCTACTATACTGGCTGACATAGCATATCTACATCTTCGATGCGCGTTCCTTCCTCCTCGCTGCAAAATAGTTAGCACGAGCATACTCAGATCAGAAGGAATGACACTTACCAGCCAGCTCCTCACTCTTCGCCTTCATCCTCTGACTCGGCTCCCCATCTACAAACCTCTCCGCCAACGCCTGCCACGCCTCCCACACGGCCAGAATCCTCGCATCCCGCGTACTCTTATTCTGCAACCGCTTCATCTCCATCATACTCTTCCCACTCCGCTCCCGCAACATCTCCACCAAATACCCATGCACCTTCTCATGGAAGCCCTCCGTAGGGAAAAGCTTATTCACCATCCCCATCTGGACCAATTCCTGCGCCGTCGCTTTCCCACCAAACATCAACCAGTCGTTGGCGCGATGCACGCCGATGCTGTGCGCCCAGTTGACCGCGCTGCCGTTCTCGGGAATAAGCCCGAGCTGGGAGAAGGTGACTTGCAGCCAGGCGGAGTCGGCCATGTAGAAGATGTCCGAGGAGCCTTGGAACCAGGATGCTCCCGCGCCGACGCCCGGGCCGTTCATGGCGAGCACGACGACTTTTTTGTGCTCGATGATGGAGCGGATGACTTCGGCGGCGTAGGCGAACTCGGAGGCCCAGTAGAGTTTCTTCTCGCCGTCGTGCTTGAAGTCCATTTTGCGGGCGGAGACGTCTGTATCAGTATTAGTAAAGTGTCTTGGATAGTTATCAGTTGATATGGAAGTGGTTACTCGACACATCAGCCCCCGAGCAAAAGAATCGCCCCTCGCCTGTAATGACAGTAAACACCGTATCCGGGTGATCATCAAGCATTCGTAAAGCATCGACGGTGTCGGACATCAGACTGCTGGAGAACGAGTTCAGCGCTTTTGGCCTGTTGAACTGAGAGTTGTGTTAGCGATTGCAGTTGATTGTTGGCTGTGGTGAGGTGCGGTATGGTATACCTTGATCGTTCCGATGCCATCTTTGATGTCGACGATGATGTCTGTATATTTCTGAGTCGACATGATGATTGATCTATTATAGTGGTATATACAAGAGGTGTCAGTACGTTGCAATGGTCGATTGACGAACAAGAAGGAGATGTCGTTGGAACGATCAGCATCAAGTGTTGGACCTCGGCTTCGGCTGAGAGTCAGTGGAAGAGAGGTGAAGTCGGCCTTGGTTAGTGAACGATGGTCATATTTGGACATTCATTGCAGGGACAGTTGTTCTAGAATGAGGTGTAGTAGTTGTCATAGTACAACATGGTTGCGGGTGATTAAGTTTGTACACAATCTACTCTACATTGTATAACTACCACCGAAACCCCCAGCCGAAACGCCACCGCTTTGCTTCCCACAATCCCCCGGCACCTCACGACCGCAAATTCAGATTCGAAATCTCATCGTCCTCTTCCGGTATGATTCGATACCGCTCATACTCCGCCATTTGTGCCTCCTGCGCCTGCGTAACCTTTCTTCCTTGCCACCACACGTAAGCCACCAGCGCGACTCCAAAGACGAATGCCAGCGCTGCGAAAACCACGTTGACCGGGATCGGGTTGTCGTCGAAGATATCGTGGTCCATGGCGTCGATCGCCGGTTGGAACAAGTTAACCAACCCACTGAGCGCGATGATGCAACCGTAGACGCGGCCGAAAGTGGCAAAGCCGAAGACCTTGGCGGCGTAGTCGGACATGGCGGAGTAGTAGAGTGGACGTAGGAGGACGAAGAGAATGACGTTTAGGTAGCCGGCCCAGAGGTAGGGAAGGGAGCCGACGACGCCGACGGCGGTGATGAGGGCGACGAGGACCGACAGCATGGTTGCTGTGCTCGTGTGGTCGAGGAGAAGGCCGATGAAGGGGGTGGCTGCTATGCCCCCGATCTAGGAAGAGGTCAGTGGTGGTAAAGACACTGTGAGTTCGTAAAGAGAACACTTACGGGTAGAGCGACGTCGAAGAACATGTTGATCCGCCGAGCGAGGATCCTTGACCCAAGCATGGCTCGGTACTGCGCTTTGATCGTAGCGATGAAGAAGTTCATGCGCAACATTTGCAGAACCGTCAGAAGAGTGATCAAGACGAACCACGGGGTAAGGATCTGCTCAGTGGCAGTCTTGCCATGAAGAACACCCCAGACACCAGACTTGATGAGGCGGTCTTCCTGCTTCTCCTCACGCTGATGGCGCTCGTCGGCATCACCAAGCAGTCGGTCGATCTCCTGAATCTTGGACTCTCGGTGGAACCGTCGCTTATTCCGGAGTTTGCGCACTTCGTTTTCGCTCATGTCTTCGTCGGAGTCGTGGACCTGGTAAATTGTGAGTATATCGCCATGCTTGAGTGAATTGCTTTTGTACATACGTCTCTCGTAGCATCTTGCTCCTTCTCGAGCTTCGCCTCGTACTGCGGAACAGTCTTGTACGCATCCTCATTCATCAGCGTGAATTGGCCGACGAAGATGAAGATGGGCACGATGAGGTATCCGAAGAAGAATTTCTCAGGCGTGAAAGTGCCGCCCGACGCTTCATAAGAAAGGCGGTAGAATAAAAACACCGCAGCTGAAGCATCGAAAGCACCGGTCACGGTGGCAACGATGAGGCCGGAAGCTTTAGGGAACGCATTCGCAATGGAGAAGGATGGCACGAAGATGAATGTGCCACCAAGAGCCAAAAATATGTTGCCTACAATGTAGCCGTCGAACTCCGGTATGTAGAAGGCGAATGCCATGAGAAGGGTGCCAATTGCGAGACAGATGCTTCCAATTACCGCAGCCACACGTGGGCCGTAGCGGTCTAGGATGGTACCAACCGGAAGCGCGGAAACATTGCAGGTTGTCGATGCAATCGCAAAGAAGAAATTCATGCTGTTCGATAGTCAGAAAGAGTTCGAGAGCCTGGGTCAATGATACATACCGCAATTCCTGCTCGTAGCACACATCAATGTCTTCCGCCAACTCCTCTGCTGTGCAGTACTGACGGTATACGCCAGTGTCAACCAGCACTGGCTTGAGCGCGGCAAAGCCGAATACGATCCCGGAGGCAAGCCAACATGCCAGCACGGTAAAACATACTTGGGCTGTCGAATAGTCAGGACCAGTCGTGGATCAGCAGTTGCACGCGGTACTCACCTATCCTTCGTGCGGTGGAGACCTTGTACGCAGTCACACCGCCGCTGGGGTTGGTCGCCTGCGATGGCTCCTCGGGCTTCGGAAACGCATCGTAGCTCAAGACCGTCCGCAGAGATCGTTTGTGTCGGAGAGAATGCGAAACGGATGGTCGGTGATGGAGCGAGTAGTTGTTCGGTGTCGTTATCGTGCCATAGCCTTGCGTGCGCGGTGTGCTTTGCGGGTTGAATAGTCCTTCGAGCTGTGCTGGGGGCTCAAAGTCGCTGCCCTCTATTGGTGTAACACGCTGAACAAGCGACATGAAGCGCCGATAAGAGCACAATCAGTCCACGCTTCCTGTTGAAGGATGTCCCGGATGAAACAGCTGCGACTTTTGATAGTGATTGATGCGGTCAGTGGGAAGAAGAGAGATGGAAAGAAGACGGGTGGAGGTGGTGGGAAGTGGCGACCGCGACTGCGACCAGAAGATTCGGCAACAGATCCGAGGGCTCACCGCGTGCGATCTTGCTTCTCTCACCTTGACCAGGGTGCGGAGTTGGGACAGACGACAGTGCTACGCAGACTCCTCCGACCGAGAGGACAGTGCTTCCTTATCTTCCACCGCGGCGCCGGCAAATTTGCAGTCATATCGAAGCGCCACCAGCGGGGCAACTTCGAATTTCCTGAACCGCATTCACCACGAGCAGCTCCAAACAACCAGACTGGGCCGGCCCGGTACGAGATATGCATTTGCTGCAGGCTTCTGTACGTCTAGAACTGCTCAGTCCGGGCATTCTATCCTGGCCGTCTGTCACATGCAACTCTGCGCGCTGTTGGGGATGGTGGCGCTAACGGAAGGACGGATGTCTTGGACGCCTCGGCAGCGATAGCTTCAATCACGTGACGTCTTACCGCTTTGGGACGCAGTTGCTAGCGAGGCTGTCGAAGTCATCTACTCCTGCTCGGTCTTCAGCTGTCCGGGGTACTGTGCGAAACGGAAGAGATCTCATTGCATCCAGTTGACGTTGTGCAGCACTCAACCAATCTCGACATGCACGTAGCCGTGCCCCAAGCGCTCGTTGAAGGATGCACGGCAGAAGCACACGCGCACGAAGACAGAGCTCTGGTGTGCACAACTTTGTCCAGAGACGAGGAAGCTCTCATCATCCGTCTTACTGCATCTCTACTGCTTACCACTCCCGCAGCCCCTCCAGAAACCTATTTAGTCCCGTCCGCAAAGCCTTCTCCTCCGCAGTGAACACAATCCGGAACCACCCTATCTCCTCGCTAAGCGATCTGGAGCCCTTAGCAATCATAACTCCTTTCTCCAACCAGCGCTTGCTGAGTCGGTCTTCTTTTGCCTTGTACTTTGCAGCATCTGGACTTGTCGATCGGAGAACGGCCGTATCAGCGTCACTGTTCCCCAGTAACCACCTTCTGAGATCCACCCAAAGGAAAAGAGCAGCATTGCCGCCCTGGAAGTATGGGATGTGATTGTCATCTAGGAAATTGGTCAGAAGGGCGTAGTGGCTCGCCAGCTGCTTCTGGTTGTCCCCAATGAAACGGTCCAGGAAAGGAGTGTCTTCCAGTATCCTGGCCCACATGTCTTGGACAATGTACGCTTCCCACGAGAACGTACTGCCATCTCTTGTCAGCTGCCGGTAGCAGAAGGCTGGAATAGAAGACTCACGTTATGCTCAACACAGCCTTCCGAAGCACCTCATTCCGCGTGTGGAACGCACCCAACCGCAAGCCATTGGCACAAAAGTCCTTCGCTGCTCCATAAAGCACATGCACCAGCTCCGGATTGATGATCCCTTCGGTATCAATTGAAAGCACCGACTGGAATGGCGTAGCGTCCGGATAGCGCTCATTTTTGAAGACACTCATGGCGTAAATCTCATCCGACAGGTAATGAAGACCATACTTCGCACAAAAGCGCATAATAGCCACAATGGCTTCCTTCGAATAGCACTTCCCAAGCGGATTGTGCGGGTTCGTGATCATCACGCCCTTGATCTTGGCACCATTTCTTTGGCTCTCAGCGTAAGCTCGCTCAAAGCATCTCAGATTCGCCTCTGGATCAAATACATCGTCGAGAACGACTGAACCGTCTTCCCGAGCGAACGACACAGGCACGAGTTTCCCTTTCGACCGGGTGGGTATATCGTTCGTGAAGCCAGTGTAGAGAGGCTGCGGAAGGAGAATGCCTTCGCCTTCGTTGCAGATTGACCATGTCAGGTGGTCGATCATTGCCGTTACTCCTGCGGTGATGATGAATTCATCTGGTTGTGTGGGTTTTAGTGGTGCGAAGCGGCTGTTGAAGAAGTTCGAGATGGCTTTTCGTAGGCGAGGAGAGCCTTGAGGTCCATTGCCGTACGTGAAGTGGGCGCTGCGATCGATGGTGAACTGTATCGATCAGTACAGCGTTGGAAGGGGTTGGGAATGAGGCCGACGTTGTCTTTGATATGGGCCTCGAGCTCTGCGTGCATCAAGTTGTTTTCTGCTATTCCTAGTATCACCCTGGATGCAGTATCTTATCAAAACAAGTTCATCTTTAGAATTTGGACTGCTTACATGCCATCCGTATTTGTAGGACTGTATGGACTGGCCAATGCGTTGACGAGCGGTGCCCAGTGGTCATCTCCCTCAACGTTATCTCGTGCTCTGTTCGAGAGCAGGTCTTGATTTCTGAGCTCTGCCATGACTGTAAGATGTGGACTCAAGTGTAGTCTAAGGTACTTTGGAAAAGGACGATGAAAGACAATCATGCTCATCGAAAACTCTCTTGTAGTGGCGCCCTGTGCTCTCTAAAACTCATCGCCGTCAATCCCCGTCAGGGACGACCTTGCCCACGCCCTTTTGATCTTCCCATCAACCACAACATCCACTTCGTGGAAAGCTATTCAAGCTCAAGCGTATACACTAGCTACCAGTCAACTCAAGGTACTGTCTGCCTCTGAAAGGTGGTGTGCAACAAGCGTACAACGTCCACTATCAAGGCCTTGATTGACACAGAACACCTGCATCACCAATACACATCGTCCATCTCCGCTCATTGGACCGGACTGAAGACTCTAACACCACCCGCCATCTTCTCGCTATCAGTCTGAATCACTGACCAGGCCATCACTCCCCTAGCGCCTTCTCATACTAATAGACTCGATATCATGGCATCGTCCTTCGACTTAGGATTAGGCCTAGAGGGCACGCACATAGTGGTGACCGGTGGTCTCGGCCTCATGTAGGTGTAGCTCTCGCACTTTCATCTCCTACATCCCCACCAAACCCACTGACCCCTTCCTCAAGCGGCCGCGTAGTCTCCCACGCCTTCCTCTCCGCCGGCTGCAACGTCTCCATCCTCGACACTGCAGATTCCCAGACCATCGATGCACCAGAGCTACAATCACCGACCTTAGTAGCCTACAAGACCAACATCACAGATCCATCCCAGATCCACCAGGCCTTCTCCGACGCCGAAGCTAGATTTGGCCCTGTCCAGACATGCGTCGCTCTGGCGTCCCTCGACCTAAGCGTCTTGCCTCAAAGTGAGAGCCTCGCGGACATGGACCCAGAGGCCTGGAAACGGGTGTTCGACGTCAATGTTCATGGAACTTTCGTCACTTGTCAGCGGTGGCTGCAGGGCATCAGGAAGGCTGCTACGAATCCCGCAGTAGCGCCTGAGTTGCGCAACGTCAGCTTGATTATCATGGGATCCGAGGCCGGGCGATTCGGAGTGCGGACTATGGCCGCCTACGCAGCAGGCAAGTCGGCCGTACAGGAAGGGCTGATGCGCAGTCTTGCCCAAGACGCTCCAAGACTGTTCGCGAGGGCACGAGTCAATGCGGTGGCACCGGGTGCGGTGGACACGGCGAGGTTCAAGGAGGAGTGCGAGAGGTACGGGGAAGGCTTTCAGTGGAGGGAATGTGAGGCTACGTGAGTGACTTGTTCCTAGAAAAGGAAATGGACAGCTGATGACCGCGTAGTGTTCCAATGACTAAAGCGATACCGCCTGAGGAAGTGGCGAGGACGATAGTGTTCTTGGCCAGCGAAAGGTACAGCGGCAGTGTGCATGGGCAGCTCATACCGATCGACGCGGGAAAAACTGGGAGTCTGGTATGGGACCGAGGCGAGTCTGCAGTCCACAGTGCAAACATAGGTCATCCTTCAACTACTTGAGATCTGATGGACACGAAGTGGCAAACTGATTCCGCGCCCTCTCTGCGTCGCAATCGCTCATCGATGGACGTGCTATTACCTATTAGTCTTCATACTGGCTCAGAGGAACACGCAGCCTACTTGTCCATTCCTCCTCCTTCTCCGTAGGACAATCTCCTGCCCAAACGCTCCATGGCATACTTTGCTTCCAACGCAGTTAGCTGAGCCTGCCACTTCTTCCGCTTCATAGATCCAGCTTCCTAGTCAAAAATCGTCCACCACTCCGGCATGGCCCTCTCCCCGTCAGCAACCTCTAAGCTAACACCCTTCACCTTCTCACCCTCCGCCCAACTATCCATTGTCATCATTGGTGTCAAATCAATTATCACAGCCTCTGCGTTCTCACTCCATGCCTGGCTTTCAATAGTCGTCATCGGCGTCAAGTAGTTTTCGCCCGCAGTCTTATGACAGTCCTGAGATAAAGGTTCGAAGTCGGCGGCGGCGCCGGCCTGCTTCGCAAAGACATTCCTTTCAACCTTTGGCCAATAGCCAGCGAATTTTCCGTTCCTTTGGAGTGTTGCCAGTCTGCTCATCAAATCCACCAGATCGTCAAGGTCATCAAAAATTTGCGGGAGAGGGTTGTATTCGCGACGGGCTTTGGCTCGTGGTGGATCTCGGTCGTCGAAAATTTGACGGAACCGATCTCCTCCCTTGCTGTAGAGTGGATGCCATAATAGCGTGTGGTCGGAAGATTGGTTGGTACCGCACACTGGCGTCTTGCTGAGCAGATGCTCGTCCATGTAGGTGTGCTCGATTGGCATGGTCGCCGTCCTCCGAAGCTTGTGTCTCGGAAAGGACTTGAGGCCGCCGACGTTGGATGACCTCCTAGAGACCTGGTGGTCTGCACTAACAGAATCGCACCCTGGGGGTGGCCTGGCGTCGGCGTTGGTAAACAAATTTCCCAACATGCTGTCCTCGCCGGCCTCGTAGCCATACTTTGGAAATCTCTCAGTGTCGGGAACGTTGGGAGACGCTGCCCAGCGTACATCGTGCCGTGCGGCCTCGAACACATCGTCACCTGCAATTTCCGGATCGTAAGCTGGGAATGGCTCGGTGTCGACATTGCTGGGTAGCTGCATGTGGAAGTACTGTTCCACGGCGTCCGCCTGGTGGTCCGACAGTAGCTCAGTCTCAGCAGCTGTTGAGTGCTTCCTAGATATAATTGCTGCCATATCCTCGGCACCACGCTTTGGAAGGGGCCCGTCGACGGCGGTGGTAGAGAGCTTCCGGGTGACAGAATCGACCCCAAATTCAACAGCAGGGTTAGAAGCGGCCAGCTTCGTTACCGCTTGCAGCAAGTACTGCATGCGATTGTTCATATCTGCAAATTCGTGCGCAAGCGCGACGACTTGAATCTCGACATCCTTCTGACCGTAGAGAGACTGTGGTAGGCCCTTGTACCTAGGATCTGGGATGCTCCTGATCTCACCCTTCTCATTCAAATTCGACCGGGGCCGCGGCGGGCTACCAGATTCCTCTGCCATCTCCGACTGCGTCCTCAGCGGCCCAATCGGCCTCGCCGCCAGAATCTTCGAAGATCCATGTACAGCGTGTGGCCCTTCTGTTCTTGCCCTCCTCACGTATCCTGGCCTTCCGGGCTTCAAGGCCTCCGGATGCTGCAAGAACCGCCTGTGCTTCCTGCCCTCATTCAGCCCCCTCCCGAGCTTACTCGCATGGTCCCGGCTCCCGCAGCTGTCCTTGCAGTTACCAGTCGTTCCGCAATCCCAGCATCCTGTCATCCCGTCCCCCATCTTCGTCTTTCTCGGCCTTCGCCGCTCGGTCATCGCGCAGCCCTGCCGGTCTACACTGACGCCGTAGACAAGCACATTCAAAGCATCGAACACCGCGGAGTCACTCAGCCGCGTCTTATCCATCAGAATCCCGAGTTTGGCTTTGGCAGCATCCTCTTGCGAAATCAGGACGTCGGCTAGGTGATCGAGCTGATCGAATTGGTCCAGCCTGCTCCTCGATGCTGGCGATGGAAACACGCCGGACGTAAGACGATGGAGCAGCTCACGCACCTGCTTCATCGCGCAGGCCATGACATGATCATGCTCGATTGCCAAGATCTTGCCCTGACCGGCCAGCCAAGGATGTGATTCAGGCGAGATCGTCGTAGCCCAGTCTCGAAGAACAGTGTACAGACCCTTCATCTCCTGCAGTGTGGCGATGGGTAGGAAGCCGTCCTTGAACAGTCCGTCGACCTGGCGGCTCATGCTGACGGCAACTTCGATGATGATCTTGGCCGTGAGACGGCGGTCGCCAGCATGCCCAGTGGAGGAGAGTTTGGCTGGCCGCGTTTCGCTTTTGCCGGCGCCGAAGAGAGCCCAGGTGGAGTAGTTTGTCGGTTCGAAGGGGGAGGAAAAATCATGAGGAGGGAATTCGTGAGGAAAGGGTGGAGAATCAGTGCCGGGGAAGTGGACGGGGCGGAGGCTGAAGGGGATGCTATCCGAAGCCATGTTTTCTGTTGCTAAGAGAGATCGTAGGGAGTGAGGCGATGTTGATGCCAGGAAGAAAGAAAGACTCACCGACGAAGGAGAGGGTGTACTTATGGAAGTGGCAGACTTGTGTCCAAGCTATGCGCTGTCGTCGGAGGCACGAGCGGACGGTCGAGAATAAAGGCCAACAGGCAGCAAGACGATCTGATGTGGAAAATGTCGCGGGCGCACCTGTGATCAATCAAACTGGTCGTGCATGGAGTTGGGTATATGCATAGCTGTCCTTCTGTCACACCTGGTGAAGTTCCTGCATTCGCCCTCCGTGTTCTTTCCCGCGTATTCTTTCCCGCCTGCTCTAGTACAAGAGCGGCACGAACTTGTACGGCACGGCTTGCTCGTAGTGTTCGTATTGCTCGCCGTACTACAAGAAAGTCAGCGTGGCCATTACTGGTTGAACATCGGCAGAACATACCTTCTCCTCCATGTACCCCTGCAACACAGGAATTCCACGGTTAATGAAGTCAAACGAGAACCAAGCCATATTCGCCGCACCCCACAGCCATCCACCAGCCGCCAGCGCATACCCACCCCTCCACAACGTGTAACCGAAGTAGTTGATGTGCCTGCTCAAGCCAAACAGTCCACCTTCGTAGACCTTGCCCTTGTTCGCGGGATCCCTCTTCCAGAGTGCGCGCTGCACCTCCGAACCGAGCTCAAGTGACATTCCAAGTACGTACAACGTCGCGCCGACGATCAGCGGGGTCTGGGGGAAGTGTTCACCATTGACAGAACTAGATTGAAGGGTGGAAGAGTTAGCAAGGTCCTCAAATGTGCGACCCACCAGTGCAGGAGCAGGTGCCTCGAGGGTATGAAGGAAAGCAGAACGCGACCGCACGTCGCACAGTGCTTAGTTGTGCCTAGAACAACCCTTCCACGTCAATTTGACTTACGCGCTGGTCTGCGAGCACACGAAAAGCAGGTTGTTCGCGCTATTCAAGAGCGTGTTGTATGCGCCTATCGCTGCTGAGGCGGGCACGGTCATCTCTTCGCGCGAGATCGCGAGCATCGTGAGGTTCTGCTTCACCATTGACCCGATAGTCATTCCAAGCATGATGGTGCGGTAGGGGCTGAGGCCGAGCACATTGTCGAGGGGTGTGTTCGTCACGAGCGGGGAGCCGCGGGGCAGGGTGGTACCGCCGAGGCGCTGGATGAGGGAGGAGCCCCAGTCATTGCGGAGGATCTGGTATTGGAGGAAGGGGTCGGCAGCACGAAGGCCCACGAAGGTAGCGATGCCCGGAGTTCCAATTGACGACCTCTTCACGCCACGATCAATGAGATCCCGCGTGCTTCTCTCTTTCTCGTTGTAGGACATGGTGGCGGTGTGCTGTTGTTGACGGGGTGGTGGTGTTGGAGGGTTTGCTACATATCAGAGCTCACCAGGTGAATGGAGGTGAGGTCATGCGCCAAGCAGACTAGGCTTCTTTGGGACCATCTCAACACCATATCTACGCTCCCAACCTCACTTTTCCAACTGCTCCGTACTCACTCCGACTTGCATCTCGAGTCGCAAGAAGGTGCTAAAGGAGGACTCCCCTCCTACATCTCACACTGTCGGCTTAGCGTGTCATACCGACGGCGGAATGTCAGCAACCACAAACCGGCTATTCACCCATCTGCAATGCAACCTGGACCCCCACGAAGCCGGCAGGACAGGCCGGTCTCGGTCTCGACTCTCACAGCAGGATCTTTCGCCGCCACACCGTAAGGTAGCCCACCAAGCTCTCATTGGGGATCAAGAGTTTTGCTTGTGAGGCTTGACCCTGCAGGCTCGCCGGTCTTTCGACCCTCTCGCTGCACTAAAAGATAAGCTTCTGCTATCTCTGCTGCCCAAACAGCCTTAGGTGGCCGGGTAGCGCGGACAGAGGATGGTTAAGTAGGTAGGCGCGGGCACGCGACAGCCAGCTCTTTTTTCTTTCAGTCCATCACAAACTCGTAATCTGTTTGAGCCGTCAAGATGTCCTACGACCCGGAGGCAGCCCATGGCCGGCCACAGGAACTGAACATTGCACCCTCGGAGAAGCCACTACGACCACTAACTACTGACGAGAAGCTTGCGGCCACCAGAGTAGACGTGGACTCCAGAGGGTCAGACAGCACACAGGTGATCGAGTACAACAACACGCTCGTGAAGCAAGACAATGGTATGCTTTCAAAGCTCCGTAACTTCGAGGCTCTTCTGGACAGAAAGCTGGGCGTGGAGTCTGAAGCCATCGACCGCAAGCTACCTGAAGACCGCAAGCCGCAGCCATGGCACTCCCAGCTCGTCATGGCTCTGCTCTGGGCGTCCGGCACAATGAACGTCTCCTGCTTCGCGACAGGCTTTCTCGGCTTCGAGTTCGGCCTCTCGCTCAAGCAGTCCATCTTGATCATCATCTTCGCCTCCCTCCTCGGCGGAGCTGTGAGCGGCTTCTGCGCAACCTTCGGCGCAGCAACAGGCCTCCGTCAAATCTCTGTCGGCCGCTACAGCATGGGCTGGTACCCAAATAAACTCGTCGCCTTTCTCAATACCGTCCAACAACTCGGCTGGAGCGCCGTGGGCTGCATCACCGGCGGCCTAGCCCTCCAAGGCGTCTCCAACGGTCACATCAGCATCGCCGTCGGCATCGTCATCATCGCCGCCTGTTCTCTCGCAATCTCCTTCATCGGCCTCCGCGCCATCCTCGTCTACGAGAAGTATGCCTGGCTCGTCTATTTCATCATCTTCATGGTCATCCTCGGTCAGACAGGACCTTACACTGACAACACCACCCCTGCCTCCCTCTCCGGCGCCACCCTCTCTGGCACAGTCCTCAGCCTCCTCGCCATCGTCTACGGCTCCTCCGCCTCCTGGTGCACCATAGCCTCCGACTACTACGTCCACTACCCCGCCACCGTCTCCCGCACCAAAGTCTTTCTCCTCACCACCCTCGGCATCGCCCTCCCCACTTCCATCGGCATGATCTCCGGCGCCGTCGTGGCATTCGCTCAGAACAACCGGCCAGACTGGGCAGCAGCCAACGAACGTGGTCTCGGCTTCTTAATCAGAGATATGCTGCACCCGCGCGGCTTCGCGGACTTCATTCTCGTGCTGCTCGTGCTGTCCGGAATCAACATGAACATCATCAACACCTACTCCGCCGCTATTTCGTGCCAGCAGTTCGCCCGCCCGTTCTCGCGGATCCCGCGGTTCATCTGGACGATCGCGTGTTTCGGCGTCATCATAGCCCTGGCGCTTGCGGGACGGAACCAGCTATATCAGTATCTTGAGAACTTCTTGAGTTTGCTGGGATACTGGTGCACGAGTTACTTCGTCATTGTGTTTACGGAGCATTGGTACTTCAGGAAGGGCAACTTCCGTAACTACAACCTTGAAGGATGGAATGATCCGAAGGTGCTGCCGATGGGATTGGCGGCTGCGGCGGCTTTTGCGCTTGGGGTCGTTGCGTGGGTGCTGGGGATGGTGAGTCGTTCTCCGTTATCAAAAGCTATTCTGGAGGCATCGAGAGTGCTGACGAGATTGTGATTGCAGAACGAGACCTGGTACATCGGCCCACTAAGCGCAACGATCGGAGATTATGGTGGGGATGTGGCGAATCAGTTCACTTTGGTCGTCACCACATTGTCTTATGTCCCACTGAGGCATCTGGAGCTGAAGTACATTGGCCGGTAGGAGAATGGATGATGTGCTCATGTGAATATGTACAGCATGAGAAGATGCGAAATGACGATGAGCTCCAACCGCTTTCTGTTTCCTTGCACGTCCGAAGCTCTCGGCCATACTCCTTCACTGCCTCGTGTACATCACGAAATCGGTCCTCTTCCCAACCTTAGTATACAACAGCTGCGCGCGGTGGTTGAAGAACTGCGTATGCCAGTACACCTTCCCGGCCCCAGCCTTGTCCGCCTCAGCATAGACGTACTCAATCAGCTTCCTGCCCACGTCACCGTTGCGTGCATCCGGGTCGACGAAGAGGTCGTTTAGGTAGACAACATCTTCGACGCTGTCCGTGCTGGGGTGCGGGTACCATGTAACGAAGCCAACTAGTCCTCCTTCATATGAACCTGAGGAGGTGCTGGCGACGGCGCATTGGACCGGACTGCTTTCGTCGAGGAAGCGAGAGAACGTCGTGGCGGTGATAGTCTCGGTGATGCCGTCGGTGCGTTGGTAGAAGTCGTTGTAGGCGGCCCAGTGTGTGCGCCAGCGTTGTTCGTCTTCGGGTGTGATGGGCCGAATGGTAACTGCCATGTTGTCCCGGATGTTGAACTAGAGTCTTGAAGGGTGGAGTTGAATCGCAGGAGGTATGCTGTTTCTCATCATGAAAGACGTCCTTGGATGCCGCATCGGCAGCAACTGCCGCATTGGGAGCATGTGTTGCCGATCGAGGCTGTAGTCAGCTTCGTGCTTGAGCTCTCGGGCAGTGCAGCTTGGGAGCCGAAGACGAAGAGCCAAGGTGGAGAGCCAAGAGCGTTCAAAGGGATGGTCTTGCTGTTAGCTGGGTACCGCAAAAGCCAGGCGGGCCGAGTGGCATAATCAAGCACTGGACCTCGTGTTCTTGAGGAGAAATCGGAGATAGAAGACAGAGTAGGAAGAGCTGCAGATAAATAGCAGAACCCAGAGCTTGAGAAAGACAACAGAAACACTTAGCTCATTGCACTCCCGCCTGAAGCCGTGAAGAGCCATGACGCTCGCTGTAGGAGCTGGCGGAGCGGTCAATCAAATACACCGCCATAGCTTGCATCGTCTCCTCTAGCCTTTATTACCGGTATTGACAGCATTCACCATCCCGCGCCGCGGGAAAGGCGTTCGCACAAGGGGTAGAGCCTGCAGCTGTCAGCGTATGCCTTCCAACAGTACTGTCACTCTCAAGCTGCTGCGTCGCCATCTCTCAGACTTTGCCTGTTCTCCTCAAGCCCAACCAGCAAGCTGAATAAAGCAGCTGTGTAGATGCGGCTGGGCGGCGTTGGATTACCAGAAGAAGCTCTTGGTGCTCTCATCTTGGAAGGAAATGGCAATGGGATAGGCTGCTGGACTTACTGTACTGTAAATACTACCCCCTGCACCCCTTCATCATCCTTTTCTTGAAGAGTGGGTTCTATTTGTACCGTATATTAGGTCGTCACCGCATCATGGCAGCCATCCGCTTGCGCAGATTACCCTCGTGGTGACGGTTTTACGCAACGGCGCGTGGGCTTCTTCTCGGCCTACACATCGGAACGGCGAATGCGCATAAAGTGACTGTGTGTCTGGCATCGTCGTGATTTGAGTAAGGTATTGGTAGCCGTGTGATTGGAAGAAGGGAGGAGTGCGGACGAAGTTTGAATTAAGGCTTTTGCTATGTCGTCCGTGCGCAACCTTAGACTGCATCGGGGGCTGGAAGTTTGGCGGACTTTCATCTTCAAGCTCGACGCACCTGAAGACACCCGGAGTACGAAGAACAACCATTGCACATTACAGACAACGGATACCGATCGCTCGAGTCGATTGTTGACCAGCCAGCGCATGATACACATCCAGCACGAACAAGAAGACCCTGATTCGACCACATAACGTTGATCGAATTGGTCGTCAATACCTTGGCCTGGCTCCTCTATATCCCCGGCTTCTCTTCCCACACGAGCATACTAGCACTGTACGACTAGGAGACCAAGATAATGGACAAGAAGGATGACAATAGCCCGGCGAACCTGTGGACTCGGAGATCAAAGTACGCTTCATCCCACTTTCCTTCCGTGGCACAACACTAACCGCTCACGCGACCTACAGCAGCAGCAAGCTCAGTCTCTCGATGAGCAAGAACGACCGCAACGACTCCCGAGACAACCATGAGTCACCATCCGCGAAGAGATTCGGTAGCATGAGCAGCAAGACAAACCCGTTCAGCGCCTCGAACAACATGAGTGCCTCCGTAGCATCACCCACCGGGTCGGGCGCATCTTCTGCGTTCGGCCTGGGAAGCGGTGCATTCGCGAGCTTCGGCAGCGCGAGCAAGACCCCAAAGACACCCGGCTCAGCGTTCGACTTCAGCAAGGGGATGTCAGAAAAGAAGGAGCCACAATCACAACCCTCAGACACATCCGACAAGGAAGCCAGCAGAAGACCACCAGCCCGCAAATCCATGTCATCCCTCCGCACAAACGACGCTCCCGCCACCTCCCCTAAAGACTCCAACGCCTGGCCGCTGAAGCACGGGTGGGTGATCCACTACCGCCCCCCGACCAGCAAGAACAGCGACTACGAGAAGTCCATGAAACCTCTCTGCCGGATCGACACTGCGCAGTCGTTCTGGGCCGTCTACTCCCACCTCAAGCGCCCTTCCGCCCTACCCACCGTCTCCGACTACCACTTCTTCAAAGACGGCATCCGGCCTGTGTGGGAAGACGACGAGAACAAGCACGGTGGGAAATGGATCATGCGGCTCAAGAAGGGCGTTGCGGACCGGTACTGGGAGGACTTGTTACTAGCCATGATCGGCGACCAGTTCGCGGAGGCCAGCGAAGAGGTCTGCGGCGCGGTGGTGAGCGTGAGGTCAGGGGAGGACGTGTTCTCGATCTGGACGAAGAATGACGGGGGGAGGAACGTCAAGATCCGTGAGACTATCAAGCGCGTGCTGGGGCTGCCCGGGGATACGAATCTGGTCTGGCGGAGTCACGACGAGAGTATCACGCAACGGCAGGCGGTGGATCAGGCGCGGGAGCAGAAAGCGAGCGCGTACGGGGAGAAGAGGCGTAACACGCTGAATCAAGCTACCAAGGAAGAGGTGGCGTGAGCCTTGCTTCTTTGCCGAGGTTAAGCGATGTGTGTTCGCGTTAGTGTTGGATACTGCTTGACGTGTCTGTTCAAGCTGCTAGCTGATGAAGGTTCTGGGTCGGGACTCTTGGTTTGAAGCGAAGCGTGCTGTGCGTTCTGGCAGAAGTGTGTACTATTAGTGGCGATGGCATATGCGAGCGACATATTTGAAACTCTTCACATGCTTCGTGTACCTATCATGGGCATGTCTTTTCGACTTTATGGAATGAACGATCGTCACCCATATTGCCAAGCCCTTCCAGCAAGCTACCTTACACCGAGGGCACGTCGGCCTCGCTCACCTCACCTCACGTTGCCCTTTTGGTGAAACCTCATACTTCACACTCCTTCTGTCGCCTCTTCCCTTGGCCCGCAGACATGCTCACCAACCTACACGCTCTCTTCCTTCGACACGCACCGCGAGTTCGAAGACGAGTGAAGAGCGCCGGAAGTTTGCCAACGTGAGCTCAATGACGGGCAAGATCTCAGGGTTCTTTGAGGGCATTTCTACGTTCTTAGGTGGAGGAAGAATCTCACAAGAGACCGAGAAGGACGGGCATGAGGTGACTGTATGAACACACTTTCACATGCATGCAGATCACGCTGTACGATGCGGTTTCGAGAAAGGCTGGGAGCTTACTTGAGTTACTTTCAGCAGCAGCCCGATGACAGTGGAGAGAGCACGAATCAACGCCGAGGGGTTGTGGCAGGAGACGGTGGACGCGCTGTCGGTGAAGAAGGTCCAACAAGCAGGAAGAGAGCAGGCGAAGACATATCTGAACAAGGCGGATACAAGAAGGCAAGGCTGTCTGAGAGGAGAATTCGTGACCGTGTCCGCGACCGCGAACAACAGTCCCATGCGAGAAGATTGACGGGAGACTACGGGAATCCAGCGGATGCACGACCAATTGCTATTCCCACGAAGTCCTGGGAGCCCGCCGAGCCTGTGAGTGTTCCCGCCAGCTCTTCACGCAAGCAAGAACAGAAGACCAGCAGTCCTACTGGTGGGTTAGGCAACATGCAGACGTACACGCATAAGAAGGACGAAAGCGTGCGTTCTCGATTCCAGCCTCGGAATTCTCTGAACAGCCCGACTGCCTACGCCGCGAAGAGCTCATCACACATTCAAGGACGCTCAAACCAGAATCATGCGCCGCAACGTGCGCTCACTCGACCTCAAAACCCACCGGTGTGGTCTGATGCGAGGTTGGCTTCCAAAGGTGGCGACGGCTTCACCGACGCTGAGGCTTCCGATCGGCCCAACAAAAGACCGAAGCTCGAGATGGTCTCAGATATTCTCCCACGCCCGTCACCAGACAACAGAAAGAATCCCATTGACCTTACCGGTGGGAGTCATGGCTCCGTGGACGAGCAAATTGTTCAGCTCAACAGAAAGAACCCTCTTGGTTCGAAGCACAGACAGTCTGCTCACTCCCCGGACGCTCGGCCCCCGCCACAGGTGTTCGATAACTCGGAATGGAATGCCGTTGACAACAACATCCGCCTAGACCACAAGAAGAGGCGAAAGCCGAAGGCTGGCCCTCCATCAAGCCAGAACTCCGGTCGTGCCACACCAGTGGGTTCGAACAGTGGCCAAGCAAGCAAGACGCTGCATCATCCGCACAACGCCAGTTCCGTAGAAGATTATGAGATTGATCGAGCAGAACGACCACAGTCGCGAGACAGGCCTGCAGAAGCCCGCAAAGGGTCCGACTCCCGTCCACGAATCGACTTGACGCATGGTTTTGAGACCTTTGGTAACTCTGAACGTAAGGCGACCGACAATAAGCAGATCCAGGCCACCGGCAGTCTCATTCAGCGTACTTATGGAAAGACCGATGCTAAATCTGCACCGGCGCAGACACATCCGGATCCGCTGCCAAGAAGAAGCATCTCTCAAGATGATGTGATCAATGGATCCGTCGACATCGCCACCTCAAGGCCAAGAGAAGGCCGAAAGACGCCGCGTTTGAGTAGCACGTTCGTACGTGACGGCGAAACCGCCTCTCCGAATCGCCAGCAGAATGCAGAGCAAGCATCCAGAACATCACGACCTCCCCAACAGCCACCGGATCAGGTAGCGACGTCATCTGACTCGAAGCATTACGGCAGCGAAAGCCCAGATCAGCTGTCTGGAGCGACGACCATCCAGTCGCCGGAGTCGAAGGCAGCAGTTGAAAGTCGGTCTCGTGCAGGATATGTGCCATCTCAGAGGCGGGTCAAGTCACCTGACAGTGATCCACGGCCTTCGGCACTGCACCAAGCCAACTCACGCAAGGCTCGAGCCAATGTTCCGGAGAAACCAAGTCCACGGGCCAACTCGGACCAGGACATCGAGATCGTCGCGATACGCAGGTTTCATGCCGCCTCGTGCATCCTCACCTCCGATTTGATTGAGCTTGAATACAATGCAGACGAAGAGCAGATATATGTCAAGCACAATGGTCAGCGGCAACAAGTACCTGGAAGAGGTCAGCTCGTTGCGATTGGAGATTCTGAAGTCAGCAAAGCTGTGACCGCCAGAGGCTCCTGCAAAGTCATGTTGAAAGGCCGAAGTGCCAGTATCAGCGATGGCCAATTCTGCCTTGAATTCAACAACGCTGGCGACGTGGGATGGTTCGCCAACGCGCTACAAGCTATCACGCACGACAAACTAGGGTTCCAATCGTACGACAGTCTTGAGTCACTCGACAAGGCGTTCGAGAGCAATTGCCGAACGATTCTTGCATCTCAAGAGAGGCGTCTTCGAGCCCAAGCCAACGAGAAGGCAGCTGTGCGCCAAGCGGCGTCGACAGCTATCAGACAAGCATCAGACCGGCACAATCGTGGTGACGGTGGCGGCGTATTGCAAATACAAAGGCCCACAGAGACGCGAGCCAACGCCATGCGGCGGCAACAAAATGACGACGACGAGCAGATCAAGTACGACTATGGCAGCGAGGGCGAGCCGCCCAGCGGTCAGCACAAGACCAACGAGCACCAGCCACGCCAGCTGACGAAAGGCCGGACCGGCACAGAACGCCGGACCCGTGGCACGTCCGATGCAGTACGATCGCCATACTTCCCCGAGACGCGAGCCGGGCGACGCGAGACCCTACAGCCCACTCGCAGAACCCGCACGCCGACCCAACCACCAGAGCGCTGGACGCAAGTCAACAACCCAGAACCTTGGACAAGGCCTGTCGTCTATCCCACGCAAGGGCTTCGAAGAGTCACAGTCGATTTTGAGGATCTTGAGCGACTAGACGAGAGCGAATTCCTCAACGATAACGTCATCAGCTTTGCGCTGCGCAAGATCGAGGAGAATATGGCTGAAGAGCACAGGAGCAACGTCCACTTCTTCAATACCTTTTTCTACACTTCACTAACCACGAAGAACGGCAAGAAGGCATTCAATTACGACGCGGTCAAGCGCTGGACGAAGAGTACAGATCTTATGAGTGTGCCGTACATCGTGGTCCCGATCAACGACAATTACCACTGGTATGTCGCTATCATCTGCAATCTGGACAACCTTGGTAGGGAGTTCGATGATGATGTTGGGCGGAACGACGAGAAGGCAGACGAAGACGAAGATGAGACAGATCGAACAGCTTCCGCTCACCACACCGCCGATGCCATGTACCAGCTTTCTCTCTCCGACAAGGGTAAGAGCTCTCAGACAGTCGCAGAGCCTCCCACCTCGCCTCCCGCTCAATCCAGCTCAGCTCGCAGAAGGAAGAAGGGGCCTGCGCCTTTGAGGAAATACTATGTAGATACCCCGGTCATCATCACTCTGGACTCTTTCGGTAGCCAGCACACGGCCGTCGCCCGCCAATTGAAAGACTACATCAGTGCCGAAGCCAATGAGAAGCGCGGCATCCACGTCGAGCGAGAGCAGATCCAAGGCATGACCGCGAAAGGTATCCCAGAACAGACCAACTTCTGCGATTGCGGCGTCTACCTAGTCGGCTACATTGAGGAGTTTGCCAAAGATCCGAGAGACTTCGTGACGAAGGTGTTGACTAGGAAGCTGGACAAGGATGCCGACTTCAAGTCTTTCGACCCCAGCGGCAAGCGAGCAGAGATCCGGAATGACCTGCTGGCGTTGCATGAGAAGCAGGCTGCTGAGCACAAGGCAGCTAAATCGGCGAAAAAGGTGGCGGGCAAGCAGGAGGCAGAGACTGCGTCAAAGCCGAATGCCACTGCCCCCAAGGCACCGCCGCCTACACGCCCGCCGAAGACAAGATCAGAGCAGCCTGCGAAGCCGCCAGCGCAGCCTCTTACTAATCGAGCCTCCCCACAGGCGCAAAGCGTCTCCAACGCACCCACGCCAGAAGTGCCGAACGAGGAGTCCGATAAGCTCGAGCTCTCAATTCCACGACCTCTGTCTGCTTCGCGTGCTCAGCCTGTCTCGCGGCCTTCGTCAGCTTCGCGGCACTACAGTGGCATGGGTGGACTTCATATTGCGACGAAGGATAGCTCACCGCTGCACGACCAACCTACTGCCAGTCAAGAGATTGAGCATGAGACGGTGCAACTGAAGAGGAACACCGGCCGCGCTGGATCCACGAAGCATCACGAGCCTGAAAAGCCACAAGACATAGTGTCACAGCTCGACGACGGTCTTCAGCAGCAGCTGGAAGGAGAGCTCGAACAAGACCAGCGTCCTCTCGGCGGTATTGAGCAGTATGCTGCAATGTCCCCCCAGCAAGGCCATGAGCTGTCTGAGAGAGGCAAACCGTCGAGCGGGCGTAGCAGCGCTGAGGCTCCTGACGGCCGGAGGAAGCAGAGAAGGAGGAGTGCCGCGGCGGTGATCAACTTGGAAGATGACGAGGTGCCAGCGTCGGCGCTTGAAGTCCCAGAGTCCCAGGAGAGTGTCGTGATGCTGCACAAGCAGCGCAGATGATACGATGGAACGTGAGCTCGGCATCTGATGTGCTCATACGAGCAGGGGCTGCTGAAGCATGTGGCTGAACTTGATTCTGCGCTTGAGCGTTTTGCTACCTCTACGAATGCCCTTAGATGCATATAGCTGCTCTATTACGAACGGAGATGATCAGATCACATCACGCTCCATTGCCCCGTTGCTGCACAATCTAGAAGGTTCCACATCGCTCATTAATTTGATCAATCATACAGCATTCCTCAGCTTCTCGTCCTTTTTCTGCTCCTCCTTCAACGCTTCCGTGATGGCGCCGTTGGCTCCACGGCCCCCTGTACCGTCTTTGCCTGCTGCTGCTACTGCTTCGTCGACTTCTGTTACACCAGCACTGTTAGCATGAACACAAATCAAAGCGCAACGGGAGATACTCACCCTCATACTCATCATCCGTCCCCGCCCAAAACCTCAACTTCTCCCTCTGAAACTCCCTAAAATCCCATTCCCGATCCTCCAAATCCTCCCTCTCACTCACCCACACATACGTCTCCGCCTCCACCTCCTCGCCCTTCACATTTCCCTTCCCCTCTTCATCCCCCACCTCCGTCAACAACTTGCACTTCACGAACTTCCGCTCGTAGTCGCTACCCTCGAAAATGTCCAACCGCCACATATCCGCCTCCGTCAGCCCGGTCACATAGGTCCCGCGAACGCTGGCTCCGGACGTGGGAAGAATGGCAGGGTAGTCGGCGCCTTCGACGCGGTGGCGGCGGTAGTCGTGCAGGATGGCTGGCGCCGTGGTGAAAGGGGTTGTGCGGCGTGTGGGGTCGTTGTGGGAGGCTGTGCCGTCGCAGACACGGTGGAGGACGGCGGGGGCCATGAGGGTGCCGTAGAAGAAGGCGGTGTGGGTTGGATCGGCCATGGTGCAGACGTGGGCGACTTTGGATGTCCTTTTGAGGGAAGTGTTTTATTTTGTTGGGTGATGTGGTGGATCTTGGGTTTGAGGGATTTCCATGTGTTCACTCGGAGGTCGATGGCATTTTTGTAAGGGGCGATTTATTCTGTTTGCCCTTCTTTGTCTTATCTATTGCACGTGTTCGTTTGTGCTCGTGTCTCATGACGGGGAAGAGGTGCGTTGGCCGAGTGGCGAGGAAGTGTTTCAGGTTCGCAAGCCTTTTCTTTCTCTGCCCCTTTCCAATTGACCAACACTCCGCAACAGTGCGAAAAATGCTATGAGGGTTTTAAGACATTGGGAGAAGGTAGGAGACTCGACGATACTGTAGCCGAAGGCATGGCGGCCGCACTGCTTTCAATGCTAGATCGGAAGGTCCTTCTACGACGACGGAGCCTTGACTTTAGGTACGGTAGATGTATTTGGCCACTTCAACCACCCCTTCTCCATGGATTGGTACCAGGTAAGCACTTGGTCGGGGGCGAAAACAATTGCCAGTGAGTCCGGCTTCTTGAGGACGCAGATGCTTTGGGAAGCACAACAGGAAGCTACATGTGATGTTATTGCGCAGCGCAAGAAGGACAATCTAGTGTCAACGGCTCCGTGAGAAGGGGCAAACCGGACCAGCAAGCACCACGGCAACCTCGAGAGGTGTAGACGGCAACCTCAGCGCCCGTCAGGTAGGTCCGGCCGCCTTCGCCGTCTTCTCCTCAACTCAAGCTACGTTGTCAACATCACTTCCATCCTCTTACCATCACACCATTTTTCGGCGAACATCACTACCATGGCCGCCTCCCTGCACTCCCGCGTCACCGACTTCCTCCTTTCATCCCTCAACATCCATGTGTCCGGTGGCTCTGGCCCGTACCGCGAGGGCCCGATCGATGTCTACGTACCGTTCCACCAGGCCTACACACGGCCTCCGGAGCGCAGCCCCCCGCCAATCGCCTTCTCCCTGGCGAACTCGTTCCCTGGTGGCTCTATGCGCACCGTTGAGAGCACCGCATCGCCTGCTGGGGAGGGGATAGTGTTCGACATTGACCTGATCACCACCTGGAGACTGAAAAACTCCATGGCCGCCTACGAGGTGTTTTTCTAGGAAAAGGCATTCGAAGCCGCGCTGGGACAAGAGACCATGTTTGTTGCGGTGGAGGCTTTTCTTGACACCCAACCGGCCATCGGTAGGCCCACAGAATCCCCATGAGACTTTGTAAACTAATCTGATCTCAGAGATAAACGACCGACTCCTGCGCCGGTTCGCCGACTTTCTATCCGACCTTGGCACCCAGCCTGTGACTGTCACCCTGTCGAGCCTCGTCGCAGACATGCTTGACTCGTATGCCAATGTCACCGATGGGTTGGAAGGCTTCTCCTGGAGCCGAAGTGGGCAGGAGATGGATGTTGAGCAGCTCATCCGTGAGTTTCTATTCACGAGAGAGTGCTTCTACTACTCGAGGACACGCACGCCATGCGTCGAAGCGACATTCTATGTCACCAACGTCACGCGAAGTGATCTCGACGTGAGCCTCGAGTTTTCGTGGAATCCTCCGATAATGCAGTTCCACGAGCTTCGCAACGCCGTTCGAGAAGGTGCCGAATACATCCTCACTCCGACCATCGAGGAATACGCTGCTACAGGACTGGCAATGACCGTGGAGTATTTCTTGGGACCGGGGGAGACCTGGCTAAAGTGGAATGCCAGCTCGGAGTGCTTCAAAGGTGAGGTGCCGCCAAAGGTGGCTTCTCGAGTTGGCGCAGAGCGTTTTGAGACCTATACCATGCCACTCGAGCTCACGACACGATTGACGAGAACGTTCACGGCCGAGATGAAGTACGAACAACTCATCCGGTGCGCATTGCCGCTCACTGTCAAGAGGCGCGCTACACTGTGTTCGACCGATCATGAGCCAATCCTGAGCCCTCCTTTCGCAAAGACTACTGGACTACAGAAGCTGGACGGTTTGCTCACGCGTGGGCCGCTTCTCTACAGTCCAAGGACCCGTCGAACTCCCATGCCTCCACCTCCGACCCCCTGGAATGATCCTGGGAAGGAGAACGAGTACCTCAACATGAAGGAGCTGCATCTGCTGATGGAGCGCAAGGCGCAGTCACCTCGCGGGCGCTCGCCACTCCGATTGAACTCACTGTCTCTCGCAGTACTTCATGATGCAGTGGCGCTGTCACAGCCGCCTGCTCACATGCGGGATCTGAAGGTTCGGATGATGCATGGACTGCAGCATAATGGTCTCGCGTTTCCGCACGACGGAGACACGAGTGACAAGGAGAATGAAGGGGAGCCGCAGAAGGCTCATCAGACCCAGCAACGCTCCATTCGCAGACGTGCTACCAGAGCGAACCTCAACCAGGCTCTCAAGGAGATCGGCATGCGATCCACGCGGGTCGACAGCCGCATTGCTCCTCCACCCCAGCCAGATGCGGAGACGGACAGCTCAGCCTTCGATCACAGTGCAGTGGAAGCACATAGCAGCGTACGCCGGACGCTGCGTGAGCGAGCTACAGTCCCGAATTTCAACGAGTCACCTGCGCAGATCGACTTGGGTTCAACCCACATCACTCGTCGTGGCAGACTGACATCGCGATCGGGCTCAGAGAACGACCTCCACTCGCCCGGCATGATGTCTCCACTTGCACACAACATCACGCCGCCATCGAAAGCCTTCCTAGGCAGCCCATCGCCGAAGAAGTCTAGGTACTCTGCCGGTATCATGCACAACCCTCTGCAGCAGCGACCGCTGCCAATCCGCAAGCGGGCACGCCAGACAGCGTATATTGGCCCTTCCATCGAGTTGCCGAAGAGAAGCGAAGCACGGGCACCTTCCAGCCACTGTGACTCTTGTCGCAAGGATTCGAGCAGGCACAATCTGGACGGCGAAGGCGAGCCGGTGTGCCCAGATTGCCACAACATTGTCGACGACCAGCATATCACGCATGCTGCTCAGCTCTCACGAAGCGACACTGCACAGGGGGGCGGGGTCGCTGTCAAGTCAGATACAGCGACCAAGACCGAGAAGCCTCCAGTCTCAGCAGACGAGTGGCAGGCAGCGATCCAGCGCAACTACGAGGAGCTCAAGCAAAAGAAGGAGGAGACACTCGAACTCACGATGGAAGATATGGTGGACAGCGAAGAGGAGTTGCCGAGCTTTCAATCGGATTTGTAAGGGAGGATAGGTGGGAATGGTGTTGATTGCGGAGAGACATTGATTGAGGGAGTTGCGTTTTGCTGCGTTATTGTTCTTGGAGATGCGCTCAAGTTGACAGCGTTGTAATTTTGATTGTGCTAGCATTGATCCGGTTCACCTCCAGGCGTTCCAACCACATCGTTTTGCTCGTACAAAGTGAATCATGCTTTCACCCATTCGTCTGTCGACCACCGCTGCCACCCCACTCGCCGACAACTTCATCTCGAATCACACCAACAACTCTTCATCTTCACTTCCAGTCTTGCCTTTACGCAAAATTATCAGATATGGTCCTCGAAGCAGGCTACCCCAACACCAACGGCTTCCGCAAAGTCGTCAAAGCCACCATCCTCGTCAAGAAGAAACCCGGCATGAGCGACGCGGACTTCATCGAGCACTACAACCACAAGCACGCCCAAATGGCCGCCCCGGTGCTCGAAAAACACAACATCATCTCTTACTCCCTTGTACGTCCCCCGTGCTCCCTTCTCACCTTGTGCCAGGCTGATGTCGCCACAGAACCCAAGCTAAGCCATCTCCATTCTATGGTGTGTAGACATACTGCCTAACCCGCGACCGCACCATTTTGGCCGACATGCTGCACGGCCAGGCGCAGATGCTGGACTTTGACGCCATTTGCACGTTTGTGTTTAAAGACTACCGGGACTTTGCGAGGTTCATGTATGATCCGGCGAGTAAGGCGTTGACGCCGGATCATGAGAATTTCATGGTGGAGGAGGATATGCGGATGATGGTTGGGGATGAGTACGTGGTTATTGAGGATGGGGAGAGGGTTGGGTGATTGCCCTGGTGCTGTTACTGTGATGGGGGGAGGATGGTTGCGCGGGAAGTGTAGATGCTTTATCTGTCATTGGATATTGTATTTATCTCGTACTCTGATTCCGTCACTTTTCTCTTCGTGGCCTTTCATCTGAGCTACGCGTCGCAGAGATTGGTTCGGTCTCGTCCTTCTCAATATGAGGCAAGGCCGACTCATCACCGGTCCGTCCCAGTCCTGCTGTTGAGGCTGCGCTGGCTTCTGAACTCCGATCGCCTCTATGGTAGCACCAGCCCAAGCTTGCACGTCTCCAAAGTCACCTATCGCCTTGACAGAGGGCAGTCTCTTCTGAAGCGTCGCAGCATCATCGATATCCGACTCCGACCCATCACTAGAGCTCACTCTCTTCTCCGCGAGCATGACCACATCCGGATCGTTCGCGAGCCTCATAGCTCCCAGACAGCTCTTCTTCACCGTAGCCGTGCTTCCAGAGCTGTAGCTCCAAGTGCCCGCTGTAAGTGTCGCTGAGCTTGGGCGACTATGGATCTCCCCGCTTATGCTGCGACTGTAGATGCTGGATAGCGACTCGGTGCTCTTATTATGTGTGTTGAGATTGCCGAAAGACAAGGCAGGCGAAGGAGGGACCATCCAGACGGTTCGTTCTTTTGGTACTGCATCTGGTCTTGCTGGTCGGCGAGGCGGGTGGACGGCTTTGTACATGGCGCTATTATGGCGGTGCCTCGCTGGAAAGTACGCAGGTAGTGGTGGCAGTGGGGAGGCAGGTGGCATGCAGTGCATGGTAGTTTCGGTTCGTATTGACGAAAGCGAAGGCCGTGGTGCCAGAAAGGAGGCTCTTGCTGTCTTCGGTGCGTAGATACCTAGGCCGACCACCCTCTCAGGCTTGGTTGGCAGCAGGTTCGTCATTGAGCTGGTCCTGGAGGCCATGAGCGTGTGCGGGGACAGTGATGTTGATGAGCGGCATTTAAAGGACATCTCGGAGTACATTGCTCGTTGAAGCGAGTTCTTTTGCGGAAAGGTCATGGGCAGTAGCGGCGACTCCTGGACGACGCCGAAGAGGTGGCTTCTGAACGGCTCGCGAACTTTCTGCATGAGAACGAACAGAAGTCCAGACACGACCCTTGGAGCTGTCAGCCATGATCTAGTAGAAGAGGAAGTCGACGTACAAGGCCAGTAGACTTGCTCCGATGCTACTCCGCTGCAAGGCGCACGTCGTCCCGACATCGATCATGGGCACGCCAGCTGATCGTGCTTGCACGCAAGATGGGTGTCGGGCAAGGATGAAGGTTATGCTCGTTGCACAGCAAAAGAGCCATAGCGTCACAGCGAGTCGTAGCGCGTATGTGGCGACAACTTGGTACGAAGTGCGGCTTCTTATACTCGCTGTTTGGTTTGTCTTCGACCAGCAGTGGGAGGCCATGTTGGCAAATCCGACGTAGAGAACGGATGTGGCACCCTACGACATTGTAAGCTGAATGTCCAGCGCAGTGCCCAATGTCTCAAGCTTACAGCAGCTATCATCAGCACAGCTGTTGGCAGCTCTACCGCCGTCCGCTCTCCCACCACCACGTTGTAGATTGCACCGCCGACGATAAACATTGACGCTGCTAGTAGAACATGCTGGCTCATGATGATTGCGATGTCCCTTCCTTCCTCCTTCGATCTCTGCACACTCCTGCTTTTCCGAGAGCTTTCGAAAGCCCATCTGTGGCTCGAAAGTGTGGTGGTTTGGTTATTGTACTCGCTGCTTAAAGAGATTGATGCAGTGCAAGCAGGATGAGAAGATGAGCTTCTGTGAAATGAAATGGATCCTCACATACCGTGATGAATACTAAGTGGCAGTAGAGCGGCTGGTGCAGCGACATCGAGATCGACCGAATTCCTCTCCAGCCGCGTCGCGTGAGCGTGAGAGGGTTGAGTGCCCGCATGAAAATGGCTGGCGAGGAACGTGAGCCGCTTTCTCACCTTGAGACATCGAGCAAGTCCGCTGTTGAGCGTGTCTGAGCCCAGAGTATCCGCCATGAAAGGGTGGCCATTTTTGAGATCTTACTTCGGTTGACTGCACCGGATGTGGTTTTCGAGTCACAGTCGGTCCTCTTCACGGCAACGAAGCCTCGTGCCACGCTGAAGCGGCTCAAGCCCGGAGGAGCTGCGCGGCCCGGTGGTTGTAGCAGATGCCGGCAACCAAGATTCATCAGTCACGTCCATCAAGGCCATGCCGCCCAACATCGAAGCAGAAAGAAGAGAGCCTGAATGAAGGGCGCAGGAAGAGGCGGCAAACTCCCTCGTTCGCAAGGCCTCCCCAAGCGTCTGGCTTCCGGCCTAATTGCTTGAATGCGCTGTTCGAGACCAGCAGAAGTGTCATTCACAAGTCGTTGAGGTGGGCCTGGTCCAAAGAGGTATGATCAGGGAAAAGTCGCTTGACGTGGTCTCCTCTGCAGTGCTGAAGACGTCGGCCGCTTTTCCAAACAAGTCTAAAATTTAGCTTGGTGGACCCTGACTTCTGCACGGCCTGCATAAATGTTGCATATCTGCAGGTCCAGCTCGTGCTCTCCAACTCCACCTCGCTCTGCGGGTTGCAATGCTACAGGCCGCTTACGGCCAACTCGCAGCATAAGACAATGCCGGCATCTTTTAGCAGCGCTTCTCTGCATCTCGAACTTTCTGGCGTCGCTCAACTCGGCTAACGAGTGTTGTTCGGTGGCCTTATCACCACAGCCCAGAGCGAACACGAACGCTGATGTACACCGCCAGAAGCGTTGCAGCTGTAGTTCGCCCCAACGTGGCCTATCTGCTGACAACCTCTGGGAGAGCGAGGCTATAAGAAGGGCGTCAGTAGGTCTCAAGAATTCCCTCAGTTTGCTCGCTTCAAGCACCACCAAGTCCTCCAAAGCACAAAGATCAACAGCCCCCTCGAAAAACATGTCTGCCCACACCAAGCTCCACAGCAAGGCCGACTTCGACAAGGCCCTCGAGACGCAGGGCCGCTATGTGCTGATCCACGCCTACTCCGGCTCCGTTCTCGACAAGGCTGAGGAGTGAGAACCTTCCATAGCGTTGCAGAATCCACCGCTCTCTCGAAGCTGATATGGAATCCATTGCAGGTTCGCCGCCAAGTACAAGTCCAACTGCGATGCGTACGCCGTTGATACTTCGGAGGAGCCGAAGGTGATGGAGTACTTCGGTATTACCCAGACTCCAGCTGCGCTGCTTTACAAGGATGGCCAGCAGGTGAAGAAGGTTGAGGGAAGGGGGTCCGGGATTGAGGACATCGAGAGCCTGCTTAAGCAGTAGTTGCCTCACAAAGAAAAAGGGACGGTCTTCCTGCTGCGGCGAGGTGGTTCACATCAAGCGACTGAGTGATTAATGCCATTCCATGCAGACACCAGGAGTTGATGCATCCCGTTCCTCACCTTCCATGGTCATTACAAGTTCTTTCGTCTTCTTGACTTTTGCAAGCCTGTCCAATCTCGAAGGTCCATGGGACTGCATGCAGGCCTTGTAGACCTTGTCCCGGTTGTTGTTAGGAATGCCAACGGTGCGAGTACCCGGACATGTCTTTAGGAAGTCATATCGTCGTTGTGTCATGTTCGAGTCGGGAATATCGGGCGTAAGGTGAATTTCCACTGGAACTGCCTCATCCGGCATGCCGGTGATCGTGCCTTCCCATCACAGCGTCCTCAATCGTCGTCCTTGCTCTTCTCTTTCCATCTCAACACCGATGGATAGAAGCCTCCAATCTAGTCCGAGATGGAAGGATCAGTCTAGTGTATATAATAATTGTCGAAGAGTCGCAAGCACGCCATGGCCAACATCAAGCACGTGAGCATCGGCAACAAGCGGTCAATGCCACAGAAGCAAAGGCCGACACTTCTTTGGTAAACCATCCACACAACATCCCCGTGGAGACTTCCGCTCCTCGAGACAGCTACCGAGAAACAACCGTGTGGGTGCCCACCGACCATGTGGTTCTCACGAGACGATGAGCCTCGGACTTCATCCTTCGAGCTCTCGGGAAGCAGATTCGGGACGTTGTCATGCCTCAGCCAAGCTGCGCCGAGCGACGTCCCGCTTCTTGGAAGTGATGACAAGGTGTAGGATCGGAAGCGTATCGCGAAAGCCATGCGGCTTCTTTTCGTTGGCGGGATGGACTGGGCCTGATGCGGCTGCAGTGTTGGACATGGACGGACCAGCTCGATAAGTGTTTGGAAGCAACAGCGACGATGAGATGAGGAGAGACCGACTTCACGAGCTGAACACTATCGCAGCCCCGGACAACATCGAGGAGATGTTCGCTAAGGTATCACCGCCAAGTGCTCGGCGGTGTGGGGATATCAGATGTAGGTCCCTCGATGACGGAGGAGGACTGGGGGGTGGTTGTATCACGATCGGGTATAAGAGAGATGCGATCGCCAGAGGTAGGTGGTTGTGCAGGGTATTGCTTCCTTCCTACTTCATCTCCTACCTTTCCTTCACCTTTCATTCTCTCCGAGCACAGCTTCATTTTGGTACTGAACATTACAACCACAATGGAGCCCACCGGTAGAGAAGCAGAGCCTGTCGCCAGAGGCACTCTCGCAACAGCAAAGCAAAGCTTCCGCGACCTCTTCAGATGGGAACAGCGAGTCGAGATCTTCAATGAATACGGCGAGTCGAGGACAGAATGGCAGAAGCCGAAGCCGTTGAAGAACCCATTCTCGCTCTTCGCACAGTTGTCACCAACGGGATGGCTTTTCTTCTTGGTTGGGTTCGCAGCATGGACGGCAGACGCTTTCGACTTCCATGCGCTTAGTATTCAGACTACGAAGCTGTCGGACTACTATAATACATCGAACACTAATGTTTCGACCGCCATCACCCTGACGCTTCTGCTTCGCTCGGTTGGCGCTGCGTTCTTCGGTGAGTTACCTCTCGGGCGTCCAGGTGAAGAAGCTTTACTGACCTCGCAATAGGTCTCGCCGGAGATCAATTTGGCCGCAAATGGCCTATGGTTATCAACATGTTCATCCTCGGTCTGCTTCAGATCGCCACTATCTACAGCGCTACATTCCAGCAGTTCTTGGCTGTGCGCGCTCTATTCGGCTTGTTCATGGGAGGCGTCTACGGCAATGCTATTGCTATGGCGCTTGAAAACTGCCCTGTCGATGCTCGAGGATTGATGTCTGGGATTTTGCAGCAGGGATATTCTTTTGGGTTAGCACTCACTTATGATCTAAGGCACAGGCATGTGCTGATATAATATAGCTACGTCTGCGCAGCCTGCGCCAACCTCGGCGTCGGCGGCGAAACCGACACATGGAAGACCGTTTTCTGGATCGCGGCTGGCCTCAGCATTGGCGTTGGCTGTATTCGCATTGTGTTTCCAGAGAGCAAGCAGTTCCGCGAACGCAAAGCGGCCGGTCACAAGGGCGCTGCTCCTGGCGTCTTCTGGGCGGAGACGAAGACGATGCTGAAGAAGGAATGGCGCATGTGCGTCTACTGCATCATCCTTATGACGTGGTTCAACTACTACTCGCACACTTCTCAGGATAGCTACACCACTTTCATGATCGACCAGAAGGGACTGGATAATACTGGAGCTTCCGTGGCAAGTATTCTGATGAAGACTGGTGCCTGCGTTGGTGGGACTATTCTTGGGTATCTGAGTCAATGGGTTGGACGTCGCAGGACTATGGTCGGCGCGGCTCTGATGAGTGCTCTGCTCATCCCTGCTTGGATCTTGCCTACATCTGAAGCGGGGTTATCGGCCAGCGGGTTCATGATTCAGTTTTTCGTGCAAGGAGCTTGGGGTGTGATCCCGATCCATCTCAACGAGCTGTCGCCGCCGGCGTTCCGGTCGAGTTTCCCCGGCAGTAAGTGCCCTTACTATTCTATCTATCTACCTGATGCTGATGAATGAGCAGTCACATACCAACTCGGCAACATGATCTCCTCCCCTTCCGCCCAAATCGTCAACGCTGTCGCCGAGTCCCACCTCATCACCGCCCATGGCGAGCGCGTCTCCGCCTACGGCCCCACGATGGCCGTTGCCACCGCCATCATCGCAGTAGGCATCATGGTTACTGCATCACTTGGGCCCGAGAAGAGAGGTAGTCACTTCGAGAGCGCGGTTATCGGGCAGAGTGCTATGGCTACAAATGCGGAGATGAAGGCGGAGGATCTGGAGAGGGGGGCGAGTGTTGGTGAGAAGGCCGGGGAGGCGGAGGCTATTGAGAAGAAATAGATTATAGCCTTGGAAGATTGATTGAAATCGACAGACGCTTCAATGGATGAGGTCATCATCTGTCCGCTGCCCTCCAAGTTTGCTTGTTCCACCTGAACTCTTGTTTATGTCTCTGACACTCTAATGCCTGGCGATTGAATTCGATGTCACCCTGGCCTCTCTCTTTTCAGCTACCTCTGTCACGTTACGCCAAGACCAAAATCGTTCCATCCCGTCCAAGCCCCAAAAGATTAATAGTAATGTTGAATGTTACACAGGGTGTTAAGAAACATTCAGAGACCTGTTTGATCAACGTATGATGTGACTGTAGCCATAGCACCCCGGCAAAAGTTGAGATGGTAAAGTGTACCTCCTCCCAATTTTTTCAACGGGACCTGCCCTGCGAAAGGGCAAAAGAAGAGGGGCTCCACCGCGATTCTTTTGAACTGTTAGCTAATAGATCGGGGCATACGGTTAAGAAGTGATAAATACCGAACGCGGGGCCTCTTGCAGATTGCGGTAATGTATAACCCAAAGCAAGCTATTGTTTGATTAGCTACGGCTCCAAATTTATGGCAGCTGAGCAGGAGAGCCTTACAATCATACCACTAGACCATAGAGCCGAGATCGGAGAGCCAGTTAACGCCCAATGATGTAAGCAGAAATTTTTTGAGTGAATATATCACCTTAGCAACTGGCCCGAAGAGATCCCGGGGCGTGGAAGCGTCGCTTACAAATTCTTTGTGCTTTCTTCCACGCTAGAAAGCATGGATGAGGCACCTTTGGAAGATATAACAACAGCCCATCGATACAAAGTTGCCAGAAGAAGTGACAGATCCAGATGAGATGGAAGCGCTGCATACAGCATGAATCTAAAACTTTCCTCGAGAACAAAAATCGGTTGAAAAGGACTCAATGAGATGCACATAACGATTGGAAAGGAAAAGAACGGCAAGAGTGCTTCCACACCAGACCCAAGGCATCTCTTGACGTCAACGACTCCCTCTCGACCGACCATGCCGGGCTGCAGCAACGTCTCTTCGTCGTCCAGCAAAAATGAAGTCACTACGGGCAAGAACTTGAACTGAACCCGCCACTTGGACCTTTGGCCGTCTTGAGCTTCACAGAGCATAGCGACTATTTCGAGGTCCCGTCTAAAGCAAGGATTGTGTTACCGATCAAGAAGGCCGCACGATCCCTCTCGGACTCCAGCTCGTTGTAGCGAGAGAGTGTTCGCCATAAATAAGCATCAGTGGCATCAATGAAACCGGACTCGAATCGCTCGACCGGCGGCTCGGTGCCTGGGACGTCGATGTCCTCGTGGACAACGAAGCGGCTGCGGAGGAGGCCGTACATGCTGTTCTCGACGGGGTCACGGATGGACTGGCATTGCGAGGAAAAGGTATTGATACGCTGCGACTACAACTTAGCTGACGACATGATAACAGTGGGATGGAATTACAGACTGCAGTAGGCATGTGGGCCGTAAAGAACCAAGGTAGTTGTCATCCTCGTGTTACAAGATCATTAAAAGCGTGATGGTCTGATACAGATGAATAGAGCAAGTATTTGGGTGTAGCGGCAAGAGGTGAGGTCAAAAGCCACGTGACCCTGTTCGTGCATGTGATGATGACGTTTCACCGCGACTTCACCCTCGACCCGAAGACAACTTGAAGATCTCACAACTTCACGTTTCATCTACTGATTCTCTTTTTCTCACTCATACGACTCTTCAAGATGTGCTGGATCTCGACAAACGGGTGGCTCGCGGTTCGCCGAACGGATGGAGGAGTACTCGACGAAGAAGCTGGTAGAGCAGAAGAGGCGCCTCGAGGATTCCTTCGCCTGATGCCAAAATCGCGGACCAAGGCTCCTCTCCCACGCAAAGTGCGCTTTCTCGGCGTGCCGGTTGACGATGATAGGTACGTACTGCTTGATCCTCTTCCCAGGACTGGCAAGGCAGGCGGAGAAGAGGCGGTGGGCGGGATCTCGAGGGGCGGAGAGAGTGCTCAGGGCGGCGACAGCATCTGGGAGTACGTTCCGGCCGAGGAGAAGGGGCGTACGATGATGCCGCTGAAATCGGCCATGAAGAAGACCAAGGTTCGTTCGCTCTTTCTTTCCGAGTCCGCTCCTTCCTTTTTCGGATCACACCGGTGGTGGTGGTGAAATTTCATTCGATGTTCATGTGCGCGACGACGTCATGCCTCAACACTTCGTCAACACTTCTTTAACTCCACGCGCATGCTGAAAACTGTTCCATCATCACACTTTCACACCCACAACACCGCCCTCCACCTCCACCTCCACTGCTCTCACTCCTCGTCGCAACCATGTCCAGAACCGCTTCCTCATCCTACGAGCACTGGCCCGATGACGCCACACTCACTTCATCCACCACAATGGCATCAATCTCCGGCTACACCAAGCACAACGGCATGCGCGAGTGCGAGTACGAACCCGCTAACACTGACAAGGCCTCAACTACCACCGGAACCACAACCACGGCCAAGCTCAAAAGCAAAGGCGAGAAAATGAAGGCCGCGGAAATCGAAGCAGCTCCCGAAGCACCACTTTTAGCGCCCGCACCACCAGCACATATCGCTCAGCCGTACCAGTACAGCTACCCGCCACGGTATAGTTACTGTGCACCCAGTCCACAATACCCTTACTTTCCGAATCCGAGCTTTATTGTGCCAGCGCCGGCGTACTACGGTCTCCCGGTGCTGCAACTCCAGCACCCGTACGATCTGCCGCCGGGTTACTGCTACGTTCCTGCGTACGCGCCAGCGGTCGAGAGCAGAGCGGACACGAAAGGGGAGGGAAATGGTGGCAAGAAGAAGTCCAAGAAGCTCGAGACGATGAAGTGGCAAGGTCGTACGAAGGCGGAGGTCGAGGAGGATAATATGAAGATTGCGGTGAAGGAGGGAGCGTACAAGAAGAGGAAGATTGAGCCGGTGGGGTTGGGGGATGATCAGCCGGTTTGGGTGGTTCTGGGGAATGGGAGTCATGCGTTGAGGTGGGGTTTCGAACTTACGTGGAAGAGAGACTGTTAAGATGCTGACTTACGGTGCGTTATTGCAGGATGTACAGCGAAGCGAAAGAGATGAAAGGGGAGTGGCATAAGGATCCCAGATTCAAAGGAAGCCTTTACCTCGTGTGTGAGCAGGACAAGGTTGAGGGAAATGGAAAGGAGAAGGCGGAGGGAAAGGATTATCAGGCGGAGAGTAAGGGTGGCAAGGGTGGAAAGAAAGGTGGCAATGGCGACGAGAAGAAGTCTGGCAAGAAGGACAACGAGAGGAAGGACGAGAAGGGGAGTGAGGAGAAGGACGAGAACAAGAAAGATGGCGCAGACGCTGGCAAAGGCAAGAAAGGTGGAAAGAAGGGCAAAAAGGGCGGGAACGGTGGCAAGAAGCAGGGCGGAAAGGAAGAGCAAACTCCCGACGAGTCTGAAGGCGAGAATGCTGAGGGTGAGGAGGGTGGCGAAGGCAGCGCAAAGGACGCAAGGCCCAAGGAAAAGAAATGCACTTGCGGGAAGTGAGCGCTCAGGGTTGAGGAACTCGCATCAACGCATCGAGCTTGGGCGTCAGAAACCAGTTGACTGAAGCCTTTCGAAGTCGATTGGAGCTCAGCATTAGGTGTTCGCATGTGGAAGACACGAAGAATACTGCCTACCTGCATGCTGGCCGTTTCATAGGCCGGCAATGAGGCCAGCAAATCCACAGCATAACCCATTCCAGCCCGTCAAACTCATTCAATCATCCCATCCGGCTCATCATGTGCAAGACCGTAAGGATTCATATCCCCTGTATCCGTCCCATCGTCTCAGTCCCACCATATCACACCCTCACATCTTCTCCCCCTGAATCGTAGCCACCACCCTCCTACTATGCTTCATCGCCCTAAACTCCAAATACCAAATCCCCTGCCACGTCCCCGTCGCCAACCTCCCCTCACTGATCGGCACCGTCACGCTCGTCCCCACGAGCGAACTCTTAATATGCGCCGGCATATCATCATCCCCCTCCGCATCATGCCGGTACATATCCCCCTTCTTGTCCTCTGGTGCTACGCGGTCGAGGGCGTCGCTCATGTCGGTCCGGACGTCCGGGTCGCAGTTTTCGTTGAGGGAGAGGGCGCAGGAGGTGTGTTGGATGAACAGGTGGAGGAGCCCGACGCGGTAGGATTTGATTTCCGGGAGCTCTTTTTCGATGGTGGAGGTGATGAGGTAGGAGCCGCGGGATTTGGAGGGGAGGGTGAGGGTTTTTTGGAACCAGGCTGAGGACATGGTGGGTGGTGGTGGTGGTTCTTGAATTGGGGTTGTAGGTGTCGGGCAGGACGCGGGAGGACAGCAGGCACAGGTTGGGTAGAGGGAAGCTGGGGGTGTTGGGTAGGAGAAGTCGGCACCGAGGAGGCGGAGCGGGAGGTAGATTGGTGCAAGGAGGAGTTGGAAGAGTGTGGGAAAGAAGGCGAAGATGAAGATTGTAAGGAAGATGAGGGTGTTGCGGAGGCTGGTGTCGAAGGGCATTGAAGGTGAAGTTGATGCGAAGGTTTGGGTGAGAGTGACGTAATGTGGGATGCTCTAATTGCACGTGCTACAGAAACCATGCCTTCGCCATGGCCCTGCGATGAGCTAAATGCGAGCTCTAAACGTCCAATTGATAACAGTTTATTCCATGCAGTGAAGGCACGCCAATCTGACGATGACTCGACATGGTGCTCGTCGTGGGTGAATGCTTGATACATATGTACAACAGCCTGCGCTGTCTGGAAGAGCAGCCTCTATCTATTCTCATACGGAACACCGGTCGGCGTGTGGAACGCTTCTGTCGATCCCGTCCTCGCATCACCTTGGTCGTTTCGAGGTAGAGCTGCTGGCATATGAGAAGGCGATCCCGCTTCCAGTGGATATTCGGTGTGTGGTAGGCTTTCGAGATGCTTGCGGTGGTGTTCATGTGCCTGGATATTGTCAACACCTTGGCCAACCTTGCTTCAACACTATGTGGCGAAGACGGTTGTTCGGGACGTACAAATGGCAGCCCGCAGTAAGTGCACATGCATATCTGCGGCTTGTCGACATTGATGAAGATACGCGGGTGTCCCAGTGGCCCACCACCGCCATCGCAGCTAACAGTCCGCTCCTTCGTCCATCGTACGGGCTGTTGGTGGATCAGATCAATGGCGGCGAGCGGTCGAGGCTGGTATCACGCCTCATGTTAGTAATCGCATTCTTTCTCGGTTCCCCTTCATGCCTCGCTCAGCCAACTAAAAAGATGATTCTACGCACCTGATCCTCCATAATAGTCTGCTCAAACCGCGGCCCAGCCATCGCCGTCGCCCTTGGCTGCTGACTCCTGCTCCAGATCCCGGCCTTGTTTGGCGCCTGCATGGTGCGCTTTTTCTCCCCTTCCTCCGGAGACTCTTGCAATGCTCGGTCCTCGGCGCCTATAGTGGTCATGGGCATGGCATTGGACTTGGAGGAGGACGCGGGAGCTTCGGTGACATTGTCGCTGGGGTTGTTGGCGGGGAGAGGGTTATCGGTTACGGTTTGCGGTGTTTTGTGTTGGGAGCTGTAGAGGCGGTATTGGCGGAGGGTGGGGAGCAGGCGGAGGGGTCGAAGGGGCGGCATGGTGGGTGAATGTGTGGTAGAGATGGGGGATACACTCGAAGTCGGAGATCAGGACGAGCTTCAATGGTCGGTCTTGGCGTCACGGGATCGCGTGCGCTAGCGCGAGGCGGCACTTCACTTCGTTTTCCAGCTGTTCCTCATCTTCACTACCTTCACCAAAACATCAGCACAGTCTTGATAACGGGAGTACTAACACACCTCTGTGGTGCCCGATGGTAGGTGCATAACACTTCGCAGGAGAAACGGCATGCTGCAGTGCCATCTGTGGATCTCAACACCCACAGCTTAGCTTCCATCTTCTCAACCAACTTGAAAAGATACGGCGGCCAAGAATACAGCCCACTCATACCCATCATGGCAAGCGAGCCTGCATTTCTGACGAGCCTCCCGGTCGAGCTCATGGTTAACGTGGCTGAAGCCATCTCGCCCTCGGATCTCCTCAGTCTCAGGTCAGCCTGCCGCGATACCGCTGCGAAGACCCATGACATCTTTCTACGGACTCACTTCAGAGACAAATGCTTCATGATATCCAACAAAGCCTCGATGAGCACATTGCTGCAGATCTCCAAGAACGAAATTCTTGCACGCTCCATCAGACGACTGTGCTTTTTCTCCACTCGTCTAATCCACGTGACAAGGCTGGAGCACAGACAGAATGCCATTAAGGAGCTTTGTGCACTCGATTCAGTCAGTCCAGTCCGAAGATCGCAGGCAGACAAGCGCAGGCCGCCGTACGAGGCTTTCGAAGCCGGGCAACAGGCATTTGTTAGACGTGATTGCATGGACGTCTTGACAGAAATCTTTCTCAACTTTGCGGAAATCGGCAGCACCCCAGCGTCGACTTTGTCAAACCTGAGCGCAAGATTGCAAGAGGAGGTTATCATTACCCACAGGATCTCATGAATCTTACCAACCTCGATCAGTTTCTCGCAGACGTCCGGCCATGGGGTTACCAGGTTCTTTGCAAGATCTTCAAGACTCCGCGATATTCCACAGCGTACCATCGAGACCACGCTGATCACATCAATGTGTACAAGGCCCTCTTGAGTGCCAGATATCCAGTGCAGGCGCTCACGCTTGGCGATGTGGATATGCCGTTCAACGTGCACATGTTGGCTATCCGAGACAGCTCGTTCCTGTCGAACTCTCTGCGCCTTCTCAAGCTCAAAGTCCTTTTTCCGCGAGGCCTCGGCGCCCATCCTACCGGCGGATATGCCAGAGCCGGTCTGAGTGCCTCGGTCCACTTCCTTGCTGGTGCTCACAGCCTTGAGTCTCTGGTCCTGGGAGTCTCGTACACCCCTTTCACGGATCCAGCCATGAAAGGTCCCATCTTCAAATATATCTCAACCATGGCGTATCCGGACGGCACACGGATCGTCATCACAGCGGACGCACAGATGCTGCCAAAGCTGAAGACACTCGAACTCCAAGATCATGACGACCTCGATCTCCACACACTCCTGTCTTTCTTGCGCGAGCGCAGGCGCACTTTGACCGCTCTAACTTTGGACAGCGTGTAGATGGAAAAGCCATAGGCACAAGTCAAGCAGGCGATCGAGATTGCAGTCGAAGCAAACGAAGCGAGCTCGTTCGTGTTGAGTCGACGGTAATGGGGGTCTAAGTCGCGAGCATTGGCCCAAGTGCGGGTGCTGGTCGGGGGCGATTTGTTGCTAGGAGGCCGAGATACGGCTGGGACATGAGACCACATGTGGAAAGATGTTGATGCTGTCAACCCACTACTTGCTGATCATCATTGAGAGACGGGGAGTTGTTCGCTGGTTTCTGGCTTTTGACCTGCATAGCTCTGCACATCGCATCTTTGCTGGGACGATTTGAGGTATGGGGTTATCGTCTGCGTTGCTACAGGGCAGGGTATGAGTATATGTGAATGTATCTGCGATTTGACCATGTCTACAAATATGTCGTCTTTGTGGTGGACGAACGAGTGTCTCGGCTTCATCTCGCAAACTTAGTGAAGTAACGCAACGATTTTTAAGAACCTGTTGAAACCCCGACCTCGCCACCGAAAGAGCACCTACATCCAAATGCCTCAATCCACCATCGCAGTCATAGGCTCACTCAACATCGACTTCATCACCCGCACCCTACGCATTCCAGAGCCCGGCGAAACTCTCACAGCAAAATCCTTCGACACGGGCTTTGGTGGCAAGGGCGCCAACCAAGCGGTAGCATGTGCTCGACTCGCGCCTAAAGATGTCATAGTCCGCATAATGGGCAATGTCGGCGATGATATCTTTGGGAAGGATTATTTTGAGGGGTTGAAGAAGGAGGGGATTAATGCTGGTGGGGTGAAGATGTTGGAGGGGGAGTAAGTCTTTTCTCGATGTATGGAGGGTGTTCCAAGGCGGTATTGAGGGAGAGGTGGTTGAAGATGCATGCTAACTGTGGGTATTCAGGAAGACTGGAGTGAGCAATATCATTGTCGACGAGGTAAAGCTTTTCTGGGTGAAACCCTTCGATGCGTGAACGATTCGCTGACTGCCTGTAGATTTCCGGCGAGAACAGGATACTATTCACGGCCAATGCGAACTACAAGTTTGGCAACATGGAAGAGGGAGGGTGGGATGTCGTGCCAGAGCAGGCAGACGTGGTGGTCTTCCAACTGGAGACACCGCTAGACTTGGTGAGATCCGAAAGCCTCTTCAGTACAACGACGATTTCGATTAGCTGATCAACAGTGCGTAGGTGCTACATAACATGCACCTGGCCCGCGAGAAGAAGAAGCACGTCATCCTCAACCCAGCGCCCGCCTCACTGCTCCCAGACTCTGCATACCAAGACATCGACACCCTGATCATGAACGAGACCGAGTCGAAGATCCTTTCCGGCAGCAGTCATCAAAACCTCCCACCTGCTGAGCTCGCTCCGCTGTTCCTGAAGTGGGGTGTACAAGAGGCTGTCATCATTACTCTTGGTGGCGAAGGGTTGGTGTTTGCTACTGCTTCAGGAGCTTCAGGCCATGTTGCTGCTCGGAAGGTGAAGGTCGTTGATACGACGGCAGCTGGCGATACCTTCGTTGGTGCGTATGCGGTGCAAAGGGTGCAGCACGAAGGCGAGGCAGGATCGTTCGATTACAAGAAGGCGTTGGAGTTCGCTACCGGCGCTGCGGCGAAGTCGGTCGAGAAAGTTGGAGCGATGGCCGCGATTCCGTACTTGCGTGAGCTCTGATATGCTCACGATATATGTGAGGAAGCCTGCTGTTGGACTTTGCGCCGACATGCTGTGTCAGACAATGTTGCAGAAGCTGGCCAGGAAGCCGTCCAGAACTCAGAACAGTCCGTCCAACTCATCATCTCTGTCCCAAGCCATCCTCAATCGTACCTTCCCGTCACTGTGCTCAGAGGCCACTGTCGCAGGATCCTGAGCCTGCTGTTGATCGTAGTGCCTATCCTCTGCCGACACTCTTCTGTGACTGCTCTCTACTCTGCCCATTGCCCTGCTTGTCGATCGTTCGCGCCGCTGCTCCTCCACTCTTCTTGGTGGGGGATGCCCCTCGCTTCCAACGTCTTGCGTGCCCTCATGTTGAAATTGTTCCTCTCCGTACTGCTGACGCGGACCGCGGTCCTCGACATGCTCTATAGCTACGCTGCTCCGCTTTTGCCACGCTTGATACTCGCTATATGTCATATTCATAGGGTCGCCACCACCGTTGTATTTGTCGCGCAGAGCCGGGTGGCCTGCAGGAACACGGATCGTAGACTCAGGCTGGTCCCAAGAGTCAGAAGATGCCACGCTGAGCGGATGCGGTGAGATCCAGCCACGGCCTGCGAAAACTGTCTGGGGCTGTTCTTGGTGTGCCGGCGATCGGTTGATGTTGATTGATGGCACTCGTTGGAGCTGGGAGGCGGTATAGTCTTGCTCTTGGCCTTTCCGGGGCGGCGACTGACGTGCTGTTTGATGTGCAGGCGAACCGTAGCCAGGATGAACGCGAGGCGAGAGTGGTTGTAAATTCGGTGACACCGGATACGGCGGCCGCTGAGCGAACGACGGGGATGCGTCGTAGCCTAGTCGCTGTTCAGGAGCAGGAGTGGGACTCTGTCGGGGAGACACGACGCCTGATCCCATGGGCATGAAGCCTTCCGGCGTTCCACTACCCCAGAGCTGATCATCAATCTGGATCGCCGAGCCTGTCGGAGGCTGCCCAAAACCCGCAGGAGACTCATGGGGTTGTGGCCCAGTTCTCCTCTCATTGGAGCCTTGTGAATCGTGACCGCCTGCCCTGTGGAGAGATCTAACACGAACAGGCCCGATGTAGCTCCGCTGCATGTCCATGTTGACTCGTGATGATGCATGACCCGGGCTGTGCTTGAAAGAGCCATGAGAGCTTACACCTGCATTGCGTACGTAGGCCGCGTTTGCTAAGGGAGACGACATGTACGGCCCCGGGCGACGCGGGAAAGAGGCAGCAGAACTTGGTTGTAGAGCACCGTGCATGAACGGCGGAGACGGCGTGCCTGATCCAGAGGGAGGGGTGCCAGAAGAGGTGCCGCTGCTTGAGTTCCCGGCATCATTTCCGAGGGGCTGGCGATCGTTGGGATGTGGCGACCGGTGGATCAGGTTCGACGAATGGACTGGGTCTGCGTAATCGTCTTGATACACTGACGTTGACCTCGGAGGAGCAAATACACCAGCTGAGGAGCTTTTTTCGCGCTTCACGCTAATGCTGTAGCCCACTGAGGCAGAGTGTGCTGTTTGTTCTGCCTTGGCATGGGCCACCGAAGCAGCACGCTCGACCTTGGCGGCCCGGAAAGAGTTGTTGTAGATAGATGGATCGAGTATGCTTGGATCCCTTTCGTATGCCCTTGTGAGTGCTTCCGCAACAGAGTGTTCAGACCGGACCGGCGAAGGATGTTTCAATTCCACGGGTGGTTGGTGAGCCGTCTCCGCATCTGTATAATTCTGCCTCAAGGATTGCTGTCTCTCAGCGGGCGGGTTTCCATGTGCGTTCGGGCTCGAGTAGCTTCGTTGAGATTCGACATACGCCTGGAACGGCTCGTAAGTCACCTGCCCGACAGCTTGAAAGCCTGTCGACCCTTCACGACCGCTTAGGCCAGCGGAAAAGCCACGCGGAGTTGCCCAGCGCACCTGCGATGGCTTTGGACTGGCTGCCCTAGATCTCGCTGGCGGAGGAGACCAATCGTTGCGGGGCTGGAACGTGGGCGGTGGTATGGTTTGCTCAACCCGCTCACCTGGGACTGCCCAGCGCACTTGCGAAAGCGTCGGACTGGCTGCTCGGCTAGGCTGCCTGGATCTTGGTGGCGAGGCAGACCTGACCTTCCCGGGCTGCCATGCAAGCTGTGGCGATGCGGGTTGTGGTGGTACGGTGTGCTCCACTCGCTGATGAGGAGAAAATTGGGGGCGTTGGTCAGGGTGGGAAGCAGATCGTGGCTTTGATGATACACTCGATGGTGGGTTGATGTCTTCCTTCGGCGCTTCTTCCCACCCCGCTGGAGATTGCGGCCTCAAATGCCTCGACTGTTTGGCTGGACTTGCGTTCTTGGGTGCTGCGCTCTGCTTGTCTCCTGCTGGCTGCTTGGGTTGCCGCTTTTGCGACTGCTTTGGCGGCTGCTCTGCTGGGCCAGGATCCTTCGGGTTCTGCTTCTTGTGCTTCTTCTGAGCAACGGGCGATGATGGCTTCTGATAGTCGTTGGCGTTGGCAAAGTCTGCTTCTGCCACGGAGGTCCGGCTGCTGGCCGCCGTTGTCATCTTTTGTACGGCCTCATGCCTCTCACTCGGCGCCCTACTTGAGCCGCTTTTAGAGCCACTCTTCGAGCTGCGGGAGGACCGTCCACTAACTATAGATCTTCTGTGCGCGCTTGACTTCATCATCTCCTCAAGCTCCATCTCCTGCCGGATCTCCTTGGCTGCCTTTGCAGCTTTGGCGTCACGGCGCGCTCTCTCCTTCTCGGCGTCCTTCTCGCGCATCTGTGGCGGCGGCTGCACTTGTCTGGTCTCTGAGCCTGTAGTGGAGAACCCTCCAAGCCCAGCGGGAAGAGGCATGAAGGCCTCGCGACCGTCTTTGCCAACAATGCGTACCACATTTGACGCATCAGAGCGGGACGATGCGACCGAGCCACTTCTCACAGACGTCTTCGGAGATGGTGCCCTCGCAGGCTCCGGTCGTGGTACCTTCATCTTCTTCTGAACTGGAGGCTCGGTGACCTTTTTTGGCGGAGACATGGGTGGTAAGCTGGGCTCGCGGACAATCTCGCTGCGGCCATCCCGACCCTTGATACGTATGCCGCGGTGTGCTAGTCAACAGTATCCTTCCATTAGCGCCCGTCGCGGTAGAGAGGGAGAGCGATGACGTACCGTCGATTCTAGGAACGTAGAACTTCGCCTCGGACCTCTTCTCACGAACGAAATCCTGATCTTCATCAATGTCAGTGAACTCCTCTGCCAACGCCTCCAGCTCTTTCCTCTCCCTCTCCTTCTTCCGGTCAGCGGCATTGGCTTTGGCAAAGCGGTCAAGAACGGAGCCAGATATGTGGTGATCGCGCGTAGGGACAGTTCTGGCTCTGTGATGTCCATCCGGTCGGCGGCCAGCGAAGTTGAAGATATCGCTGCTATCGTCAATGTCAGAGCCGAGGGCGCTGCGATCGCTTACAGTCCAGTGTCCAGAGCGACGGTCATTGAAGTGGTGGCCATCTTCTCGCTTGTTTCGTCGGCCGGACGTGCGACCCAGTATCACCTCGAAGGAGTCGTCTATGCCAGACGCAAGGTCGGAGTCCACCATGTTTGCTGTCCTGGATTGTATGCTGTATGTATCGCGGGCGCGCGGCGGGTTGCGGTGGTATGCAAGGTGAAAAGTGGTGGTGGACGAAACCGAGACGAAGGAAAGAGCGACTAAGTAGCACAGAGTTTGATGAAGTGACGTCGCACAAGCACGTGCTCACCGAACGACATGCATGGTCCTCGTAATCATACCTTCGTAGCATAATCATAGACCTCATAACTTCGCCTTCTCCATCTTGTGCTCCCTCTCCCACCGCCGCTTGATGTACCACATCCGTATGTAACTGATCGTTCCGCTCAGCGCACCCAGTGGCGGACAAAACAGTAGCATCCACGACCACCAGCTCGGACTCCCCTTCCTCACCACCGCCATGACCCTGTCCACTTCCCTTCTCAACTCCTCCTTGCCGCCATCATTCCACACCACCACACCCGCCTTCTCACCCCTTCCCAGACACTTCTCTGCCTTGTCCCTCACGTCCCACTGCGCCGCTACACGATTCTTCGCATCTTCTTCCGTCAGATGATCGTCTCGTGCCCGTAGCCTCTGCATCTGCACCTTCGGATCCTTCACCGCAACCACCATAATCGTACCACACATTGGCTCCCAGCCGCTCTCAAATAGCAGCGGAACATCCAGCACGACCGCCCAGTTGCCGCGTAGATATGCCATGAGCATTTGTCTGTACATTTCTTGCCTCACAGCAGGGTGTACGATCCCATTCAACGCCTTGCGGTCGCTCTCCAGCCCTTCGCCGAAGACCCTCCTTCCCAGCGCAGGACGGTTGAGAGGTCTCCCCTTGCCATTGTGACCGTGCTCGCCGCCGTTTTCTGGTGAAGGCTCTACTAGCAGGTCTGGTGTTGAAGGGCCAAAGTGTGAGACGATCTTGTTGTAGCCTGCTGTGCCGGGCTCGACGACCTGACGCGCGATCTTGTCCGCATCGACGACGGGGAGTGAGTAGGGTGGGGAGGAGAGGATGGAGGAGACAGTGGATTTGCCCGTGGCGATACTGCCCGTCAGGCCGAGGAGGAGCATCGTGAGAAGAGGCTATCAGCCGGTGAAGGTGGTTGACCAGACGGATGTTGCATGTGATTGTGAAGTTGGAGCTCTCAGTCGCGCGGACCTCGGCATTCACTCCATCTCTTGGCGGTTCACTCCTGCCTATTGCGGCAGTGCTTGTGCGCCGCTTGTGACTTCACACATCTAGCTGCAGAACAGTATGGCTTATAGTATACCACCACAACTCTCTCTACTGAGAAACATTTCTAGCTTGGATCTGAGACCGCACCGAGCACCCGTATGGAAGATATCTCGCAATGCAGGAAGACTGTGCACCTGAACTGGGCATTAGGCGCCGGCAAGCCTGCCAGCTGTGCCGCCCACTGGCTACCACTACCATTCACGTGATCGCGACCTCATGCGTGCACGACAACTGCATATGCAACATTTGTTAGTCGTGCAACACGGTCGTCCAATCAGATCTCTGAAAAGGCCCGGTACGTTAGATTGAAGCCAGCGTTTGAGTGCTTAAATTGAAGATACGAACGGAAGCCCTGCTGGTATATCTCGATGCGTATAGCGCCGTCGACAATCTTTCCAGTCTCCTCTCGCCCCTCAGAAGACCTGCAACTGCTCAAAGTCCCGCTGCGACGCCCACTTGTATATTTCTTGAAACAGCGCGGCCAGTCGCTGGAGGCTGACCGACAGCGGATCGGTACTGTCGTTCACCCGTATCTTGTAATACCCAACCAAGACCCATCCACCCTGGTCTCTTCGACGCAACACCAACGGCCAGCCTTCACAGCAGGACACAATCAGATCGCCGGGCCGGGTATCTTTCGGCACATACCAGATGAGCTCTGCGCGCAACCACAGCAGAAAGCGATCATCTCCGAAGAACACGCTCTCCTCTGCAAAGCCGCGGTTGGTACTGACGAGTACGTTCGTCGCGGTCGTTGATAGGCCGTTCTCCGTGGTGGTGTAGTTGCTATCAACGCCGTATACGGTTCTGTACACCGATCGCAAATACCATCGTAGTCCGGGATAAAATCTGCAGACGGCGAGCCGGCGCCAGGAGGAGTACGTAGCGCTTGTGCGCTCCGATCGCTTTACCTTGAGCACATGCTGGACTTCAGCGAGCCTTAGGCCGTTCAATCGCAACACGGGCCCGGCCTGCTTTTTCCACTGATGGGTGTTGTAGAATAGATAGTAATCTCGCCATGGTGAACCCACTGCCACAGCAGAGCGCTGCGTATTGCGAGTGTAATGGCGCCAGTTGGGCACCCAGCTGGGAAGGTCCAGGTCATCGTTCGAACGTCCAGTACCAACGGCCAGGTCTTCTAACTCGTAGAGCAGCGTGAAGTCTTGCCGTGCGTTCAGTATCATGACAGCCACATTCGTGTACACCTCCGCAACGGTGGATGTGTAGTCGATGCACAGGGCCGCATCGTAGCGTAAAGTGTCACCAGAGGGGTAATCAGGACTGGATGCTGTGACTAATTAGTGGCCATATCCTTTAGCCCTCCATCTGCGGGCGTTTGGCCAAACTCACTCAAGATGCCCTGCAAAGCATATATTGCATCTCTAGGATCTGTCGCAGTGGCATAGTTGGCGTGCTCTAGCAGATTCAGCAGTTTATCTCCAAGCCGGCCGTCGAGTCCTATAGTGGGATGTCGGATTCTCTCCAGTCTGTCGAGCGGCTTGTCGAGTGGTTTATCGAACAGTATGTCAAGTCCAGCTCCTCCGTACCATGTTTCGAAGTCAGTCAGTTGGGCGAGAACCTGCTTCGTGCGGAAGTGTTCCCACTGACGGCCGATCCAGGTAAAGTCGCTCCAGCTGATTTTATGCGTGCCCACGTGCACATTGATTACAGCTGCTGCAAACACTTCTTGAACAACCCACGTCCGTCGCAGCCACGGGCGAATGAGCAAGTCATGGAATGCTGCGCAGGTTTCCAACAATTCGCGCTTAGGGCAGTTTGTGAAATATGCCCGATCCTTGTGCAGGTGATTCAATGCGACCAACGTTGAAGGAGTCGCATCCCCGAGCCACACAACAACTTCCTTTGCCCGACGATAAATGCGGAGCATCTGAGCGATTTGGAAGGCCTTTTCGCCAAGGTCCAATTGATTTATACAGAGCGCATCCACCCAAACAGGGCGTGGCTTTTCCAGATACCGCAGGTGTATCAGCGCTCCGTGCAAATTCTCGGTGATGCTAAAGTCACGACCGTTGATGGTGATAGGATGCGTGAACTTCGGCTCTCCCCAAGTATACGACAAGGCTTCATAGCTTGTCTTTCCTTTGACTCCGGACACTCCCACGCCTTCCTCATGGTACGTCAGAGCAGCTGGGCGAAGATTCGCTTCCAGTGGGTCGTTTCCTTCACCAGGTAGAAGGAAGAGAAGCCGTGTCTCCCAATCAGAGATGGGTGAGTATATCTTCTGGCACTGAACCTGCCGCTGTTCATCGCTTAGCGAAGGACGAGATGGAGGCTCTGTTGCCTCCTCAGGGGTACGTTGATCGGCACCGCTGCCAGACGCTGCTGCCATGGTCCTGGTAGTCAGTAGCTCACCGTCGCGATATTCTCATTGCGCTAAGCTACAGGTCTCGAACAAAAGAGCGTAGGACAAGGCTGACCACTTCTGGCCAAGTCCATCACCTGATGCAATCTGCAGAACGCTGCATTGGTCATTGGCTCAGCTGCAGCTATTGGGCTCTTTGTTGCGCATATGAGATACATTACCGGGTATTCTGACATCTGTGTCGTCGTGGTTCAGGTTGACTCTACACTTTCAGATGGATATTCATCAAGAGGCCGAATGAGAAGCCGCGCTCGCAGGAGAAGTGAGGTGCGGGCAAAACCGGGATTAGTCATGCACTATCTCCTCTCAAGCAATCACGGATGTCTTGCGACAACCTTTCTTCACGAAGGGCCACGGTCCTACACTAGCAGATGTGAGGACGATCCAGCAACCGCTACGGACCCGTCTACGCTCGCAAAAATGGCGCAAACCAACAAGCAGGGCAAGGAGATGTCCTCCCGATTGGCGACCATGAAGTTCATGCAACGCTCTACTGGCTCTCCTTCAAGCCCGCGCACTCCTGACCAGCCGTCTGGCAAAAGACAGCGGATGTCCAATGGCTCGTACAACTCCACTCCGGCGTCCACCGATGCCCAGCGCGTAGAGGAGGCCATAGCGACAGAGGAGCGCAAACGCGCAGAGATAGCAGAGAGGGAGGCAGCGGGTCGCGGCGAGACGAAATGGTATTTGAGCTTCAAAGAGCCACCAGTATCGCAGCAGTCTGAGTCTCCATTACGGATCGTGTCGGCGGGATACTCTGCGCTAGATGCAGCAGGAAGGGAGCGATCATCTGAAGATGAGGGCGAGGAGGACAGCGTGAGGCGACAGATGCAGGGCAGAAGGAGTTTTGGCAAGTTCAATCGAAAGCTAGAGGTACGGTCACATCCATAATTGCTGCGTTCAAGCTTACTGGTCTTCACAGAAACAGCAAAAGTCTTACGACGCGGAGTCTTCTTCTTCATCCGAATCGGAAGACGAAGACGAGGAAGAATCAGATGAAGACGACCCAACCGGATCCGCAGCCATGATCGCCCAGTCTCGCAGAGAGGCCGGCGACAAGGCACGCGCAGAGCGCAAAGCCAAACGGAAGGCTGAGCAAGAGGAGGCAGAGGTCATGGCTGGAGAGCGCCGGAAGAAGCAGATCAAGCTCAATAGTAACCCTCAGAGTATTTCGAGTGGTGGCGGGAAGCTTCGGGCTGGTGGAGGAAACACAGATCAAGCGTGCTTCAAGTGTGGCCAGAAAGGCCACTTGAAGCGGGACTGTCCGCAGTGAAAGTGGGCTGGCTGATTTTGCTGAGCCCGTTGACAATGTTCTGTATTCAAGCGGTGGATCGCATGGGCACAATACTAGTTGTGTCAAACAAGCTGTGAGTTGGCTTAGAGAATTGACCGTCCTTTTCTTATTCCGCTGTCCTCGGCTGTGCATCTTCAGACTGAAATTTCTTTTCCAAATCTGTGCTACACTGCTAAAGTCCTTCCAACGACGTGATCGGCAGGACACTCAATCAGCTCAGCTTCGGCCCGGCGAAGTTCGATGTCGTAGCCGATTCAGGGAGGTTCGGGCTTCATGTCAGCAACTTGCATTTCAAGTCGAAGCCAGACAACTCTGAACTTTCGATGGCGATGAACGGCAGGCTGTTCAAACGAACTGGAGGATGATCATGCTCAGTAAGTGCTGGATAAACCTTGATACCAAGTGCATTGCCGCATGCAATCTCAGAGCTTATATACCAATTTCACACCACCTGCCTTTCCAGCTTTCATCATTTCGAGACCTTCGTTCAGCACCCCCTCAAGACCAGTATTGCTGATCTTCGGTGTATGCACCTTCAGCTTGCCCTCGTGCAACAGCTTCTCAGCAATAGCATACAGCTTCTTCCCATATTCGAAGTCAGGCGGGTTGCCAGGGAACACCTGCTCGCCGTACCCATACTCCTTCCCGAAGACCGCAAGAGACAGGGTCATCTTGGCCTCTATATCACTGCGGCCGAAGTCTGCCGGGTACGGAAGCGTGGAAGACACGACGCCGCCTTTACTGGACACAGCAGCCGCACAAATCTGTGGTGAGCTGTCTTTGGCGATTGTGTCGAACACCTTGGTCAGCCTGTCTTGAGTGTACTGACGAATCTTGGCTGCGCAATCTGCATCTTTGTAGTCGAACGCTTCGCTGGCGCCTAGGCTCTTGACGTGGTCGAAGCTGCGAGCGGAGCAGGTTGTGATCACGTCGTAACCAGCACTATGAGACCTTATCAGGATGTGATCTTCAAGACAATGCACATCTACCTGACTCACAGCTTCGCGAACTGGATCGCAAGCGTGGCGGTAGCGCTCGTTCCGCCATAAATCAACACCGACTCTCTTTTGCCACCTTCACCTTCTCCCGGCAAAGGCACGCCTAGGTTCCGGCACAGGCCCATACCGACAGTAGCAACACCACCTCCCGAAGTAGCCGCCTCCTCGTCACTCATGCCGCCTGGGATGCGCATGCAGATATCTCCATTGGCGACGACGTACTCAGCGAAGGACCCTTCGTCTTTCTGGACGATGTTATTCTGGAGCACCCAGCCGGACACTCGATCGCCTTTGGACCACTTCTTCGTGACGTTGGATCCGATGTCTTCGATGGTGCCGGAGAAATCGCAGCCCAGGGTGGTGTCGGGAATGGGCATGTAGTCGAGGTTCATCCTGAGAAATGTGAGCGGTTGAAGCGAGTTGACAGAGTGGAGGCGCATTACGTATCAATTGGATTGAGAGCAACGTATTTGACCTTGACCAGTACACATCCACTTCGAAGTTCTGGAAGAGGCACATCCTGGATCTCAGCTTTGCCGGCTGATACGACTTTGATTGCTTTCATTGTGCTTGGTGCCATTGTCGTTTCTGATTGTCAAGCGGAAGCAGTCGAGCTGTGGGCAGTGAAGTGAAAAAGAGGGCTGGAGGATGGTTGTCGATACTGTGAGCCTTCATTGTGGCAAGAGGTCGTTGATATATAAATCGTCATGGACATCAGGCCACCAATGTGACAAGCTGGGCTCGTAGCGACACGCAACGGTGCATCGGTGTCTTCGCATGCTGACAAGGCAGAACAGATGTACGTAAGTCCTGTCAGGTCGTGTCGACACATCGTCAAACCATAGCCAAGGTTCGGTGGGCGGCGAGATCTCCAGCGTCGTGCAACACAACGGCGTGGGAGAGCAACCTTGTTCCTCAGTAATTGCTGACAACACCACCCAGTCACAACGACAAGCATGACCAGGCCGGATCCGGTGTAGAGTCCATCGCTATGTCCGAAGCATAGCTGTAGGAGCATTATAAAGCTCTCTGACTGTGGCTTAAGCCACCTGACTAACAGCTCTGGAAAACCAGCTCTGCTGCCGAACCATGTCCGAAGACATCAACACTTTCAGATCTCCTCGAACACAAGGTCAAAGTGTCCTGGGTCGACAGTGAAGTGATCTCTAGTCTCGTACATCAGCCGTCTGCCGTCTGCTCCAGGGGCCAAAGCGAGGTCGAAGCGTGTTACAAGCCTAGACGGTGCACAGCTCATGAGCGCGAGACTCTTGCCTGTGCATCCGAATGGGCCCATAGAGGGTTTCAAAGGCGCCTTTGTGCCTGATCGTCTCGGTTTTCTGGACTAGCGTTCAGGAGCAATGGAGTCTGGGTCAGTGTAGATCTGTGGATCTTATTGATGTTAATCTTGAGTTCTGGACCTCATGAAAGGAAGATTATACCTCTGCCCCAGCAACGATGATTAACCGCGCATCAGCCTGGAGCATGGTATCCGTCTGTGCTTGATCGATGCCTTGGTAGGCTTTGAGGATCCAGTGCATCATGTCACTGTTACAGAGCGCCAGGCGAGCTGATCAACGCAGAACCTGACGAACTTCTGGTAGCCTGCGGTTGCTCTAAAGCGTCTGGAAGCGGTGGAAGTAGAGATCCATGTAGCATGGTCGCATATCGCAGCGGCCGTGCAAGGAGCCGCCAGCGAGGGAGACATGATGTTTCGAAATAAAAGCAGATTCTAGGAGTTCGTGAATGAGGACAACAAGATGAAGCTCTGTACTCACACCGTCACATACCGTTACGCACCCTTCCGTCTTCCAGCGGCGATGCTCGCTGGTATAGAGTTCATGTCCCCCGCAGTCGAGTTGTATCTAGGCCGACGGGGTTGCGGATGGCTGTAGGATTTACCGGTATACACCAGCAGAGGCATCTGGACTGTACCTAACCTTCGAGATTCCTGTCATAGTTGAGGTTGGTCTTGAATGTTCGCAGCCACAGCAAGGTTGGAAAACCTGATCGCAGTTGTTCATCAAGCCTTCGTGTCATTTCAGTAGTAGTCTCGCTCCCTGACAATCTGCCCCTCAACCGACTTGGTATGATAGTCCTGCGATCCATTCAGACTCCGGTCTTCCAGCGGGATGGCGCCGACCCTCGCCTGACTCTTCGACAACGACTGCTCTTCCTGCGGGTCGAAGTTGTTATACTTGACTCTCGAGTTACCACCACTCGCGCCCTTGGAGCGGTTCATGGTGCGAGCGAGCGTTCGTGTCATGAAGGCCTTCAGGGGTGGAAGGGATCCGACGACGACTGCGATGCTGCTTTCGACTAGACCCCAGACTGCGAGGCCGACGGGGTCGGCGCGGGCGTGGGTGACGATTTGAGATAGGCGGACTAATGCTACTGCGATGATGATCTGAGTTGATGCCGGTGGTTAGCAGGTGTTGTGAGATCGCGTTGGATTTCGATTGTTGCATCACTTACCAAGCCAACACTGAATATCCCAGCCAAGCCAGCCTTCTGTTTGGCGTTGACTTGCAGGTTTCTGATCATCCTTATAGGCAGGGCCATGATGAGGAAATCGGTGAAAATGTCGATGGCAGTGCTGTATGATATTGAGATGACTGAGCCTTCAACATCGATGGGTTTTGTGCATTGGCCTGGAGAGCATCAGTAAGAGTTCATGGACGATGGGTGCCTTCGTTCACGTACCAAAGTCAAAATAAGTGCTCGGTGGATGACATGTCCATACGCTGGCGAACCAGCAGCCGATCTGTACCGAGAAGCTTTAGCATTCGGGATTGCAATGTGCTGACCCGGACCACAGTGTAAACTTACATACGCTGCCACCGTGAAGGCGGCCACACCCAACAGAATCCTGCGGTCGGCTTTCAAGCCATCGAAGAGCCGCCAGTACAGGACTAAGAAGCTGGCTTTGACGCTCCATACGATGGTCCAGAAGAGAGCGATGATAGCGAATTGATATCGCTATGGACGTGTTAATGTGGAAGTTGGTGGCTGGTCGAAATCCCAAGGGTTGCTTACCACGTAAATGTTGCCCTCATCCAAAAGCCCTTCCATAGGTCTGAGTCCAACGCTTGCGTACACAACATAGTACAGCGATTCAGCCTGCAATGTCTGGAGAACCGCATTCGTCCCAAGAAAGAACAGAGCAGCCAACATGCAGTAGTCGTCGGCATATAGTCGATGCGTATCCGTGATTCTGGCGTAACACCGCAGGCCGACAAAACACGCCGCCAGAGTGAATCCAGCCCATGCTACGGCGATCAACCCGTTCTCTGAAAGTCCAAGTGCTGCTCCAGCGAGCTGTGCATCGTTTTCTGGTGTTGGGGCCATGGTATCCAGTGACAGACGACTAAAGCAAGAGTCGCAACGGTTGCAAGTCAGACGCTATAGATGTGTAAAACATTGTCTGGCCTGAAGGCTGAAGACACCGATACTCATCCTTGTTCGGCTAGTTTTTGCATTGAGGCCTTTTCCCCCAGGGCCTGCAGCTTGTGGTCCATATTGTCCGGACTGACTAGCCGTGAAGAGCGTGGGATAATTAGATAAGAAAACATACCCCTACCCTGCCCATGCTCGCGAGGACAAAAGACCGTTCGCAGCACACAGATCCATGCTGCCCGCTGAAGCACGGCGCGCTCCCTAGAGCCTGCGGCACCCCACTGCCATGGTCTCGGGCCATCAAACCCACGTCTTTGTGCTTTATCAGGAAGCAGGCCGAGGTGGAGGCGTCGGCTGTCAAGTGTCAAGCCTTGTACTCCGTAGCCTTGCTGCATGTTGGGTTGATGCACGCGGCGGACGGACTACGGTCCGTCATCAAGACGGCCCTATCTTATGCAGCGTTAGACTTGCTGGGACAGGTGCCTGCAGTAGTGTTATGCATGGTTGAGGTCCGAGAGGCTGCCGAGGCCAGGAGATGCTCGGGTGTTGCAGGTAAGTGTGCTGAACTCCATCAAGCCTTGAGTCTGCCGGCAGCACATGTCTCATACGATTCGACATCCAACTTACTCCATTAAGGCCGTAAGTCAAGATTCTTCCAAGCGAGCTGTCAAAAGAAACTCCTTTCGGCCCGCTTGGGGCGGGAGTCGGCTCGAAGCCTTGGTCCCTTGTTGAAATCCAGGCTTGTTCCTGACCACGTTGCATGCACCCCACCCCTAGACAGGCCTCTGCTCCCACCCCAGCATCGCTCGTTTATCAATTTAACCACTCCGCCGGAGTCTCGGATGAACAAGTTTGCGCGAAGATCATCTCGCCTGGAGCAGCTCGAGCAGTCCGCAGCGCGCTACGATGCTTGCGGCAGCAAACCCCAGTCTATATTGTCCCCGGTGGCGTACAACTGCCGTATCAAGCGTGTCCGTCTCCTCGCGTGGGAGCGGGAGAGTAGAAGCAATATGGCACTGCCCTAGCACATATTGGATGCATGTCTCCCTGCCTAGAAGGGCTGGATGCCTGCGGGATAGCATCGCTTCGGTATCAGATACCTCCCAAGTCTCTTTCTTTTTACCTTCCCTGTCCTGCCCGTGGCTACTTTCGTACTCCTTCAATCACATCTTGAAACACCCTGCAGCGCCGACCATCAATCACAAACAACACGATGGGACCGTGGCTTCTTCTACTGAGCTCCGTGGCCGGGGGGCTTGCAGCAGCTACCGGGAAGGCGAAGGGTAACTGCAAGTGTGTACGTATCTCTGAGTGGAGCCTCTTCAGAAGGATGTACCTGACATTTGACCCTGCAGGCTCCTACAGACGCATGTTGGCCGTCAGATGGGCTGTGGAATTCCCTCAATGCCACAACCAAGGGTCATCTGATCAAGACCGAGCCCGAGGCGATATCTTGCTACCCTGGTCCCAAGCAGGACGCTGAGAGGTGTGAGGTCGTCGACGCCAGCTGGACACTGCAAAGCTTCCAAAGCTCAAGTCCAGTAGGACTGAGCTATCCAATGTAAGCTCATGCAGGGTCATTTACCATGCTCCTCGAAGCTAGCCATGACTGACCAAACACGACTGATACAGCAACGAGACATGTCCGCCTATCAACGTCACGGCAGGGGAGACTCCAGGCACCTGCACGTTGGGCACGAATCCATGGTACGCTGTAAGCGCATCGTCAACTTCAGACGTCGCTACGGCAATCAAGTTTGCAAAGAACCACAACGTCCGTCTTGTCATCAAGGACACTGGTCATGACATCCTGGGCCGGTCGACCGGCTACGGCAGTCTGGAGATCTGGGTTCGAAGCCTGCGAACTGGCCTCACATTCCAGCCCAAGTACAAATCGTCATGCAAGACGAGTGCATGGACCGGAGCCGCTATCACCGTCGGTGGAGGTTACACGTTCAACGATGTCTACAAGGTTGCAAAAGCCAACAATGTCGTCGTCGTGGGCGGTGGAACACCCTCCGTCGGTGCATTAGGCGGATGGATGCAGGGTGGAGGCCATGGCCCAGCGTCTAGACAATTTGGACTGGGAGCGGATCAGGTACTCGAGGCCGAGGTTGTGACGGCGGATGGCAAAGTGATCACAGCTTCGCCGTGCTCGAACTCAGACGTGTAAGTCAAGCCGAGGGATCGAAGGGTTCTCCAAGACCAATCAAGCAAAACCGAGCAGTCAAATACGTCTTGGAGACATTTGCTGACCACTGATCCTTACACTAGATACTGGGCTATCCGCGGCGGCGGACCGGGAACGTACGGCGTGGTCACCAAGACGGTCATAAAGGCGTACCCAATGGTCAACGTGCAGGTCCAGCACGTCGCCATCGCACCACTCAGCGACAACACGAGCGCCTTGCTGGACGCAATTGCTATCCTCTGGGAAGCCTATCCCGACCTGAACGACGCCGGATATGCTGGCTACGGCACCTGGTCCATCAGTCAACCAACGCCGCTCTTTGCAACATTCACAGCAGGCTACGTTCACGGCTTCTACACCTTCGACAAGACAGTATCCTACGCCAAGTCCACGTTCGAGCCAACGCTGCAGAAGCTCCTGCCTTACAACGGCACCTCACTCTTCATATCCGTCGACTACGTCTCCTATCCTGACTACTGGTCCTTCTACAATACAGAATCCGGCGTCGAGCCACCAGTCGGCACCGGCTCAGCACTAAGCTCCCGCCTCTTCTCTCGCTCCGCCGTGCAAGACGACACCGCCGGTCTGCGCAGCATGCTCGACGTCATCGCCGGCACACCAGAACAATACACCAGCAACAACTTCGAGCTCGTCTCCGGTGGAGCCAACTTCGAAAAGCCCGACGACTACTCGGCACTCCTCCCAGCCTGGCGCATCAGCTACTTCAACAACATCGTCGCTCGCGGTTGGGCACCGGACGCTACTCAGGCAGAGAAGGATGCGGTTCAACGCGATATCAGCTTCACCAAGGTCGGGGCGATGGAGAAGCAGGCGCCCGATACGGGGGTGTATATGAACGAGGGCGATCGTTTGGATCCGAACTACAAGCAGGATTATTACGGTGAGCATTACGATCGTTTGGCCAGTATCAAGGAGAAGGTGGATCCGAATGGGGTGTTCTACTGCCCAACTTGTGTGGGGAGCGATGAGTGGAAGGAAGATAGTACGGGGAGGTTATGTAGAGTGTAGAGACAGATGGCAGCATCGTGTATCGGCAGGAACATCTTTACCCAGCTTCGAGAAACGTTTGAAACTCCCTTCGGCCACCAAAGCGGACTTGACACGAACGGTGCCTCTGGATGTGGTCGTTACAAGGCCGACCGGGTGGCCATCGCCGTCGACTTCGACTTAGCAGCGGGAGGGCACTCCAGACTGGTTACGAGCGGACCGCTCCTTTTCCTATCGAAAAATTGCTCTAGAAGAGCGGTGCTCAACAGCGCCAGGACAGCCGGCGACATCGGCATGCTGGCCTTTCTAACGCAGTGGGTATTCGTGAGCGATGTGCAGGATGTTGCCTGCCAAAACGTCTAAAGGTCTCGCATGTCCACGTAAGCCAGGAGGACACCTCAACGCACCGCGCACGCAAAGATAGTCGCAAGGCAAACATTAAGGTAGCTTTTGGGCGACCAACGAATCCTGCAAAGTGCAGAAAGCGCAAGACAAAACCTTGTTGATCCCACGGTTTCGGGTTCGCCGAACGGCAACATGGTGGTTCCAATGGTTCAAGGCTCAAAAGGCCACTCTGGGAGCATTGCATGCATGATCGGCATCTCCCAGCTGGTGGGATCCAAGTCAACCGGGCTACTGAAATTCATCCCACGTCGATCCGTTATGCTGAGCCTCGTGGGCTCCTTGAGGATGCTTAGCTCGCACGTGCGGTCATGTTGAAAAATTGAATCCTCTGTGTTCGGACTAACTGGATAATTGTGCTATCGATGATGCGGCCCTGGAGTGTAACGGGCCTGGTTCAGGAGTGATTCGCGGACGTTGTATCTTGTGTTGTTGGCGCAAACCGTCGGGTCTATTCTGCGTAGAAGGAAGGAGGGCCTTCGGCCAGCCCCAGCAGATCGAGATACCTTACGTACGCCTATGTCGCACTGTCGCTCGTGTCGTCAACAAATCCGTAGCAACGTTGCATGGACCATCAATGCAAGCAAGACATGTTGCAGGGAGTGGGTTGATGCGGGATGTATGGCTATGCGATCAAGTCCTCAGCTAAGTCGTCATGGTCTATTCTCAGTGAGTCTCTGGGGTCTGAATTCGCGTTTCCACGACCAGACAGTAGTTATATACAGCCTGGCCACAGCATAGACATGTAGCTTCTTCAGATGTGTTTTGCAAGTAAAGGCAGAGTCGGAATGGAAGAAGGTCAGTGCACTCGGCTTTACAACCATGCTAGCGTCGGCCTTTCTTCCCTGCCCCGCTCAGACGCATCTCCACCTCCTCTCCTCTCCCCAGCGTCTCTCCCGAGTCCCTCCACACCCTTCTGCTTCGACGTTGGGTGTTCCAGACGCCCTGTCCTCGGCGCCAATGGCCCTCGTGCTGGCCGGCCACGAAGGATCGAACATCACTCCTGATCAGGTCGACGCCCACGCTGTCCGCTCACCATCCAGCCATGACCGGGGTGGCGAGCCGCCGCCGCCCAAGCGTGCGCGCTCTTCCGCAGAGGAGCCTCCTGCTACACCTGTAGACACTCATCACCTGTCCCAAAATGGCGGCCACGGTGGAAGTAGCCCTGCCGACAACACCATGCAACCGTCGAGCACGCGACTCTACAGCTGCGGGAAGTGCAACAAGAGCTACGCCCGTCTGGACCATCTTAGCAGGCATGTCCGGATGCATACCCAGGAGAAGCCTTACCAGTGTCAGATATGCTCCAAGGCGTTTGCCCGCGCAGACTTGCTAAAACGACACACGCTCGGCCATTCAAAGGACGACCCGAACACGAAGCCGGCTCTCATTCAGCACTCTAGAGTATCACAGGCCTGCGAAGCCTGTGCTGGTCTTCATCTCAAGTGCGAGGAGGAGAAGCCTTGCAAGCGCTGTAAGTCAGTTTGACAGTTGGAAAGGTTCTGCGGGACGGGGTTGATTGGGTCGTGGCGGTTCAAGTGCGAACCGCTTTGAGCTTGAGATGCTAGCCAGCTATTTTCATGGCTAGATGAGGTCTCCAAGCGAATATCAGAGCCCGCTGGATCGGTTTTAGTGAGACCGCATATTCCGAAGCGATTACTGACTGTGCTGTCCACCAGGTACAAAGAAGGCTATTCATTGTAACTATACCACGACCAACTACACGCCCACCGCCATGGAGCAGTCTCCGGAGAATGGGTACATTCCTGATCAACAGCAGTATCACGAACATATGCAGCGAATGCAGAATCTTCCGCCAATGCAGCAGCATATGCAGCCCATACAGCCTGCTCCTCCGGTACATCGTCAGTCATTCTCTCAAACACCACAGCAGATACCGCAACAGCTCCCACCCATGCAAATGACCGAGCAGCTTCCGTCAGCTCCACAGCCTCCTCCGGCGCCTCAGGCCCAGATGTCCATGGATGGCAGCATGATGCCTCCACAACAGCCCAATCCTAACATGTTCCACTACTTGCGTGATAAGATGATGCCCATGCAGGACCAAGCGAACGGAAACGGGGTGCAGGTCATCGACTACCAGGCCGGTCCTTGGACGCCCCGGGAGCTGTTCGACTTCGGCGTAGATACGAACATGGAGCTGAACGATCTCGACCTCAGCTTTCTTGACACGTATAACAACGCCAACCCCTTTGATCTACGTACTCCGAGTATTGGCTTTACGACGAGTGGATCAGACATCATGCCCAACTTCACTTCTGCCCCGGTACCGCCTCTCGACACGACAGCATTGCCCAAGGCTTCGGTGTGGCGATTCCGGCCCATACCGAATAATTCTGGTTCTGCCGAGCAGGTCAACCTATCTCTGCCAACACCTACCAGTCTAGAGATCGACCGAAGGGTGACCTGCGAGCCTATCACGCAGACTGCACGAGACAAGATCTTGGCCATGATTCTCAGTACCTGCAAGCCAAACAGCATTCCAAGAGCAGTGGCATGCTTTCCTTCGATCAGTCTACTAGATAGTTTGTTCCAGTTCTCCCTCACATCTCCCGGCTCTCATGCGAAACACTGGATTCATGCCCCAACCCTTCTACCTGGACAGACACGATCTGAAGTGCTCGCGGCTATCATAGCTGCTGGTGCAGTATTGACACCGGATGCGGCCATTCGAAAGGTCGGCTATGCGATCCAGGAAGCCATCAGAACAGCGGTGCAAGTCCACGTTGAGGAAGACAATAGCTTGATGCGGGATCTTCAGATCATGCAAGCTTCGCTGCTGCAGTTGAAGATTGGCTTATGGAGTGGCGATAGCCGGAAGATGGAGCTTGCGGAAGGCTTCCAGACAGTCCTTGTCACGATGGCGCGGCGGGCTGGTCTTTTCCGACGTGGAACGTACGAGCGGATAGTGCCATATCCAGACGACCAGGGCGACGCGCTGCAGAACAAGTGGCGAGCATGGGTCAAGCAAGAGTCCCGGAAGAGGTTTGCTCTCCACCTGTTCCGCCACGACCTGGAAGCATCAGTCAGCCTCCTCACTAGCCCTCTCATCTCTTACGCCGAGCTGTACTTGCCACTACCCGAATCCGAGAAGCTCTGGCACTCTCCCACCGCCGAACAATGGAAGGCTCTCTACATCCAAGCTAATTCCGCTCCACGCCTCAACCGCCAGCCCTCCCTCGTCGACTGCATCCAAGACCTCGACATTCTTGCCACGAAAGACATCTACGTAGATCAACGTCAGGCTAGCATGGCAGTTCTCGGTGCCGCCTGGCGTATGATCTGGGAGTACCGGCAGCTGGACTCCAGCATGAAGGACATCAACAACCAGTGGTCGAACGGCAACCTTCTGATGTCCTCACGACACTCTGAGCTAACCAAACTTCTCCAATGCTTCCGCATCTCTTCTGTCGAAGATGCGAAAGTTACTCTCATTCTCGAACTCCTGCTTATGCATCTGCACATGTCGCTCGACGACGTTCAGCTGTTCGCCGGTGTGGAAGGCGAGGAAGAGGCACGGCGCGTCTATCCATCGCTCGTCCAATGGACCAAGACTTCAACCGCCAGACAAGCCCTGTGGCATGCTGGCCAGGTCATCCGCGCTGCACGCACGCTTCGTCCGGGCTTGATCTGCGACTTCGCGGCGATCGCAGTCTACCAAGCCAGCTTAGCATTCTGGAGCTACGGCATCATCACTCGCGCTACGGAGCCAGGTCCAATGTTGGACAACTCCATTACCGCATGGCTGGACGGTGGAGATGATCACGGGGTGCAGCGATGGATCGTTAATGGAAAGGGAGGGGCTGCCATCCGCACGTTCTCCGGAAACAACATGCAGCCCTCGTCAGCCCCGCAAGAATCACCGGCACTTGTGACGAACCCAGATGAGACAGTGTTGAGCTTGGTGATGGCGATGCGCAGGAACCACAACGAGGCGAGGAGTCCGCCGCTGGTGGATAATCTGATCAATATCATGGAGGGGTTGCGGAAGGCTGCGAGGACGTAAAGCGTTGGTATTTTCGATGGACTCTTGGCTGGCATGGCTTTTGGGTAGCGTGTGTACAGTATGAAGATGGCGTACATAGGGACGATACCATGACTTGGTTTAAGCGTTTGCACGTGCCTGTCGATTGCCTAGCCCTTCAAGCAAAGACCATCCTGCCTTAGCGCCCGTTCGCCCACGATTCCCCCACGCCCAACCAAACCCCACCTCGCCCACTTGCCTGAGACAGCTTTCCAGCTCGAGGACAACCACGACCTCTCACTTCACCCATCACCCACAACATTCACGCGCCAAACAAACATGTCCGACAAAGACGACTTCACCGCCTGGCTCGACGCCCAACGCGCCGAAATGCGCAAATTCCACTCCGACCTCGAGAAGGACCTCCGCAGCTGGTCTGACGCTTCCTCTCCCACCAACACCTCCCCATCATCATCATCACGCAGCGAACCAGGCCCGTTCGAACGCTTCAAATCCTTCGTCGACTCCAACCTCGCCAGCCTCTCCTCCGGCCTCAGAAATTTCCCCAGCAACGTCTCGGAGCTAAAAGCGCAGATGGAAGCTGAACGTCTGTCGCAAGAAGCGCGGGAGAGGGATATCTCGTTCCGCTGGACGGGGAGTACGGATTCTCCCGACTACATCGCTACTGAACGGGATAGAGCGACGGAGCAGGAGAAGGTGGAGGTGAAAGAGGCGGCTATCTCGCTGCTGGCGGAGGCTTTTAGGAGGAATGAGGGTGTGGGGTATGAGAAGATCGATTGGTTGTACCGGGATCCGGAGGGGGAGAAGGAAGCGAGGTTGGGGTTGGTGGATCGCTTTGCGTTAGGCCCGCTGTTGAGTTGGGGAGGGGCGTGTTTTTATAAACCGGAGACGGAGGAGAATCTGCCGAGTACGGCGCTTTGGGGGCTGAGGAGGGAGAGGGGGTATAGGTGGTTGAGCGTCGAGTGGTTCAAGCGGAGTCCGTACTCGCCGATCAATGTCGAAGCAGAAGACAAGGCGGGCCCAACGTATCGCGCAGCGTTTGAGGATCTGTTCTTAGCGACGCTGGAGAAGCCGATGTGGAGCCAGGAGAAACGAGGCGAGCGGGCGCCTTTCGGCACGCCGGTGTCGACGCGGGAAGGGCCGGGGTTGGATTGGATGTTGAGTCTTCAGTGCAGAGGGATCCTCCCCCCGCAGCTGCCGGGACTGTATCAGGGACAAGGATTCAGGTTGAAGGAGAAGAAGGCGCAGTACGAGTCTTTGGGGCAGTGCCTGAAGGCTTTCCCGCTGAGGGGTGGAAAGAAAGATTGGGCGGCGGAGAACTGGGCGCACCTTAGAGATGACTGGGTGGCGTTGGTGGATGAGGTTGGGGTCAAAGCTGCGCCGGAACCTGTACCGGGTTTTTACAGGACGCCATGGCGGGTGCCGGATACGGAGGAGGAGTTGTATGAAGAGATGTTGCCGCCGCTGGAGCAGGGGAGGGGGTGTCCGTGGGAGAAGCAGGAGGAGTCGAAACCGACACTGCCCGAGATTCCGCAGGCTAAGAGGGAGGCAGATCATGGTTTGGTGGACTATCAAGTGCAGCTTGACCTGATCGAACAACAGAATAAGAGACGCTTGCTCATGGGGCGGGAGGAGGCAGAGAGGAGGTGGGAGCAGCAGACCCAGCATGAGCAGGTCGCCAAGCAGGAAGAGGAGGAAGAAGAAGAAGAAGATTACGAGTGGGACGAGGAGGAGGAGGATGAGGAGGAGCAGGTAGCCGCGCAACACAAGGTTGCGACCAGACGAGATCTTCCAAAGCAAGCGGATGTGCTCTCGCAGCTGACGACCACGCATACGACGCGCCTAGCGGACGGGACTGTGACGACGAAGATGGTTCTGAAGCAGCGGTTTGCGGACGGGAGGGAGGAGGTGAAGGAGAGTGTTCAGACGGTACGGGGAGGGCAGGAAGGCAGTGCTGAGCGTGGTCAAGGCGGTGGAGGAAGGGCTGAGGAGAAGAGGGAGGGGCAGGGGAAGAAGGGTGGGTGGTTTTGGTCGTAGACCTGGAGGTGGGTGGAGGAGATGTGTGAGGAAGTTACGATGTTGACGAATGATGTATGACTGAGGAGTACTGGACATGTCGATGCATCTACAGCTGGGGTTGGAGGATACCGCTCATTTCGATCAGGATCGGTCTCTGCTCATATCATACACTCATGTAGTTTTTCATTTAGCGAGCGCAGTATACCGTAGCGTCATCTACACTATCTTCTCACGCCCCGGCTGTGTTCTATGGTGCCTTCCGCAATATCCATGTTGTCGCCGCGAGAGCCTCTTTAGCCTCAAGGTTTCTCCGTCCTCCCGCTCCGGCCGGCCGATGCAGTGTGACGCGCCTCACGTGGGATGACCGCGGCAACCAGTGAGATATTGATCATCCACAATCGGCTGCTGCTGCTCGTCTGCTTCGCTTGCATGCTCGTGATCATCATCATTACAAGACATTCGAGCTACAGCTACGCATCTCTGCCACCTTCGTCAACAAACTTCACCTCAAACACACATCGCTTGGCATATTGAAGTGTTGAAGTGAAGTCCAGATCTTGCATCGTACCTGCCTTGCTGCTTTGTGCGACACCGGCAAGGCTTTCACGTGAAAGGGTCCAACTACCACCTTTCACAACACCATCCCCGTTTCACAGCACGCAAAGATCGACAGATAGCACGACAGACGCAGACACCATGGCACAAGATTCGGAGATGATGCACTCACCACCCGAGGCGCCTAAGAGGCCTAAGGGTATGTCTTTCACACCTCAGCCGCAGCAGCAGCAATACCACCGCATGCCCACAAGATCACCAGCTAACCACAGTCTCGTCCACAGGCATCCTGAAGAACTCGCACTCCCAACAACACATCTCCCCCACCGCCCGCATCTCCCCAACCTCGGAACACCACCCCACCGAATCCGCCATCGCCGACACCCCAGCCACCTCCAACACCCCCTCGCGCCCTGCAGCACCACCCCGCGAGCTCTCGGAGAAAGAACTCACCCTAATGAACACCGAGCTCAACGCCGGCGAAGCCCGCCACCACCGCAACTCCTCCAACCCGAACTCCAACCCCAGCCGCCGCCTCTCCAGTACCAGCAACGCCGGCACGCAGCAGGACGAGCAGAACATGCGGCTGAAATGGGACGAAGCGAACCTGTACCTAAACGAAGGGCAGATGGGCGGGAAGATGAAGATCGACGAGCCCAAGACGCCGTACGCGGCGCAGTATGATCCGATGGAGGATGAGGCGGAGATGTCTGCGCTCGACCCTAGTGAGCTGGCGGTTGATGAGCTGGAGATGAGCAAGCCGAAGCCTAAGTCGAGGGATAGCGATATCCCCGGCCTGGACCTGGGGGAGCCGGAGATGGATCTGAAGACGAGGAGGGAGAGCGATGGGGATCGCAAGGTTGTGGTGGAGAGTGAGGGGGATGATGGGATGGATGTGGATGGTGGTAGTGGGGCGAAGCATGGGGAGGAGAGGGTGGAGGATATGAGTGTGGATGAGCGGGAGAAGCATCGGAAGTTTGAACAGATGCGGAGGAAGCATTATGAGATGAGTGGAGTGAAGAATCTTTTGGGGTAAGTAATTTGTTTGTGCGAGTATCGGAGTGGTTGGCTAATGTGTCCGCAGGCATCCAGAAGCGCTCGACGATGAGGACGAAGGGGACGGCAAGGCGTAGTGCTGTCTTGGCGCAAACCACCATTTTTGACGGCGTTGGATGTGCACGATGGCGTTATCGTTACTGCACTTCGGATGGCATTGCTGCGGCACGCTCGCTCGGCGTAAATGAGCCATGGGATCTGCATGTGTGGAGGTGATGATGGCGTTTTCGATCTCGCTGTTGCTTTGCAATATGCATGAGGCGATGACACTGCGTGGAAAGGACGGTATCGGCACACGATGATTGCATGATGGAAATGACTTTCGCTGGATCAGGCAGCCTCGTGGGTAGTTTAGCTTAGCTTAGCCAGACGCGTAGTATGAAGTGAGGTTCGACTTTTGGGCCTTGGCCACAGTTTTTCGTCTTTTCACGGCCACGGCAATCCGGGAGCGAGGCGCCTGTTGGGTACCTCCTATGGTGGCATCTCAAGATTATGGGCTGTGTCGTGGTTCGGGTTGCATGAGCCGTTGCTCGAAGTCAGAGTTCTGATTCCTCCTTCGCGCTCAATGCTGGATTTTTGATGACTTCGACCATTCGGCCAGCAGCCCTGGCGGCAAACTTCGCGCATTCTTGGAGAGCGGCAGTGAGCTAGACACAGACGCACTCAGGGTATGGTATACTCCACGACGTCAGTGCTCGACGATGCCCTCAGCACTTCGCCACAAAACACTCCATTTCAGCTCCGCGCTTAGCACATGCATGTCTTGACTGACTGGCCTCCAGCGATGTACCTCCCAGCAGGCTCGAGAAGTATTTCATCACGGCCACTGGGAGCCAAGCGCCTCTGCAGCCTGATGCATGCAGCATACAGCAAGGCTGAGCTCGAGAGGAGCTCTGCGCCTCAGCCTGATCGTTCGGACATCTCTTACCTTCGCAACAACGCTCTTCTTTCAAAAAGACTCGCACCGGGCCCACGAGACCTTACCTGCCAGTAACGAAACGCCTTTATGAAATGGCCGAAATCTTCGGTGCCGTCGCAGGTGGTGCCGGCCTGGTGTCACTGGCCGTCCAGCTGGCAGACTGCGCCGTCAAGCTCAAGAGCTTCTGCGAACAGGTCGAGAAGGCACCAAGATCACTCCGGCGCATCTCTCGAGAACTTAACACCTTGTCACTCCTACTGCGGCAGATTGACGGCCTGAGAATTGAGCACGGCTCACGAGATGCCGACGCCTTGGAAGAATGTATCGAGCTTTGCAGGGAGAGCACAGAAGACATCGTCGAAGCCACGACATCGCTCGAGGCTGTACTGGCACGCTTTCGCTTAGCTGGGCGATTGTATTCGGCGCTGAGGATGGGCGACATTAAGCAGCTTTGTGCTGACCTGGAAAGGTCCAAGAACTCGCTCATGCTGGCGTTCCAGGTCTTCGACCATAGGACCCAGGTCAGGATGATGCATGCTTCCAACGATCGGGAGATCCAGCATGGACTGGCGTTGCTGAAGCTGGGGGGAGCCGTCTCTGAGATACGCTCGGACATTGCAATGTCGTCGTTGCAAGCCGCGCCTCCAGGTGCTGCCCGACGCCAGCTCGAGTCTTCCATCCCTCAAGTCACGGACGTGGTGAATACAGACTTGGTCCGGCGGCCTGCGAGGTCTGCTCCACGCAGAGTTCCTGCTGGAAAGAAGGGCACGACATATCGATTCAAGCTTCCCTCTTGGTTCTGCGATCGAGTCTGGCTTCTGTCTACCTGCCGTGCACAAGGGGACTGGACTTTGCGCTTGCAGACATTTCGCATCCGACCATATCGTGACTCGCCCATCGTCATGTATCTCAGAGCTGGCAACGTCTCCATGGTCAGGAAGATGTTCGACGAAGGCACAGCGTCGCCCTACGACATGTATGATCGAGGCAATTGTTGGGTTATGTCACCACTTCAAATCGCCGCTGGGTCAGGTTCCGTCGAATTATGCAATCTATTACTAATACCTGGCTTCCCGGATCGTGTGGAGGCTATACGAGCTGCATTCGCCGAACTAAGTGTAACCGTCTTCAACTCGTACAATCCGGAAGTCACTGTTGGCGAACGTCTCATAGCTCAACGATTCATCGAAGCAGGCGACATCACACTAGCCTGCGACAGGGAAACCTTTGGACCCAACCTCGGGTGGTGGTGTCATGTTCAATTCCTAGACCTTGTGAAGCAGAACACAATATTCGATGCGCCGTTTGACGCTCAATCGCGCTTTGACTACCTTGTGATCAATTGTTGCTGGACTGTGGATCCGGGGATGCTGACAAAGGAGTTCAAGTTGAGCGGTAGCGAAGATAGTCTGGCCAGCCTGCGTACTTCTAGACCCAGCTCTCAGGGAATCTCGGTGCTGCATTTGATTGCTAGTAAGATGACGGAAGAGCAACGGCTGTCTCCTAGAGCCCGAAAAGTCATCTGGACACCACTCTTAGAAAAACTTTTGACCGTAGGAGCTGATCTTCATCCCACGACTTCAGTCAACATTTGGTGCTGGCCTCACGATTGGCCGTCAGAGCATGACACTTTGCACACACCCTTCCACATACTACTTCTGCAATTGATCTGGAATTATCACAGCCCTCAACACGAGGGCCACATATTGCAAGTCTTTAAGACTTGGATATCTGCGCTGTTCCACGCCAACGTGGACCTCACACAATATGGCAAGACAGAAGCACTCGCTTGGCCCAAGGCCCTCGTGCACTGTCACCGCTACAGAAATGACTGGCGCCCGGATGTCACCTTTCGGATCTGTGGCTTCACCTATGGAGCAACGCCGGCTGAATGGAGCTTGATGGTTCAAGCGTGCCAGACATTCTACCTGTATATCATGCAAACAGCTCCCGGAGGATGGGAGACGTCGCCTTACGTTCCGCAAGCTATATGCTGGGAGCCAGAGAGTTGCGACACGGTGGACGGCACAACATGGTCGAAATCGCACGTTGCATTTGAGATCTGTCGGCCGCATCAATTGTCGAAACCCTGGGAATTCTATCCAGGTCGACGGTCGTCTCGAGATGATACAGACCGGTGTGAGACTTGGACGCCATTGAGGCTGCTTGAACCAACTTTGAGACGACCGCGCCATCGCCGCAGGGCCAGCGAGCCAGTCCGTGTCGTCAGCGCACACCTCCCCCAGACGCGAGAGAGTGGCAGCGACTGGGAGTGGGCTCACCGCATTCACTTACATTACGCTGAATACGACATTTACTATTGCGACCTCAATATGCTGCGCATGAACGCGTGCTGGTTTCGTTGCTGGAATACCCATGTTGACGAATGGATTCGGCTTCGACAGGCAACTTGCAAGGCTTAACACAAGGTGATATCGCAGCATGATGTGCCGGCCGCCAAAAAATAATATAGTCCCGAAGAGCGAAGGGTACGGCAGCACGCGCAACAACCAGTCATCGCGTAGTGCACATCAGTCAGCGGAGAAGCACTGGCAGGGCTGGGTGCCTTGAAGTTGTGCCCGTCCAGTCTTCCGAAGGCATTTCCTCGAAATTCGTAGCAACGGGTTTCGCTTACGACAAGACCGAGAATTGTTGCTACTACGTCTTCCGCTGCGCCAGTCAACAACCCACCCTTTGAGCTTCCACCGCAAATTCAGCCAGATAGCATGACGGCGCAGCAACACGTGCATCCTAGCGAGAGCTCCTTCATGACGACGACCCTGAACCAGCGCCCCATGAAACATCTGTCTTTTGTTGCGTTCAGCACTCAGGAATCAGCCTCGTCGCGGAGGTGGGATCATGACCGTGGTATTGTTCTTCCATAGACAAGCGGCTGCTTGGTTTCCTGCAATGGTGGGGTGGAATTGGGCGTCGTTCGGTGCAGACCGATGGCTCAGTCTTGACCGTGTGGATACTGCAGAAAGATTGCATCTTTTGCGTAGTTGCGTAGAATCAGCTCGGCAACCATTTCCCTCGAAACTGCTTTGAAATACTCCGACGTCTGTGAAGTAGTAAATAGAACTATGGTCGTGGTTCCAAACAAGCAAGCGATCGACATTGGGCATCAAAAGCTCACGCTCCACCTCCAAACGTCCCTGCATCGGAAAGAACCAGTTCCTCCTCAACTCCACGACCAAATCGCGCACATTGGGCTGCAAGGCACTCGATCTTCTACCCTGACTAAGGCAAGCTTGTCGGCACCTGCGGTTCCTCCGACTCAAACACCTCAATGCCGAACGATGATTGCGCGACCTCGGCGCCTTGCGAGTCGTGACTTTCGGGACTCCTTCGCTGTCTGGAGAAGGATCGACACTCGTGGTTCGGATCGTCTCCGGCGGCGGTCTGTTTTTGCGGACTCGTTCGCCCTGTCCTGCGCCTCACGAGTCGAGATTGAGTTCGTAGGTGTTGGGCTCTCCGGGCGGATGAGGCGTGGGTATGGAGTCTAGATGATGGGATTTTGCTGCGTGTTTGCCCAAGGGGAGTATTGTGTCTGTTCTTATGCTGTAGGTTGCCTACTGTTCTTCGTACTCACTCTCATCTCTTCTGCTGTGGTTTCATACTTACCAGTCGATACAATGCTCGATGCAACGCCTTGACAGCGGTAGGCCAACAACCACAGAGTGCATTGCTTGTATTAACTGACGCCAACCCAGATCAAAGCAAGTCACAAGGGAAACAACCCCTCCGAAAGATGCGAAACGCCATGTCACGCTTCTTCAGAATCGGACGACCACAAGTCAGAGAAGTCCGCCTCTTCCTCTTCCTCCAACAACCACTCCGATACTAATACCACACCCACCAGATCCCCGACAAACCCCTCATAGGCCGCCACTCCCACAACGTCTTCCACGACCAAGCCTTAGCCCAACTGGTCGAAGTATACGAATCCCTACGATGGGGCGACTCCCACGAAGCTACCGCGAAAGTCTACGAAATGGGACAGCGCATCTTTGGCCCGGAGAGATTTGAACGGGCTGTGAGGAATGGAGCGAAGATTGGGAGGGCGAGTTGAGCGAGCGAGATCGACAGATTATGACTATTCGGCACCAGACCATTCGACGATGTTACGACTTGTGGGTTAGAGGAGGAGGCATTAATGCGGTTGTATATACCCCAGCAGACTGCCATTTGGGTGGAGAGGCTTCTTTGCTGTATTTCATCGACATGTTGCGGACCTTTGCAGGACTCAATGATTCCAGCACTCCACGATTCATAAAATCATTGACCTCAAGCTGGATGCGCCCTCAGTCCAATCTGAATCCTCAGCTTCTCACGCTTCGTCGCCTCGCTGCCTGTACGATCTGCTTCCAGATTGTTCAGGATGGAGTCGACCATTGTCACTACAGCCGTCAGCTTCGCCCATCCTTCAAAATTCGAAAACACCTACATGACAGCTTGTCAATGTCCTTCGAAGTCCCAGGGAACTTCTCAATCGCCTTGCCAGTCTTGAGCGAGAGCAATGGCTGCAATTTCTCCTCGTTCGAGGTGAGATGGCTGTTGGCTACGCGGGCTACGTTGTTGGCGTTGCTGTGCACTGGTCAGAGCCTGTCCATCGAACAGAAGATTTGAGGCGATCGTACACTGCCTTCGTCTTCGTCTCGAGCTTCTCGAGCGCCTTTGAGGCATCGTCGCCTGCCACCGAGCCAGCTGCTGACGGCGCTGCCGACTTGGTCGCTTGACCGGTCTGTTTCAGAGGAGTCTTTGCTGGGGTGCTGGTTGTAGACATATTGAACAACGGTGATGTAGTACAGTTTGAGAAGATTTATGAAGAAATGATGAAGAGCGCCTACCTGAGTACTTCACCAGCTGCGGTTGCAAGGCTCCCTCGTCCCAACAACCCGTCTCTTGTCAGCGTTTCTGCCAGAGTCCAGACGTCCTGACGCAAGCATTGCAAGGAAGCACAACCTGTTTCCAGTCTCCAGAATGCTGCTCCACCTCGACGCCACTGTCGTCTCTCAGCCCCACAACCAGACGAGGCTGGCTCCGGGCACGTGATGCGGTCTGTGCTGGAAGTTGTGCAGCTTCCTGTTAGGGCATTTGGAGGTTCGCGCCTGACAACCACTTCACTTTGACACATCGACCCACAGATACATCAACAAAGACCCAACACAACACTCCGACACCCATACCACCTCTAGTCTGACGCGATGGTCCGCAACGCAGCTTCAATGCAGAATCTACGGGGCAGCATGTCCGACCTCAATTTCTCTTCGCCGCATCCGCAGCACCAGTACCCTCCATCGAGTGCGCGTCCGCAATGTAGGACAGAGCCGCAGCGCAATATCTGGGGAGCAAAGGCAGTTCATCCAGCTGAACGAACAGCCGCAATCAACGAGGAGGAATTGAAGAAGAGTCTCGAGGACAAACGCTTCCCCCGAGCTACGAGCAGCAATGCGGAACTCTACGCCAAACCCTTCTGCGACTTCCTGACGGACAACCCGACAGTCTTCCATGCCGTGGCTTCCCAGAAGAAGATGCTCAAGGAGATGGGATGGACTGAGCTGGACGAGCGAGATGCATGGGACATCCAGCCGTCCGGACGGTACTACGTTGAGCGGAACGGCTCTTCACTCATCGCATTCGTCGTGGGAGAGAAGTACGAGCCTGGGAACGGGTGTGCGATTCTGGCAGGACATGTGGATGCTCTGACGGCCAAGCTAAAGCCCATCTCTGAGGTGCCGAATAAGGCTGGCTACCAGCAGTTGGGGGTAGCACCGTACGCTGGAGCGATGAACAGCACGTGGTGGGATCGTGATCTGGGCATCGCTGGAAGGGTATTGGTGAAGGAAGGTGACAAGATTGTTTCGAAGCTGGTGGATCTGAACTGGCCGATCGCCCGCATACCAACCCTGGCCCCTCACTTTGGCGAAGCAGCAATGGGCCCGTTCAACAAGGAGACACAGATGGTACCGATCATTGGACTCGAGGGCGTGGACTCGTCCGCAAACGCTACACAGAGCAGTGAGCCCTTTGCGCAACCAACACTCCTTGGAGGCGAGAAGGGCCCGGTCAGCAACTTCATCAACACACAGCCGAAGGCTCTCGTGAAGGCAGTCGCTAAGCAGCTTGGTCTAAGCTCTTCTGCCGTCGGCAACATCATCAACTGGGAGCTCGAGCTGTACGACGTCCAGCCTGCCACCGTCGGCGGCCTGAACAAGGAATTCATCTACGGAGGCCGCATCGACGACAAGCTCTGCTCCTGGGCCGCAATGCAGGCACTAATGGGCAGTCAACTCTACGACACCCGCTTCTCAGGCGTCATCAAAGTCGTCGGCTGGTTCGACGACGAAGAGATCGGCTCACAGCTACGACAAGGCGCGAAGAGCAACTTCCTTCCCCAAACCATCGAGCGCGCCGTGGGCTCGTTGTCAAAACACAGCCCTTCTTCCGACCTTTTCGGCCGAACATACGCAAACTCCTACATCCTCTCCTCCGATGTCACGCACGCCGTTAACCCCAACTTCCTCGGCGCCTACCTCGCCAACCACGCACCGCACCTCAACACCGGCCTCGTCGTCGCCGCAGATAGCAACGGGCACATGACGACCGACAGCATCAGCACCGCGATCCTGCAGCGCTGTTCCGAGCGTGTCGGTGCGAAGCTGCAGGTCTTCCAGATCAGGAACGACAGTCGGTCTGGGGGTACAGTCGGACCGATGCTGAGCAGTATGACTGGGATCCGCGCGATTGACGCCGGGCTGCCGCAGTTGTCGATGCATTCTATCCGGGCGACGACGGGGAGTCTGGATCCTGGGTTGGGGGTGTTGGCGTTTACGGGCTTTTTGAACGGGTTTGAGCATGTTGATAAGGAGTTTAGGGCATGATTGAAGCATGACTGTGGAGCGGCATTGGGATATACCTGGCTATAGAGCATTCAGCGTAGCGACTGTACTTATACGGCCAAGGCCACTATATCTCCATCACCGATATTGTTCGCGCAAGCGGTAGCACGCCAATGCAGCCTCCTGTAGTAGCCCGCCGGGCCACCTGCAGGTATATGCAGCCTGGGCGGGGTTGTTGAGAAGATCCTTGTTCGTCGCTCTAGCCCTAGACTGCAACATGCCGGTCAACACCGGCAGGATTAATGGTTATGGATCCAAGCGAGGATAGGACCGCTGATAATCTTTCCGCACTCCCAGCGTTTATCCCCAGTATCGTCCTCAGCTTCCCAACCACGAATCCCAAGGCCACATGGACACCGCCACCATGTTCACCGGCTTATCGACGATACAGCTACTGTTGATTCTCGCTGGGACGTTCGTGATATGGAGAGTAAGTAACTATCTCATCGTCCAAAGCCAACCACTGACAAGTCTCCAGAATGTTCAAACCAACCTCATCTCCCCCCTCTGCCACATCCCCGGACCCTTCCTCGCCCGTCTAACACCCTACTGGCTCGTCTTCATCGACCTCGCCGGCACTCGAACAACCACCATCCACCAGCTCCACCAAAAATACGGCCCCGTCGTCCGGATCGGACCCAAAGAACTCTCCTTCGCCGACCAAGCCTCCGTAAACGAAATGTACAGCCAGCAGACCGCGTTCATGAAAGCGGAGATCTACGATTCGATGAGTGTGAAACCGCTTGGGATTTTCAGTCTGCGCGACAAAGGGCTGCATAGTCAGCGGAGGTCGCTGCTGAGTTATGCTTTCTCGCAGGCGAATGTCACGACGTGTGCGCCGCTTGTGCATGCGCAGGTGGCGAAGCTGGTGGGAAAGATTGGGGCGAAGAAGGGGATGCCGGTGGATATGTTGTTGCTGTTTCGATTGTTCTCGCTCGATGTCGTTGGTAGGTTGGACTTCTCCGCCGAATCGCTCTCCAGAATCGGCTGATTCAAATGCTGCACAGGCGAATTGTTCCTTGGTTCGTCCTTTGGCGGGCTCGATAACGAAGACCCTCCCCAGTTTCTCCTAGACATCGATCAGCATTTCCTCCTTTCCGGGATCGAATGGAACTTTCCGTGGATCTATGCTCTGATGACAATACTGCCGTTTCAAGGCGTGCAGTGGTTTCTCGGCGCCCGACGGCGGCTGAACGAGGTAAGACAAGAGTCTTCATCAGACTGCGTTATAGCTGACCATATCCAGTACGGCGAAAACGCATACAGGACGTACATCAAGCGTTTCGGCCGGGAGTCGGGTCGCAAAGACCTCCTCACCAAGATTCTGTCACCAAAGGATGGCAACCAGGTATTGACCGATCGCGAGACCTACACCGAGATTGGAAATCTCGTTTTTGCCGGAACGGGTCAGTGACTTGTCCATATCGAAGACGCAGAGAAGCTCACAAATATTAGACACGACAAGCACAACCCTAACGTACCTTTTCTGGGAGCTCACGCGCAATCCGGAATGGCAGCAGCGTATCCGGGATGAGCTGAGAGGTTTGGACAGGAATGACAGTTCTTCTGATGGCGTTCAACTTCTCAAAGCTTCCGATGCACCAGTCCTAGAAGCAGTGATCAATGAGGCTTTGCGACTGCACCCAGCCGCTCCTGCCAGTCTGCCGAGAGCGACGCCACCCGGAGGCGCACAGCTGGGCCTTTACTACATTCCCGAAGACGTAAGCATTCTCTGGGAACAGCCTAGCGGTACAAGTGCTGACGCAGTTATACAGACCGTGGTCTCCGCGCAATGCTACACCACCCAGCGCGACCCAACCGCTTTCCCGGATCCCGATACATTCGATCCCGAAAGGTGGTTGAAGAACGAACAGACAGATCCAAAAGCAAAGGACCTCTTCATGCCCTTCTCCAAAGGCACCCGAGCTTGTCTGGGCCGCCCTCTCGCCATGATGGAGTTGAGAGAGGCCACTTCGGCTTTGCTGCTGAAGTATAGTGTTACTGCCGCTCCGGAGACGACTGCGGACAGTATGGCGATGAGGGATCATTTTCTCGTGCTACCGAAGGGAGGCCGGTGTGATTTGATATTTGAGCCGCTCTAAGGAGATTGGAGGTGTGGATATTAGCAGATTGAGATAGAGAGCTGCCACTTACCAGCCACGTGGCCTGTAGATACCTGCCCTCCGGGAAGATGGGACCTCCCGTAAGATCTCTCCTACGGGCTGATTGATGACGTTCGCTGAATACGTTCCATATCTATGCCAGCACCACAGTTGCGGAGCCCGACTGTTCAACGTCTCATGAGATCTCATACTTTGGCGGCGCGTCCTTCATGAAGTAGAGCTGCTTGCGCTGGATCTTGCTCAGATCGCAGTCCTTCAACATCCGCAACTAGACGCCGCTTGAGAATTAGCAGGGGGCCATGCCACGCATACAGGAACTCTTTAGAATATGTCAACTCACATTTATAGTCATCCGATTCTCATCCTTGAAAACATTCTCCATAATCCAACTCAAATCAGTCGCCAGAAAGCAATGACACTTCGTGCAATACCAATGCGGGTTCTTCTTCGGACCCATCAGGTACTCCCCTTTGTGCTCGAGGCCTTGCGTGAACTCGATGTTCTTGACCTTCGGGTGGGCTGAAATGGCGCCTTGTCGTTCGCAGTGGGAGCAGTGGCATTCGACGGCGGTGTATTGCTCTTTGCCTTCTGTCTCCTCTGGGTAGAGTGGCGGGGAGATTGTCATTTTGTATTTGATTGCTCCGCAGTGGCAGTGCCTGCGAACGAGTGGGCAAGAGAGTCAAGGTTTGTCTTGGGGAAGGTTTTGCATATTGATTTCGTACAGGTCGTAAGTAGCCCAGATGCCATTCTCAGCAGGCCATGGGGTCTCCAATGCTGGTTGAGGCGCCTCTTGTTCTTGTGCCATGTCTTTGTGGCGGATTGGTAGGATGCCTGTTGATGTGGCGGTAGCGCTCAAAGTCGACGAGGAGGTTGAAATCGAAGCTGGACTTGTTGCACAGCGGGGAGTACCTGTCCTACCTATATATCTTCTGACTCACACGGCTGCCTTCTCTCAGCCTTAGCAGCCAGGAGCCGGACACATTGTAACTCCGTTCAACGCAGATCTCAGCTTCAAGCACTCCGCGCCACGTTGTCAGTAGTTGAGGGAACAGCGAGATCATTCAAACCGGTCGATTGAACACTTGTTCATCTGGCTTCGATGTTCGTGAGCGAGGCGCCGGAATCTTGTTGTATCGTAGAGGAGCAGTCGTTGTGGAATGTATAATAGCGTTGCTACGCAGTGACGTCGACCGCTTCTCAAATCTCAAAGTTGAACAGTTCTATCCATTCTTTCTGGCCATTCGGTCAACAACATGGACACCTATCACTCTTGATCTAAGATGACAATCACTTGAAGATGGCATTGGACAGCATCGCGCGGTTCACGACCGCAACCAGCTCTACGTTGCTACGAGCCTTTGCATACGTGTTTCTTCGATGGGTAAACAACACCCCCTGATGCGCCGGATGGCCGGTCATGCGGTGCAGACAACTGACAGGCAGCGTAGATACCGGGACATGTTAGTTGAGAACCCCAGCACGCTTTGGATGTACACCGAGCTCACTTTTGTCAGCCCTTCCCGCCGATGCTCCTCGCGCTCTTCGCGATCTACGTACCATCCTTCGTGTACAGCATAGCACACACCGAACCCTACGATGTCATATCAGACGAGGTTGAAGTGGTGACGAGAGAGCCAGACAATGGCGAGGAGCTGGTGAAAGACGTGGATTCTCGTTATGTCAACGGCGACGCCTCAAAAGAACTTGGCCAGGAACTAGATGTTGAGGAAACAGTCGTGGTTGAGGAGAAGGACCCAGAGATCGTAAAGACACTCCTGACTGGCCTTCCGAGCGCATCAAGTCTGATATGGAGCGCCATAACATTCGCCATCAACCTGGCGCTCATAGCCATGGCGATGGACCTCGTCTACCGAGCAGTGTGGCTATATCCGTCGCACGACCTGTCAATGGCACGCGTGGGATATGTATCTGACACCACGGCCAAAATTCTAATCCGAGAGGCGAATCTAGCGAAGCTGCCTGTAACTGTGTCATACCGACATGCTGATACCCCTCTCCGGGGTGGTCACCATGATCCGTCTTGGAAATCGGGAGGCAGTATTGACTCTCTTGACGACACGACAGACTTCACTGGTACCCTGGAACTGAAGCGCCTTCGACCAGATACACGATATCAGTACGTGGCGAACAATCATACCGGGCACTTTGTCACTGCTCCACGGACGGGTGAGACTTCAGCGAGGCTAGCATCAGCCGGGGCGTTCACCTTCTTGCACTCATCGTGTCTGAAGAACAACTTCCCGTATACTCCATTCTCTCATGCACTGTCAAATCAAGGCCTCAAATACCTTGCCCAAACTCTGGATACCGTCAAAGCGCAGTTCATGCTCTTCCTAGGTGACTTCATCTACATTGACGTCCCGCATCGACACGGCAGCACCATCGAAGAGTACAGGCGAGAATATCGCCAGCTCTACTCCAGCCCAGACTGGCCCGCCGCATCAAAAGAGCTGCCCTGGATTCACGTCTACGACGACCATGAACTAGCAAACGACTGGGACAAAAATACAACCGACCTCTTTCCAGCGGCCAATGATCCCTACCAACACTACCACATCGCAGCCAACCCGCCGCCTGCGCGCGCCGGCGAGACGTACTTCCAGTTCACGCAAGGCCCAGCATCCTTCTTCATGCTCGACACCCGCCGCTACCGCTCACCGAACGATAACACAAACGGCTCAGACCCACTCACCGGTGAAGCCACAAAGTCTATGCTCGGTCGACAACAACTCGCGGATCTTCTAGCCTGGCTGAAGCGTCCCGAGCAGCCTGGCGTCCGCTGGAAGATCCTCGTCAGCAGCGTACCGTTCACCAAGAACTGGTGGTTTGGTGCGCAGGACACGTGGCGTGGCTATCTCGGTGAGCGTCAGATTATACTGGAGGCTATGTGGGATGTTGGTCTACAAGGCGGTGTTGGCGTGGTCGTGCTCTCCGGTGACCGGCACGAGTTCGCTGCTACTGCGTTCCCGCCACCACCTGAAGGGAGGGAGGAGATCGTCGGTCTCGGACCCGTAGGCGTGGGCGCAAATCCACTGGGTGTAAGAGACATGGCTCTGGATACCCAGCCTACTCTCCGCACCCGCCGGAAGTACTGGCCCCTCAGCTCCACTGTCCACGAGTTTAGCGCCAGCCCGCTGAACATGTTCTACCTCCCGTACCGCACTTACTCCGAATCCTCCACCTCCGACACCTACGTCTCCGACGTTTGCATCAAGTACATCCCGGACGGCAACAGCAAGTTCGGCGCCATCAGTATCTCCAATCCTCCAACGAGTGATCAGTCCGTGCTGCACTATCGATTATACGTCGATGGGGTCGAGAACTGGAGCTATACTCTCACGACGCCACCTGACCTTGGCGGTGGTGGGAGAGCAAAGGATGCGATATGGGGGTGAGTTATGAACAGCAAATACATTAACATTAATATCAGTCTAGGCACCACTCTATGCATCCATTTTTTATCGTCAGTTTCGTAAGTCATTTTCTCGTCCCTCATCTTCTCCGTCCGGAGAAGTACCCACAAACGCCAGTACACCCACTGGCGCCCGCCACTGCGACCTGGTGTTAACGGGGATGAACTCCGAAAAGTCCATCCTTGACACCGCGCATCGCAGTGGCGTCTTCCTCGTTCTCCGAGCGGCTAGGTGCCGCAAACCATGATAACTCCCGCTGTAACGCCCCGAGAAGTCGCTTTGCCCTCGAGACGTTGCTCCTGACCCCCTTCACTTCTCATCCTTCTTCGACTTAATGCGGAGCTCTTCCAGCTCCCTCCGCAGCTCCTCCATCTCATCTGCCTGCTGCTGCAGCGCCTGCGCCTGCTCGACGACCCGTGCTTCGGCCGCCAGCCTCCCCTGCCGCTCCTGTTCGGCCTGAGCTTCCGCCGTCAGACGACGACTCTCCGAGGCGTTGAGCTGAGCCCTTAGATGGGCGACCTCCGTCGTCAACTCACCCACCTTCTCCGCGCGCTTGTCGCGGAACTTGCGCTGCGAATCACGATTCTGCTGCTTGCGCCTCTCGCGGGAGTCGGAGGAGCCGGGCTCCCCTTCCCCTTTCTCCGTCTGCGGTCGCCTACCCGGCCTTTTCTTGCCTGGCAGCTCGACCTCCTGTGTCATCGGACCCGTCGGCTGGGTGGTCGTCGAGGGGTGTCTCGAGGGGTCCCTCGGGATCGGCGTCCGCGTCGGCGTGGGCTGGTGGTCGGTTGGAGCCGACTCGGGAGAGGAAGTCCAGGAGGGCCCGGGATACCCGGTGTACGAGGGAGGCTCGGTGCGCGAGGGAAGCGGGGAAAGCTGACGGTACCAATCTTGGTCCGTCTCGTCCGGGCTCGGGTAAAGTTGCCCTGGACGCCAGACAGGAGAGTCCTGGGGGTAGGAAGGAATGCCCTGGGGTAATGGCAGCTGGCCCGGAGGGTAGCCAGCCGGGGTCTGGGGGAAGGGCCCGGGGACTTGTGACGGGGAGGCCCAGCTTTGACCTGCCACCCGGTCCTGAGCGAAGACCTGACCAGCGGGCTCATGGTAGTACGGTTCAAACTCCCTTTGGGCCTGGGGGAAGTCTGGAACGACGGGCCCACCGATGAATTGGCCCTGGCCGTTGCCAGGAGCCGCAGAGAAGTTGAATTGGCCCTGGCCTTCGCCAGGCGCAGGAGAAGAGGTCGATGGGCCCTGGCCGTTGCCAGGCGCAGGGGAGACGGTCGATTGGCCCTGACCATTGTCAGGCGCAGCAGGGGAGTTCTGATTGCTCCCTGACGGTGGGAACTGCCCTTCAGAGGGTGTGGTGGGCGGGGTCTCCACGCCCATGTCCTCCATCAGGGAATTCCAGTCGATGTCGTCCATCACGAACGACGGTTGCTCCTGCTGCTGCTGCTGCTGCTGATGGTTGGAACCGTTGTTCCCGGTCCCGTTCATGCCAAACTGATTTGGGTCTGATGGACCCATCTCCGTTGATTATCTGTCTGTCGATGCAACCGTCAGCTTGAGTAAGTGATGGACAGGGGTGGTAACACTTACAAGTGATTGTTGGAGAAGAAGTATGGACCAGGATGGTCAGATTGCAAAGTACCGTCTGAAGGAGATTATCAGATGTTACCATGATCGATGGTGACCGTTAGAACTCATGATGGGCTTCATAGCTTTATAGCACTCTATGCCCTCGCGATGAGTGACTGTCTGTTCTTGGGATCCACAGTACAACATGTGAGTTCGCTTACCAGCTCCCACATGTCTCCATGGTAGACATCTCCCAGCGACAAACCGTACCAGTACCATTGCAAAGTGCTCGAAAGTACCTTCAACGTCGCAACGATTCGTGAGAAGTGGCTGAAACCTGCCATATTGTGTGGGGCGAAATGAATAGAGTTCCCCTCAAGTCTGGTACAGGGTCTCCTGGCTCTGTCCGCCCGCTCCCGTGCACATCTAACTGTGGCGCACTCTAATGGCCTGCATGAAAGCCCACTCACGTTGGGCGTGGAGCTGGTGACTGGTCTCCGAGATAGGACTGTTGCGCTGCTTACCAGCGACCTCGGGCAAGCTCAAAATACAGTATTTAAACCGCGAGACCCCGAATTCGCACCTGCTTCCGCTTCATCTTGTCGTCTTGTCAGATCCAGCCCGACCCACTTTGCTTATGACACCTCTTCCCTCGCTCAACGCACAAGTATGGCCCCACTCAAGCCAATCTCGACTCCTTGGAGATCATCTCAGACCCTTCTCCTGCAGCACCAGAACCTTCACCGAACATGCAATATTGCACGCCAAGAAACGCATCGCACACCGCCTGAAAAAGCCCGCAAAGCTTGAAGGCCCATGGCACGCCGCCTTCGGAGAGGAAAAAATAAGTCATCTTGAACACGTCGCCGATGAGCCAGTTCACCAGCACGCTGAGTCTGAATCCCCGGCATGCCTGATTGCGCTGGTTTTCGATGACTTGTGGGATAGGCAGGATGGCTTCTATGCCGAGCGCAACATAGCCTTGCAGCTCGACGTAGACGGGCTGCGTGCCGATGAAGTATTGCAGCGCTGCTAGAGTGATGCTGAAGTATGCCAGAAATTGCCAATAGGGCTTGCGACTTCGCCATTGCCAGAAGCCGTAGGGTCTCGTGACATACGAGTCGCCTTCACCTGCTCCTGCAAAAGGTTTGTTCAGGCTATGCTGCGCGCCGAACGGAGGTCGGTAAGTCAGGGCGACGTGGAGCAGCAGAATCTGCACAAACACCATGACCACTGCCTGGATGAGCAGTGGGAAGTCGTAGCGCGCGCCGAACCAGTAGAAAAGCCTAATTCTGCTCGTAAGCATGGCCCACCTCGACCACTTTTCTTTCCAAAGTTGCTTCGAAGCCTTTTCTGCGCCACCATTTGCTCGAGCGTGGGACTTACTTCAAAATGGACGCAACGAGCATGATGAGCGGTATGTCGAGCGAGAACCCCGCCGACGACCGCTTCTTGCTCATCGACCAGATTTGATCTGCGTACGATGTGATTGGCGAGCTGACGATGAATAAAGGCGCGATGTGGGTTATCGTCCATTTGAGGAACGACATCGTCCTGGAGGCGGTGTCAGTTGGGCATGACTGCTTCGCCGTTTCAGTTGAGAGTCTTGCGCGTGGTAGTCGACGCCGCCATCGTGGAAGAGGGGGGGCAGAGAGGTCCCGCCAGCTTCTGCCCCTCCCACTGTCGATGCATCGCCGATGCTCATGGGGACCAGGCTGTTGGGATCGGAAGGGGAATGACCAAACGTACTGCGATGGGCGAAATCTGGAGCCTGGACGACGATCTAAGCCCGGGTGAGACCGGCTGGAGTGCGATTGTGCGCCTCGGAGGCTTCACCGGGCCATTTTGCCGAAATCAAAGGTGCTGGCAAGTGAAAGCTGCTTCGAACTGTGACGGCAGCGATTTTGGTGCTGGTATGAAGCAGAACAAGAGCGATGAAAACTGCTTGACTCCTGGAATTTCAAGAGATGTCGTCTCAATATCCAATCGCGATCTACAACACTAATGCACCTCTAACGCCACATGGACAGGGATCTGAGATTAGCGCACATGGTGCACGTACATTAAGTTATATCCACAAACGTCGGTATACGTGTAAGTGCCTTTATGCAGCAGTGCTGCCGGCTCCATCCCCACATACTGTGCTCGACACCATCAGTCCTTGTCGTAGTACCACTCCATCCATGCTGCCATAGCCTTCCCTCAGCTGCAATACCACATCCGTCTGCGCCGACAAATTGGCAACATCGTGGTTACACCCGGAGCCGTGACGCTTCTTCGACCCGAGACTGCAGAAACTGCAAGACAACACACCCATCGTCTCCAAGCGAGCGCCACAAGACGAATGCCAGGACTGAGCTTCCAGAGCACGCTATGAACAAGCGTGAGCGACATTGAACGCTCCGTTAACCGCGAGGCTCGTGATGACGACAAGTCTGCCGATACCTCCCAGGCTCTCCCAATGCTAAGCACGTACGCCCGGCTTAGCTGGAACCGGGCGACACAACTTGTCTTCCATGCTGCTGGCTCCAGCACATGCAGGTATCGATCAACTGAAGAGAGGGCTGCGTTCTATCGCCCGAGTTGCCTTCCGCCGTTGTGTCTGATAGAAGCACCATGTCCTTCTTGCTAGGCAGCTCTAGCGTCAGCACGATCGCTGTTGATCATCAGCTTCCGAGATGTTCTTATCGACGAGCTTTGCCAGGAGACTTTTGATGGCATGCTGAGCTTCGACCGCCTGAGTTGGTTGGGGTGGCATCGAAGCCGGCAAACGTGACTACCATACTGCGAAGCAGCGTTACTGATCTTGTCATGAAAGCATCTCCGGCACACGAAGTCCGGTACCAGCCGTCAACTAGAAGGTCCAAGCATCGAAAGTGGACGAGTCTGGTCGTGAACCTGTTGTCGAGCGCTGAGCGGCTGAATTGTACCATTCCCGCCAGCTCAAGTTGATTAATGAGCGCTTTACACAGTCCGTTCGGTCTGCTTAGATGCGTGAATTAGCGAGACTGCGGTGGACGGCAACTGTGAGAAAGCATGCAGGATTCGTGAGCAGATAAGGCTGTTGAAAATGCATATCGTATTTAATAGGGCAATCATGCTCGTTAATGACACCTAACGCCTCGCTGACAGAATCCTTGCCGTAAATCGCAGCATTTACTGGCCGAGCACCTTCTTGTCTGGACAATCTATTAGCGTCAAATCCTTTTGGGAGGTCCTTGGAGACTCACTCGGCTGTTGCGTGATCAAGAGTCCATATCTCTTCTTCAGCGTCACTCGGTGTCTGCGCACGCACATTAGCTAGAGTCCTCCGAAAGCTCCACGTCGCACACGTGGCGTCGTTCATACCTTGAGTACTTGTCATCAGGTGAAAATCTCGCCGGATGTGCCGACTTCGTGACCTCGCCATTCTGAACCTTCTTGAGCGTGTAGAGGCGCTTGCCACTGGCGTCGAGGGTGTACATGAGATGCATGGTGTGCTATTCGTGATTGATTTTGCCGGTCTGTGGTTTTCGAGTTGTCCGTTATGTCGTGTCTGTTCTTCTGAAGGGAGAGCTTCAGATTTGACATTTTGCGGAGCTTCGGGAATGCCAAGACATATCACGTGTCGGACTCCTCGAGGACAACTACCGCACTTCGTGTTGTGTCAAACACAGCACCAACAAGGTACAACCAAAGACGAAAGCGACCGCAACGATGCATTTCCTGTCACTTCTTCTACCGCTCCTCACCTTCGTCCTCCCAACCTTCGCGCAATTCCAATTCTTCGAACAAATGTTCGGCGGCCACCAACAACACCACCAGCAGCAACCGCAAAACATGCCGTCAGACTCGAGCTGGTACCAGCAACAATACGAGGCCGGTGCGTCACCCCTTCCCACCTTTTTTCAGATCCCATCACGTACCGTCATTGCTGACGCTCTTCTGGAAAGCTCACTGCGACAAATACCTCTGCCCCCACACCCTCTCCTGCGTGCACTTCCCGCACCACTGCCCCTGCGCTTTCCCCGCCGTAGAGGACAAAGTCGAGTTCGGAGACGGCAGCATGGCGTGCGTGAGCAAAGGGGGTTGGAAGGAAGGGGAGGCAGCGAGGAAGATTGAGTTAGCGAGGAAGGGATTGATATGAGTGAATTGATTCATGAATTTGATGATGAGATGATATGGCGATGTATGAGTACTGCATTTGGAAGGATGTGAACGCTGCATTGGCTCGTGATACTATTAGTTCGTGATAGTTGTTGTCATGCCCTGCTGGCGGCCGCCCGGAGGAGTGAAGTGGACGCGCTATTTCCCCCCTGCCCGAGCTCCAGCCTTCGCGGCTCCGTTCGCCTTTACGATGCCGCCAGCTCTCGTGCCTCCTGTGACACTGGCCGCTTCCACCGCTTTGCGCAGCTCGTCTTCTTGCGTCGTCTCGTCAATCGTCGCATCTCCACCATCCTTCAACACCCCATCAGCCTTCGCCGACTTCACAACCCCAAACTTATACCGATACATCTGCTTCTCCCCCTTAGTCTCATCCGCAATTCCACACTCTTCCCTTCCCCACATCCGCATCAACGCCTTTCCCATCACCTTCCGCTCCTTCTCCCAAGCCTCCTGCTTCTCGCGCCAATGAGCTTCTCGCTGGTGCAGCGCGGCCGAGATCTTCTTGTCGATCGCCTGGTTGACAGAATCTTTGTCTTGCAGGTCGAGTTTGGCGGTCTCCAGCTCATCTCGTAACTTCTTCGAATGCTCCTTGTATGAGTCGCGCTCCAGGATGGTGGTGTTCAAGGCAGTCTGCAAGGCGACCATGTCGTCTTGATGCGAGTCGCGGTCGAGCTTGGCCGTGTTGAGCTGTTCTTGCCGCGTGTCAAGCTCGCTGCGAAGGCGGTCGATCTCTTCCTGGTCGACTTCTTGATAGCTAGCCTTAGCCGTGTGAAGCTGCTCTCGCGTCGTCTCGAGCTCGTTGCGCAGACGACGAAGCTCTGCATCATCTACGGGCGCTGGTACGGATCCAGTTGTTCGCATTCGCTCCAACTCGCTTTCATGAGACGTCTGCTGAGCCCGAAAGTGCTCTCGCGCCTCCTTTAGTTGCTTCTGTAGCTCTTCCGCCATGCTGACAGCGCGTCTGTGATCTCCAGTCAAACGTGTGTTCTGCTCGTGCTGCGTCTGGCGAAGCAGTGAGAGCTCAGAACGAAGGTTGTTAGCAGTAACGTGCGCCGCGTCCTCCGCGTCCTTCTTCGCCAGGCTCAGCTCCTCGTTGTGTCTGGAAGCCTCTCGTAGCTGTTCTCCAAGGTCGGCGAGCTGTCTGTGCAAACCCTCGTTCTTCTGGACGTCACGCCGCGCCCGCTCTAGACCAATTTGAGCAATGCGCGCCTCCTCCTCAGCATCATCGCGGCTGCGTCTCACAAGCTCCAGATCTTGCTCCAGAGACTGCAGCTCATGGGCATGGCTGACCTTGAGGCGCTCGAGCTCTTGCTTCATGCGTCCCATCTTGTCCGCGTGAGCTTGTTTTAGCCGCGTGAGCTCCTCGTTGTGCTTTCGGAGTTGGTCCTGGAGCGCGGAAAACTGATGGTCAGGTGAACGAACAGATGATCGAGGTGGTGAGCGGACTTGTGATCGGACCGGAGAACGGGTTGGTGATCGCACAGGCGAAATGGTCTCGCTGGATGGTCGACCGGGCGTCGAGAATTGACTCTTGTCATGTATATTGTCCTGTTCGATATGCGGTGATCGGTACTCGTGGTTCTGCTGATGTTGAGATATGTTGTTTGTCGATGTAGGACGGGCAGGCGTGAACTCGCTGTAGTAGTCCTCTACGGTCGGTTGCAGCAGTACCTGCTTATGCGGCGGCGGTTGTGGTGTCGCGGCTCCCGCGTAGGGATCCCAGTCGGAAGTCTCGTCGTTGTTTCCTCCCGTCTGTCTGCTGCTCGCGAATACAGATTCCTTGGGAGGGGTGTCGGTCGGGGTATGGTGGCTCTCCGTGCGATCGTCTTCCTCCCTAGCAGGCTGCCATGCCGGAGCAAGCGCTCTACGCGCTCCTTGGTTCTGCTCTTCCTGCTCTCTAACACTGTTCAGTCCGCGTTTGACCGTGCCCATCCTGCTGTTCATCGTGCCTCCTCCCCTCATCCATTTCTCAAGGTTTTGTGTGAAGTCGCTGGGTCCGTCGATGTCTTCAGAGAGTACGCGATCGATCGGCGGAGCTGGTAACTCAGGCGATGATGCTCCACTGCGCGAGTCGAGATCGAGCGCTGCCAGGTCGATGGAGTATTGCGATTGCGTTGGCGATGCTGGTTGCGCCCACGCGCGTGTTGGCGGACTCGACTGCATGTTGTACTGTTGTTAGGTGTTTCAAGTGGAGAGCTGTACCCGATGCGATATCTTCAGTGCTGCTAAGAGTCGTTCATTGTCCTTGTGTGTTGAGATATGTATCGCGATCGTGTTACTGAAGCTGTGTTTGTTTGATCCTTCCCAAAGCGGGGCCATCGCGAAAACGGCGCGAAGATCACGTGCCGTTGCAGATCTTACTCCATGTCGTTTCGATGTCTTCATCTGAGATATCGCAAGCACACCTTGGCTGACCAGAGCGCATGCAATCGCAAGACGGCGTGAGTGAGACATTCGTCTCCACCGGGGACCATGAGACGTCCACGATAACACTGGCAGCGGCCACGGGGTGCCTCGTATGGTACATCGCGGTCGCTGTAGTGTGCACAGTAGGTCAGACTCAGATGTAGGTCGATATTCTGATGTCTCCTTGTCTTCTCAAACTGACAATTGCTGTTCAGCTTTCGTTACTACTCTCACGCCCCAGAGCCTGCGTCCTTGAAACATGAAAGCACAATCCCCGAAGTCACCATCATCCGACCCTGCAAAGGGCTTGAACCCTACCTCTATGACTGTCTGGCGAGCACGTTCCGTCAGGACTATGCACGAGAGAAGCTGCACATCAGGCTCTGCATTGCGTCCCGCAGCGACCCAGCCCTTCCGGTGCTGGAAAGTCTCGTGAAAGACTTCGGAAGCGAGTACGACGTACAGATCTTTGTGGAAGAAGAGGATGAGCTCTTGCAGGGGGGAGGACTACAGCTGGGACCGAACCCGAAGATCAGGAATATGAGCCGGGCCTACCGAGAAGCGGACAGGAGCTCGAATGGTCTGGTGTGGATAGTCGACTGCAATGTCTGGATCGGCATACATACGCTGGGCAGGATGATCAGGACGCTGGAGGGCAACAAGTTCGTGCATCAATTGCCTCTTAGTATCGATGTGACCGATACTTTGCACCAGGGTTTGAAGGAAACGCGAAGCTGGTGGTCTGTAGGTGGAAGCCGCCTTGACGAGATGTTCATGTCGACGGCACACGCCAAGTTTTACACTGCGATCAACACTGTCCTCATCGCTCCTTGCATCGTCGGGAAGAGCACCATGTTCCCGACGAGCTACTTGGACAGTCTTACTGAAGGCCAAGGCATTGACTACTTCAGCTACAACATCTGCGAGGACCACCTCATTGGTGACTTGCTCTGGAAGGGGGAGGTACCTGAAGAGAAAGCAGGCTCGAAGTTGGGCAAACACGCGATGTGTTTCGGGGACTTGGCCATACAGCCGATGGTGAACACAAGCGTGAGCGAGTACTGGAACAGGAGAGTACGGTGGCTGCGCGTGAGGAAGTTCACGGTCACACTTGCAACATTGGTGGAGCCTGGGACAGAGAGCTTTCTTTGCTCTACCTACGGCGCATACGCTGTCACGAGCTTGCCGTTCTTCCATGAGTCTCTCAGCATACCTCAGACTTGGGCAGCCTTCGCCATCTTCTGGCTCATCAGCGTAAGTCTGTGGTGCGCGATGGATTGGACGCTGTACCGCAAGCTTCACTCTGGTGCTTCGGTGTGGACGAGCTCGCAGATGCATGTGCCGGAGTTCGCGAAGCATGCGAAGGGCGGCAAGAGTCGGCCTCTTCGCGAGTGGCTAATGACATGGATCGGGCGGGAAGCGCTGGCACTGCCGATATGGGCATGGGCGTTCTATGGTGGAACCGCTGTGCAGTGGCGCGGGAAGAGCTTCTGGGTAGGGACAGATATGAAAGTGCATGAAATTGAGAGCGACGCGAACAAGACGAATGGGCATGCGGTTATGACGAATGGGAAGGCCAGGTACGACTGACGACTGAACGTTGGAAGGAGCGACTGCCTAGTTGACACGGAAATGACGCTAAGGGGCAAAACCCTCGCCAGACCTCACTTCATCTTCCCACCCACAACATCTCCGTCGCGCGAACGAGTTCTGTCGACAGCGCAGTAAAACCCGTTTCTTCCTCCTGCGATCGAGAAGGCATCATGGCTGAACAGGGCTCTGCTGACCCTGCCGCCTTGGAGTTCCGTTGCCTCTGCGGGAGTTCCTTCCCGACGGCCCAACTGCTGTACGACCATGCCTACGAAAACGGGCATCTCTTTCTTTGCTGTTGCGGAGAACTGCTTGGCCACAGGAATTATTTCAGGGCACATCGACGATCGGATCCTGGTGGCCGGCACGTCTTGACGAAGCTCCAACTTTCTCCAAACTGGAAAGACGACTTGTGTCCGGTCACGCACATTGTGCGACGAAACGCAAAGGGCAAACGAGTCCAAGCACTTCGCAAATGCAGACTGTGCCCGAAAAAGAAGTTCTACGATACAAGTACGCTGCTCACCCATGTCGCGAATAAGCACCCGGCACACGAGATGAAGCTCGACATCGGTGGCAATGCGTATCCTCTTCCCGCCGGATGCGTCGGTAGAACCGACACATCACCCATAGTACCGCCGTCTCCTGAGGTCGGATTCCCGAGATGCCCTTACAGTCCAAACAGGAGGTTTTTGACCCAGGACGGTCTGCAGCAGCACTTAAGCCTCCACCACTGCGACATCAAATCAACCAGCGATCCTTCAGAAGCTTCCTCGGACCCATTGGAGCACCTCAACTGTCCCACAGGCGCATCGGAGTGTGATGATCCTTTCGAAGATGGGGAGTTGTGTTCGGCACTTGCTCAGATTACCCTGGCGATGAAAGACTCCAGCAGCGATGAGCATATGACGACATGTGCATCTCCTAGCTCGAGCGAAGAGCACGAAGAGCACAGTCTCAACCATTATGACCCGATCAAGGAGTACGACTGCGCTGAATGCTGCAACAAGTTCCCCAGTGCCCATGCCTGCGCCATACACCACCAACTTCACAACGTGACGGGCTACACATGTGTCGCCTGCGAGAACTTCTTCAGCTCAGAAGAAGACTTTGCGGACCTTTGCAACCGGTACGAGCTAGATTGTTTCCGCTGCCCTATCTGCGCGCAATCTTATGACACCTATGAAGGGTGGACGGAGCACTGTGCGCAGAGAACTGAGTGCAACAATGTTTTCGGGTCTCAGCAAGCCTTCGTCAAGCACTGCGAGTCACACGATCCAGTACGCTACGCGTGTCAGCATTGCCCTTCTTCTTGCGACTCTCATGAAGAATGGACCGGACACTGCGCGCTGAACGATGCGAGAAAGTTCCGCTGCATAGACTGCGGACTCCTACTATTCTGCGAAAAGGTCTATGCCAAACACCGCGCGGCGCAGCACGACATGCCTTCCTGTTATCGGTGCTGCAAGGAGTTCTCCACATGGCAAGAGTGTGAGGAACACTACAAGCCAGACAACGGCTGGTCGGCAACTTTGGGCACCAAATGCAAGCTCGAATTTTGGACGTGATCGATATGGTCTTCCGCGTGGTTCGAGCACGTCAAGCGACAGTCCATGCAGACACCCGGCGTATGCCAGAGACGGAAGCTATCCCGCCTCCCGGTCGCCACGTCGAAGAGGGCTCTCGTGTGATTCAAACGACAGCCCACGCCATCGCTCAGTCTGCTCGAGCGTGGAGGCTTCTCTCAACGACGACGGAGACGAAAGCGACGACGAGGGTGATGGAGGTGTGTTGCTGGATTGAGCACGGTGGAGACGAGGGCCATGACGACGACGACCTGGCAAGCATGTGACAGTGTTTCCAGCGATTTGCTTGATGGTGGCGTGTCGAGTCTCCAATTTCCAGGAGGTGGTCGTAGCCACATGGATGGCTTTGATGGCTCATGAATGCATGTTTGGCCGGGAGAACTGTCGAGCAAGCGGAACATGTATCTTTGTGAGTATAGAATGTACCAGACGCAAGCAAATGTATTCAACACAAATACTACATCGTACACGATGCTTCTGATGTCTTCGAAAATGGCTTTCTCACCACCCCAAGACATTTTTACAGGCGGTAGCACCATGCCAGGTCTGCACTATATTAATCTCTCTCGACCCATGCCAGCAGCACAGCCCCCGCCATTTAAATTCCGACTCACTAGCATGGCATTTGACTGCTTCTGCGGCGTCTCCTGCGCGACCGATGATGATCTCTACTAACACGCCATCACACAAGCCCACCTTGTCAAATGCTCCTGCAACGAACTGTTCGGCAGCGTAAAGAAGGTGTTTCGGCCCCAGCGCGAAGTACCAGACCATCAGCCGTGGTCGTACACCAAGCTCGAAATTCCGAGAGGTCGTCCTGGCGGCGCCGGTGCGGAAGCCGCGACCGCAAGCGCTGCAGCGTCGCACGAAGCTCTGCGTTGTCATCTCTGTCCGGGCCAGACGTTCAAAGCACTTCTCCAGTATGAGCAGCACATACGCGACAAGCATCCAACGTGTCCGGTTTGCGGGAAGACTTTTCGGCATAAGTGGGCGAAGAAGGTGTTGCGTACGGCGCGGAAGCAATGCGTGACGCATCAGGAAGGGATCGGGCACTGCTATTGCTTGCAGCATAAGAAGGTGTTTGACTCGATGGAAGCGTATGCGGCGCACGTAGCGGAGGATGAGAGAGGCCGGACGTGAGAGAGAGCAGGAACTCAGGGTTGCGGTTGTGGGAATCGTCAAAGATGGCGCGGAGACCCCGCTCGAGGAGGGTGAGGTTGGGCGGGGCAGAGCGCCGCCTTCGTCTGAGGAGTACAAGCAGCAACGGTGAGGTGTCTTGCAGCAGCGCAGAGTGCGATGACGAGACCGGAGAGGATGTTTCAGCGGCGGAGGGAGCTTTGGCGGGATTGAGCGCGGAGAGAGGCGTCCAGAGTGAGAATGAGCAGGACGACAGTGTTGTGTTGAAGTAAGCCCGGCTGCCGGAAGAAGCACCTCAGGGTCGACAGGATGTTCTGTGCCGTTGGTGGTGGGTGCGCTCGTGTTTGTTTTAAAGATGTGGAGATGGCTGCGTTTGTACAAGACCTGAGTGGCGATGAGTCCAGCAATTCGAGCAGACCAGAGTAGAGATGTTGAGGATGCAATGGATCCATTAAGCATGAGCAGAACGCAGTGTCAAGCCAAACAACACCATCTTTTCATTTCACCTTCACACTCCCTTCCTTCGGCAGCACCCCGCCCGCCACCGCTCCTGTCCCAGCCCCTCCCGACTTCACCGCCTGCACTGTCTGCACGCCTTTTCCTCTCCCAAACAACCTCCCCACCCACCCCATAACCGGCAGCACAGTCCACCTTGCAAACCACGGCGTCGCCCACACACTCAACACCAACCTAACCGGCAACAACGCCTTCGTAATCGCCCACGCCGTCCCGATCTCCACCAACAACCTCACGCTCCCCTCACCCCTCCCAAACCACTTATCTCTCTTCGACTCCTGCTTCAACCATCCATTCCGTCGCAGGTATTTCCCGGCCTTCTCCGTCGCTTCTTGCACCCATTTGCCCTCGCTGATGTAGGGGGGGAGCCAGTTGGAGCAGTGGAAGAAGGCTACGAGGCCGACGACGGGGACGATGGCGGTGAGTTCGTGGAGGAGGAGGAAGGCTGTTACGTGGGAGATGGGGGCGCGGGTTATGGGGCGGAGCCAAGGGACGAGGAATTTGGGAAGCCGGGATTCGAGGCGGGTGAGGCGGGACGTTGGGGGTGCGGGTTGCGTGGCATGGCGGCGGATGAGGTTGGGTGAGAGCCGCCGGGTGAGGATTTGGGAGCGGAGCGTGGTTGTTGTTCGTAGCATGTTGGTGATGTGTGCTGAGTCTTTCAATGGTAGGTAGGCGCCTGGAGACTTATTTTTCCCAGGGGGTGGAGATGAAAGAAGAGACTTGATACGACTTAGCGAAAGAAAGCAGGCAAAGAGAATTGAGTTGGACCTACGCTATATGGACAAGTCTTGTCCTTTTCACACGCAAGGTACGGATACATGTGATTATCGGGGGGGTCCAGGCATTCACTCCCAAGCGCCAAGCTTTGACATCCGCTAGCTCCCGCACTCATCAGCCAATGGCTTCTATCAAGAGCACTTCGAACATTTGGCTCTTGGTTGTCAAGAAACAGGAGACGAATAGAACAATATCTCCGCGACCACCTATACCTCAATCGCTTGGGTTGGAGCAGTCCCAGATCCAAGATGCTCACCCTCCTCGCCCTCACGAGCCTCCTCGGCCTCCTCACCACCCTCACCTCCGCGACAGCGCTCACGTACAAGCTGGTACCCAACGAGAAGGAGTGTTTCTACAGCTTTGTCGACAAGAAAGATGCAAAGATTGCCTTTTATTTCGCTGTGCAGAGTGGTGGATCGTTTGACAGTAAGCAATACCTCAATGATATGCTGGAAGGGAGACAGTTGGGCTAATACGAGGTACAGTCGACTACTCTGTAGTAGGCCCAGGACCGCAGCAGGGCAGGGAGCGCGTGATCATGGAAGGCGAGAAGGAGAGACAGGGTGACTTCGTGTTCACCGCAACAGAGGTGGGAGAGTACAGGTTCTGCTTCGACAACTCCGTGTCGACCTTTTCCGACAAGGTTGTGGACTTCGAGATTACCGTACGCGATGCTTTGGAGACGACCTGACCTTGGCGAAAAAGCTGATGAGGTACAGGTTGAGAACGAGGCCCGCGCAGCCCTCCCACAGAAAGCCGGGGCCAACCCAGAACAACTCGGCGGCGTAGAGGAGACAGTGACCAAGCTCTCCGGCCAAGTCAGCACTCTCACACGGCAGCAGAAGTACTTCCGGACACGAGAGAACAGGAACTTCAGCACTGTGCGGAGTACGGAGAGGCGGATATTCAACTTCAATCTGATTGAGGGAGGGTTGATGGTTGCCATGGCTTGTTTACAGGTGTTTATTGTGAAGATGTTCTTCACTGGTGGGCGGAAAGGTAAGGACATCGTTGGACTGGTTGTTAGAGGGAACCAGCTGCTAATGTGCGATCTCAGGATATGTGTGAACGACCGCATGATGTGTTTACAAAGAAAGTTGGCGTTGGGCGCTCAGAAGTGCATCAGCCCCCTGCTTGATCCAAATTGAGTGTTTTGACATGATTGCCAACCCGTAGTCACTCCCGATCTACGCCCCAGAAAGTTTTCCGTCGCACCATTATGTGCTCGATTGAAGCAGTCGTCGCTTCCAACTTAGGGTTGGGCGGCTTGTCATTCCTGCTTCTCACTCGATCTCTCCTGCCCATCCGTTAGATGGTCGCGGATGCATCGACGGCAAGCGTGGCTTCCGTACATGTACTTTCCACCCGGTATAGTCATGGCCACTCACTTTCTCAACTCCATCTGTTTTCCTCATCCTCACCCATAACTGGAACATTGTTGCATCAACATCTCGGCATCAGCATCAGCATTTCTTCATCGAAACAGCATTTCCAATACAGCTTGTACCACCGCCAACATGCTCTGCTCCACCGCTCTCCTCACCACCATCGCCATCGCCGGCTTGACTGCAGCAGCGCCAGCGTTCCAGGCACCGCAAGACCCGCACGTATCTCCATACTGCGCTCGCAGACGAGCGAGACAAAAGCTCCCACCTCCCTTGCGTCCAACAACTGATAAATTGTATCTCCAGCGGCTACCCAGCCATTGGGCTCCTCGTCTTTACGTCGTCTTTGGTCGAGTCAATCCTCAGTTCTCATATCAACATGAGTGCGATTGCCGTCTTGCCCGAGCACCTTACCGCCCTCAACGTCACGCAGGCTAGGTCGATCGTGATGGATGAGAGCATGATGTACCATATTCCGGCCAAGAAGGTCGCGTGTCAGGCATACAGCGATGAGGTACGTCCATGCACGCCATGGCTAGCCTTCCCTGAGGATAGTATACCAGTCGGCCGACCATGACATGCTGATTTGATTCCCAGGACGGCGCGTGGCCCATTGGCGACCCTTTCACGATCGCGAGCCCTGCAGACTTTGGCCCTGAGCCTGTCCCAGTGGCAGCGGTGAAGTGCTCTGTTCAGCAACACGTCGTACGTCACCAGGCCGACAACAGCGTCTACCCCATGCCCTCCAACGACAAGTACGTCCTACTCCTCCGCCTCTCCACGCACCCTACTGACTAGACTACTCGCAGATACAAAGGCATCTCCCTCCACATCACCACCTCCCCGCAAGGCCAGAACCCACCAACCGTCTCGCCCTCCCCCGTCGAACTCACCAAACTTACCGACCTCAACGGCGTCCACGCGTCGGCAATCAGCCTAGATGAGGGCGTACACCCGAACGTCAGGCTGGAGGACGTGCAGTGTCAGGCTTTCTGGGATAAGGTACGCTGCTGTTTCCGCTGCTTCTCCACATGATCCCGCGGCTAGTTGGAGACGGAGGAGTGGAGTTGATGTCGGGAGTCGGATGTTTGCTGACGATGCTGTTGCAGGACGGGAGGTCGCCGATGGGTGTGGCGTTTACGCTTGAGAAGGGAGTGGTGTTTGGGAAGAACCCGGTCAAGGTCGGGTCGGTGTTGTGCTGGACTTGATGAAGGAGGGTAGACCAGGCCGAGATTGACGCATTGAGCGGCGTCTTGTGTTTTGGAGTTGCCCTATTGTGTTGCTGTTTTCGACGGAAGCTGGAGGTTCTGGCCGCATTCTTCTGTACCTTGCTTATGCTTGTATGAAACGATGACATTCGAGGAATTTTCAACCGCCTCAAATCCGATGCATTGCGTAAAAAGCTATGTATCATGGGTATCATCGTTGTATCGTTGTAGCGCTCAACGAAGCAAAAAAGAAGAACATCGCATAATAATACAGATCATCCGCCAACACCTCGCTAAACCCACACTTTCAAATAACGCCCATCCACCACTCTTTCTGGACTTCGACCATTACTCCCCAAGCCGATCCATCTCCTCCCTCTGCCTCAGATACTCTTTCGCCAACGCATCTCCACCCAGCGCACTTAAGCTCATCCAGTGATGCGCCACACACATCGTCGCCGGATCGCAGCGGTGCGGGTCCTGGTTCCTCTTCCACTTGCCCTCCAGCTCCTCCTTGAAAACATCCCGTGGTCTGGACAACGGTGCGATGATATGGTCCATCAGCTCTGGATGCGTGAGATACAGCGTCGCCAACTCTCGCTGCGCGACCGCATCGCCTTCTTTGGCCGTAATTTGAAGCAGTTCCGCTGCGTGGGCCATGGTGTACTTTCCGATGTCCTCGGCGGACGGGGTGCGGTTAGGTACGGTGAAGGTGGCGGAATCGCGCTCCTGTTGGGCGGTGGAAGAGGAGGAGCGGCCGGAACCGCGGTTCATGGAGTGGTATGCGATGATGCTGTCGGCGGTCTCGACCATGAGTTGGGTGGCTTCTTGCTTGAGGCGGAGGATGGCTATGGTGGCGTTCCAGAAGGCTTTGCTCTCGGTGGCCGAGAGAGTTGGTGAGGGGACGAGGGCGGCAATGTATTGCAGGTCGCGGAATATGGCTGTAGGACGTTGTTGGCTGTTGGAGAACAGTCTTCGGAAACCTTCGACCATGATGTCTGGCACGGCAGCTGTGTCTCTGGTGTTAAGCGAGAGGCCGTTGAGCAGCTTCGGATGACTTCGCGGCGATGCAGCAGCTTGATCGGCCATGTAGGGCTTGAGGAGTGTGTTGACATCCGCAAGGTATCGCAGCTTCTCGAACGGGTTCGATGTGCTCGCGAATGACTGCAGTAGTCTCGAGAAGGCGTTGCTGTAGTCGAACTGATAGTCATCTTGCACCACCGTGTCAGGTGAGCCCACACCTTGAGTGAGTCGCACGTTTCGAAGATGCTTCTCAGTCAGTTCGCCGCCCAGACCGCTCCAAAACGCTCGATCGGTCTCGCTGCCAGTCGCGAAAGCAGGAAGCGTAAGGTCACTGATCAGAAGGCTCGTGAGTCGTTGGCGGACCTGCTCCTTCATTTGCTCAGAGCCTACGCCTCCCGCCGAATCCGCCAGATTGGAGCGAAGCCCGAAAGCCGGTTGCATGTAAGAAGAACCAATGCTTGTAGCGCTAGAAGGAGACTGCGTGTCTGTCAACGATGGAGACCAGAATGGACCAGAAGACTTGTTCGTCAGCGTTGGACTGCGAGTCTCGAGATAGTCCCGAGAGCTCCTGGCCGACAGGGGATGTGAAGACGCGCTTGAGATAGAATCGATGCTGGGTGGCACGTTCGTCTGCACCGAGAAGAGGTCCTGGCGGCCCGCATATCCCCGAGACTGGAACAATGGACTGTATGACGGACTCTTGGGTGCTCCGCTGTCTGCCACTTGGCTCCGAGCGAAGAGTATACTCGACCAGGTCGCTGAGCCGTCAGAGGTAATTGTAGTGACCGCCTTCCGGATCTCCAGGCAAAGCCTCTGCAACCGCTCTTCGCCTTTGCACAAATTCTCCACCGCATTGCGGTCCAGCCAGGCTGAGAGGGCTCTGGACTGATCATCGCTGAGTTTATTCGGCCCACCGTGGCCAGGAGGTGCGCTCAGTATCTCCAAAACCTGCGCCTCGGTCTTGAGGTGGAAGCTAGCTGCAGGACCTTTGAACCCGTTCCAGTGCCGGAGAGGCGGAGCAGGAAAGGCACGAGTGGGCCGCTTGACCTTACCCATCACCTTCAGAGCAGAAGCTACGGAGCGCGCTTCATCGTAAGCGGCAGATGTTCGTACTTCGGCAACATACCACATCTTGTCTCGAAGCCGGCTCATGGTCTCAGTGTGCTGGCGCAGCAGCTCGCTCTGACCCTGGGTAAGGCTGGACACATTTCGTAGAGGTTCGACGCACCACCGCTCTACAGCCAGAGCTTCGTCAAGCGAGCTGCGATTGAAGGATTCGATGCTAGTCAGCAAGCTCGACAACGGTTTCGGGTCGTTGTCATCCGCTAGAACCTTGCGAAACTTCCTAAGCCTGCGGTGCCAGGTATGGGCTGAGATGAAGTCGGATGAATCATCACAAAGGGCAGTACGCTCGACGAAAGCGCGTTTAATGGTCTCCTGCACCTCGTCCAGTGGAGGTTCTGGCTTGGACAAGTCAGGGGACCAATGCTGCTTGAGGTCCTCATCGATCAGAAGCTCCTCAACAGCGGCTCTGCACTTGTGAGTATCAGGAGATCCTTGCATGGTGCTCGTCATATTGTCGCTCGACGGTCCATCAAAACCAAGAGCTTCTTCGCACAGAATGCGCCGTACGGTGGAAAGTCCGTCAGCACCCGTGCGAAGAAGACTCCACTCATGAGAGCCGGTCGGTGTTTGGCTGGCCGACATATCATCGATTGCTGCACAGATCTCACGCAGCTGCTCGCCTTCCACGATTCCTGGATCTAGTCTGGACAAGTCCGTCACAACGTGGTCATCCGAAAACTTCTCCGACAGAACAGGGTATGCATTTCCACTCGCGGGACTGGTGTAGCCCGTTGGAGCTGTTCCTGGAGTCTGGAAAAGTGAGAACCCGGAAACCGAGGATGAAGATGAGTGTAGCCCTGTCCGAGATGGATCTCGTTCGGAAGATGCCTTCGCCGGAGCCCGTTGAGGGTAGAGCGCGGTCACGAGGGTGTTCAGATCAGCTGCGGTCAGCGGCACAACCACTTCTTCGTTAGCAGGTACCGGGGGTGTGATGAAATCGAACACTCTTCCTCCCTCTGGCTGCTGGATGTCGAATTTGCCAGCAATTGTGTTGACGACCTGTCTGACATCCGTAGAATCAGGAGCTCCGTACTTCCTGGCACACGAATTAGTTCTCCGAAGGATCTTGTAGCTGTCTATGACATCCTCACCACGAGTAGACAACGCCATAAACCGATCTTGAGCAGCGGGCAGTGACTTCTCGAAGAAGCCGTTGACGGACAGTGTCCGAGATAAAGTGGTCGGTCAAAATTCCGTGTGCCTTGAAAAGATCAGTGAGTTACGATTTGTTCGATCTTGATTCAGCTGCTTGCCTCTGGTAGCGTGACTATGTCTGGCAGGAATGACAGGAAGAGCCAGCGAGTAAGCACGAAGTACGGAAACGCCTGCTTGTGAGTAGAGTGAGCCTCCAACTTCCGGCAGATCTCTTGGCATAAGAGCAGCGCGCCCTCAGGTAACACACCGGTGTCAGTCGAGGCGGCCAACAAGGCAAGCAATGAGTCCACGGACTCCTGGTAGAACGCCTCCAGACGGTTGTCTTCTTGAACATCAAGCTCGGTCCGAATCCCAGAGCGCACACGGAAGCTTTGCTTCTGGGTCTGGTCCAACAGAGGTGTTCCGCGCTGGATCAAATCGGCCATCCAATTGCTCAGGCGGTCCTTTCCTGCCCACTTGGAAGAAGCGGCCCATAGTTGGATCACGGCCGGCACCACCTTTTCACTCCCATGCTTCTGCTCCAGAATCAGGTTCGCACAGACCGTAGACCAAACGTCCGTGGGTTCGGCATCGCGATAAAGGGGAGCGCTGGACAGTCCACGCACTGCATAGACAAGCGTCTCCAAAGCACTGCCAAACTCGAGCGAGGCCAACAGGTCCGTCTGGGTATCGGCCGCAAATCCAAGATGCCTGGAGGCACGAGAGCTGCTCCTTTGCGAGGACCCGAAAATGGAGTCACTGGATTTGGCCTGGCCTTTTTCTGGCAAAATGGTCTCCAGCTCTCGGTGCGAGAGCGATGCTAGACGGTCAGCAATGAAATGGCCGTCATGTCTGACCTTGCATATGAAGTCCAGAATCTGACTCCGAGAACTCGATGGTAGCCGATCCAGGAAGCAGGCTGGGTATCCAACGCAACCGTCGTCCCTCTTGGAGGTCGCATGCACGGGTCCGGCCGAATGCAAAAGTCCTCCGGACAGAGAATCGTGGAAAGCATTAAGCAAATTGACAAAACTGTGCTTGTCCTCGGCCTTGATACACTGCCCGAGCGTACGCTGAACGGAGCGCGAAATTAGCAGTAAACGAGAGGTTCGTGCGGCCTCCGAATAGGCACAGTGTAGGTTGTGTTGGAGCTGCAAACATTTCCGGCGCTGGTATCTTCCAAGTCGTAGAAGCTGTGCAAGATCAGACAAACGTGGAATTGGTTCTTGCGGTTCGTCCGGTTGAGTCTCCTGTGGTAGGTCAATCGAAGCGACCGGCGCTTCGTCAAGACCAGATGATACCAGATTCACTCGAGCGAGAAGATCCTGCTGGCCAGCGGTGATCCATCCAGTCAGTTGGCTGGCCATGTCCAGGTCGGAGGCAGAACGAGAGCGGCGAGGTAGAGGGGTAGAGGAGGAGGCGTGGCGCGGAGGTCCATCAAGAGAAGGGATGCCAGGCGTGGAGGAGCGCGAAACATGGCGGATGGTTAAAGATGGTGACACAGCTGCACAAAGTTCACGGTCGTTAGCGGGCAACGTACGATTGACACAGACAGATGCCAGCAGTGCCAGCGCACTCTACAGCAGCCTGCTTAAGGTCCCGGAGGAGCTGGCATCGTGATTGGCCGGCGTGGTACAGCGCAAGAAACGGACGGCGCGATGAAGAGAGGACATACAGCGTGCAGTTCGTCTCTCATATTCAGGTGGCAAGCCAATGTCGAGCATTGCTTGCTATACAACGGACGAGGACGTGGTACGGTATATGGTCGAAGTCGGGCTCAGATCATGGTTGCAATTCGGCGCCTCCGTGGTGCTCCGCAGTGACCTCAGCCCTTCAGGTGCGGCGTGGCTGCATCGCGCTGTTGCAGCTGATTGTCGTCGGCAGGGTCCAGATGTATCGTACGGTTGGTCGGACAGTCTTTGGTGTTTGAGCCGTGCGTGTAGAGGAGCTTGCTGTCGGCTGTTGTCGAGTCGAGATGAAATGACTCTGGAGCAATCGAAGCTCGACGATCACGAGCCAACCTGGAGTTCCTCGTGTGGGATGGCGACCAGGATCACAGGGGCCAATCAGCGTCGTACAAGGCCATCACACTCCGCCGCATCTCGCCCGTTTCGATCCGGGTGCATGGCTTTTAATGGCGTCGCTGTGAACACGTCGACGCTCGGCAGAGGTGGGATTGATGCAGGACATTAGCTTGCAGCTCATCACACTATTGGCCGAAAGCCTGTGAACTCGAACGTTTGATGCTGGACGCGCATGAGATTGTGGGTATGATTCGCTGGCTGTTCTGAGACACTCAGAACAAGGTCGGCGGCCGCCCTGCGACCACATGCGCTAAGGCGGGTGTGCTTCCGGGAGCTCGACGACAGCGTTACCGTTGAGCTTCCTTCCTATCGAGGAAAATGCGTGATGCAGGCTGTAGTTGCGACATAGCAGCAGGATGCAAACTGCCGACAGCGAAGTCGCCTCAGTAAGATAGGACAGTCTTGAGATGGATCTTCTTACAACAGTCGACAGTCCGCCGACATAGGACTTAGGAAATAGGATCACTTGGGGTGTGGTTGTGTTTGGTAGAGCACTTCGCCTACCGCATCTCTTCCCAGAACTGCTCGATGGACCCTATCCATTGTCGCAGCTCTCGGCGTATGAAGGGACGCTGCCGTTCAAGTAAGCTATCAACAATAGTCCACAAAGCGTTCGGTCTGGCTATGGAGGTCGGCCCTTCATCTGCTTCTCATTTGTACCTCGACGAGTAGCGTCGCAAGTCATCGACTGATCCTCATCCACAAGCAGCGGTGCCAACGACGGCTGCACAGCGCGAGATATCCCGTTAACCGCAATATGAGGGAAATCGGCCATGTGACGTTGCTGAGGCGTAACCAGTTTGCCAGCTTCGTCACGTTCATTCACCCTATCAGCGACATCGATCCTACGAGGATTGCAGGTGGAAGGTCCAGGTGTTTGAGGAGGAAGTGGCAGCAGAACTCAGGTCGTAGTCCGAAACCACTTGGCAGTTGCCGCCCATGAGGAAGGTGCACTTCACACTCCCTATTGAGCAGGAGCTTGAAAACCTGTGCACTTGCGAATCAATATCTAAATGGCCTTTCCACAATATCTGTCTTCAACTCAAGCAGCCTTCTCCCGCCGCCTCAGACGAACCGTCGGCATATGCTGTTGCGTGAACCAAACATTTTTAACCTTCCACTCCCCATCCCCCTCCAAACTCATATCAAACTCCCTCACAAGGAGCGGAATAATCTTCCTCATCTCAATCTGACTGATATTCCTCCCCATGCACACACGACTCCCTGCACCGAACGAGAAGAAATGCTTCTCCATGTTGGCAAGCTCCTCTTTATTCTTCTCCGTCTCCAGCCATCGTTCGGGCTCGAAGGACTCTGGGTTAGGAAAGACTTCAGGGTTATGCTGGAGCACCCATGGATTTATGCCTACGATTGTACCGCCGGGGAGGTACTTCCCACAGATAGTCGCGCCTTCTGGTGGTATGTGCCGCTCGAAGAGGAAGCCGACGCTTGGGTGGAGACGCATTGCTTCCTTTATGACGGCGTTGAGGTAGGGAAGTTCGTTTCTTGCCTCGATGTCTTGGATGAAGTCGCTGAGCTTGCCAGCTTTGCCGGCGGCATCGATCTCGTCGCGAAGTTTGTTCATCTTGTCGGGGTTCTTCATCAGGAAGTAGAGGATGGCGCGGAGAGCTATGGCGGTGGTACTTGGACAGTAATAGGTCAGTAAAGCCTTCAAAGAGCGAGGCTAGAATGCCCATGTCCATGCTTACTCGGATCCTGCGAAGACCTATATAATCCATTAGTCACGAAAGCCTGCACCAAGATATTTGCAGTCACTCACATTGGCACTGAGATGCACAACAATATCCCTCGTGCTCATCTTGAGTGGGTCAAATGACTTTACAGCCGCCCACTTCGACAGCATGTCGTCGCCAACTTTGCCTTCTTCCAGCTCAAGCTCGCCATCTCTCGAGATCTTCGTCCGGCTGTTAATGGCCTTGAGCGTAAATAGAAGAGTCTGATTCCACGTCTCCATTGCAGGCATAAGCATGGTGAACAGAGGGTTGCCGAGCAAGAACCAATGAAGCTCCGGTATCTGGCCGATATGTGAGGCGTACACAAGCATGCCTTCGATGGCTTGCATCATGCCATCTACGTCGCCACCTGTGCTGAGGAAGCCAAACTTGCTTTGGAAGGTCAGCTCACCGACGACATCGAAGGCTACGTTATCAATGTCAGTAGGGACGGGCGGTGAAGGGCAGTCTCGGTCATACCGTAATACTGCAGCCATGCACCAAGATCCACCGGCTCATCTCGATTAGCAAAACTGTTCATCTTCTCAACGAAAAGCTTTCCACAGTCGTCCACAGAGCTCTCCATCTTGAGAAGCGATTCCAGGCTGTAAGCATTGGCAATCTTCTTGCGCTGATCCCGATGCTCTGCCTCGCTTCGCGTGCTGAACAGATTCATCGCCGGCTGCTTCTTCCAAGAAACGCTCTGAATAGGATAGAAGCCAGTCTTGGTAAAGTTGCCTTTGATGTTGTAGATCTTTGATATCTCATCTGCGTCCGCGACCGAGACGACATTCGGCGCTGTGCGCACCAGCTTGCCATGTTTCTTGTGTAGCTTGATAGCTGTCCAGTGTGCTTGTCCTTTCCAGACGTCGTACAGACGCCATAGCTTGGTGTATGCGGCGATGCGTGGTCCAGGAATATCGGAGAGGCCAGTCTTGTACTTGTTTCTCACGAGGGATGCAACGAGAAGCAGAAGTAAGAGTGGGATTGAGTATGTTTTTAGGAAACTGAGAGTTGCGCTTTCTGCCATGATTCCAACAGGCTATTATAATAACGGACGCTGGGTTGATGACAGAGGAGAAGTGGAAAGGAAGCCTACATATACTCATGTCATGTTCAGCTTTGCAGCTCACATGCCGTCGTCCCGTGCGGCGTTGCATCACGCCTCGCTCGGCTTGCTGTGGGGTGCGTGGAGGTGCATACGGAGGAGAGGTGATGGGAATACGTCGGACGGCAGTGCTGAAGATTCCATACATGTATGCATGTACTTCTGCACCTCTTTGCGTTCGACCGAGGAGTTAGCCAATGTCGTCTCAGAGCCTGCCCTCAAGGGTACACCAGTTTCACATATACAATACACCCGATGTCACATGGCAACGTTGTATATTTTCTCCACTCTCGGACGTTCATTGCAAGCTTGCCCAGGTGTAGTTGTATCTCGAAGGATGAAAGGTTTGTTAGGAGCTGTGGGATGGGATCCCCAAACGAAAACGAGACTACTCGCATCACGTGCAAGCGCCCACTAGCGTGTCCCCCCCCCACCTTTTCACGCGACTACTTCACCAGATGAAGAGCAACGGCACCCTCACTTCGCGACTTCCATATGCAGCCCTTTGGGCACCTTCATTCGTTCACCCTTCCTCTTGGATAATATCACATCGACAATGCATAATACAACAGCATACTTAAGCAATGCCGCTCCCATTCTCAGAGGTTTGCACATTGCTATCCCGGATCGAGGACCTTGAGTTGCGCGATCCGCCATTTCTAAACGTGGGAGAGAAGTCGACTCAGATCAAAGCCGTGGTCGACTCATGGTTCAAATCGCATCGAAATGCGCTCAACAGTCTGGCCGTGAAAGATGCAGTCGCGTTTCTGTCTACCTTGCTGCCGGAGCGGAGGACCGATCGCGTCTACTATATCCAAGCGACGCGTCTTTGCAGGATCTTGAGCAGATGTCTGAGTCTTAGCGCCGCTCTGACGAAGGACCTGCACGCGTACAAGGAGGCTGGCCGAGGAGATCTGGGATCCTGTGTTGAGCGAGTACTGGCTGTGGGCGGGCCACCAGCTCATCCTCCTCCCGGCTTGGCTGAAGTGGATGGCATGCTCGACGAGCTCGCTAGCCAAAGCAGATTCTCGGCGAAGTCGTTTACCAACCGTCTACCACACTCTTCAGCGAAGAAGGACGGCCCTCTTGGAGACGCTTTCAAGCGCCTCACGCCGATTGAGGGTAAATGGCTGGTTCGACTCATTCTGAAAGACTTGGCTCCCCTGCGTTTGGACGAAGGGCTAGTCTTCAGATCCTTCCACTTTCTCCTACCAGACCTTCTGCTATTTCAGAATGATCTCGCAGCTGCGATCGGCTTGCTCCAGCGGTCGTTATCCGAGTACCCTGCGAGCTGCGATCCGAGGTCCGAGAGACTGCATCGACAGAGCGCTCGCGCTAAGCTAACGCCTATCGTCGGTGTCAAGGTAGGCAGGCCAGACTGGACAAAAGCGAGAAGCGTCGAGCACTGTTTGCAGAGGGCTGGAGGTCAGAAATGGGTACTCGAGAGAAAGTACGATGGAGAGTACTGCGAGATTCACATTGACCTCAAGCGATCACCGAATGTCTCTGAGTGCATCACTATCTTCTCGAAGAGCGGCAAGGAATCTACTTCTGACCGCAGCGGGTTACACCAGACCATCACTGACTGCCTCCGACTCGGCAAAGCAGATTGCAAAATCAAAAGACAAGCCATTCTACTGGGCGAGATGGTCGTCTACTCCGACAGCGAACGTCGCATCCTGCCTTTCGAGAAGATCCGGAAGCATGTTCCTCGTTCTGGATCCTTCATCGGGACGGACTATGACTCCCTACCAAAGTCTGACGAGCATCTAGCCATTGTGTTCTTCGACATACTTCTACTCGACAGTGAACTTGTCCTCAACAAGCCCATCGACGAGCGGCGAATGTGGCTGCGAGAGGTCTACACCAAAGTTGCTGGTCGTGCTTTCAGCTCTGAGTGGAAGATCGTGGACTTCTCGGACGCAACACGTTCGACGAAAGTGCTCGTCAACCAGTTTGCGGCCTCAATCGCCGAGAGATGTGAAGGCTTGATCCTGAAGCCATGCGGTGTCCCGTACTTTGCCCTCGAGTCTGGCGCAAACGGGCGACTGCAGACGTTCATGAAGCTCAAGAAAGACTACATTGCTGGCCTGGGCGATGAAGCTGACTTCGCTGTTATTGGCGCCAGCTACAATGCACAACAAGCCGCGAAGTGTGGGTTGCCGAATGTGCAGTACACGGACTTTCATCTTGGCTGCTTGATGAACAAAGAAGAGGTCCTGCGCTTCGATGCTCGCCCCTTATTTCGCCACGTTGGGACGATACAGCAGGACTTCTGCATACCCAAGCCTGTACTGCAGGCCGCGAACGAGATCGGGAAGTTCTGTGCGAAACCATTCAACGCAGGCAGAACGACAGAATCCTGCAGCTTCGACGTCGACACCGCAAGACTCTCGAGGCCAATGGACGTCCTCTTCGATCAACCCTTCGTCTTCGAAGTTCTCGGCTCGGGGTTCGAGAAGCCATCGAACTGTGACTTCTTCATGCTGCGACATCCACGCATCAAGAAGATCCACCAGGATCGGAGTTGGAAGGAATGCACATCGTTCCAGGAGTTACAGAAGCAAGCATCGGACTCACGAGCGGTTACGGTGGTCTCGGAGTCGCAGGAGATGAGGAACTGGGTCGAGCGTCTGGAGAAGAAATGCCGAAAGAAGTTCGAGAGGCAGAGAGCGACGAAGACGCCTTCGACGGTGCGGACTGTCACAACGAGTGCGAGCCAGAGGAGCACCGCAACCACAGTACATACGGCGAAGGTCGTGGAGATCGACGAGAATGCTCTGGATGGCACCACACTCATTGCTACTACTTCGCCGAAGCGCAAGCGGCCATCAACAGATGTTGTGAACACGCCGTGTCCCGCAAACAAACGGCCACGGTCTGAGAACAACCCCAAACGAAGCACAGCGGCAAGACCGGCCTGCGAGCACGCAGCTCCTGTCTCACAACCACTGGCGGATATTACCAATACCGCCAATCAGCCTCCTCGCTCTGCCCAATCTCCAGCCAAGGCACCCGCAAAGACACCTCACCCTTCCTCCTCCCGACCCAATCAAACCAAGAACCCATCCTCCCTACTCTCCCGCCTCCAATCCCTCTTCCAAACCACCTACCCCCCACCACCCCCACCAAACCCCCTCTGCAACCCCGCCACCTGTCCTCTAGCCAGCACAGCAATCTACCTCGCCCCCTGCATCGCGCGCACGCCTTACATCGCGCACGACCTCCTCGGCAGCCACGACAACGTCATCGTTGTACCCTCGTTGGAATGCTGGGATCGCGAGTGCTGTCCTGCTTCGTCTCGATCTGCTTCGTCAACGATCTCCTCGTCCCCACCGAGGTCAGGCTTCGAGCAGCCCCCGGAAGTGGTGAGGGAAAGTCAAGCTTACCAGGGTATGAAGAGGCTAGTAGTCGTGGAATCGAAGCGGAAGCAGCAGGTTCCGGAGATTGTGGGGCAGTTGGAGGCGCTGCAGAAGAAGGGATGTTTTGGTGAGGGGGAAGGGGAGGGGTTCGAGGTATTGGATTGGAGGGTGCTGGAGCGGTGTTGATGGTGCTGAGGGTGGGAGTGATCGTGATTGGGATGGTAGGATTGAAGGGGTTGGACGAGGGCAGGGAGCTGTTGGAGGGGCTTGAGGGCGTTTTGGATGAGGTGGACTTGTGATACCCCTGCTTTGGAATAACGACATTTGGGCAATTTTCAGGTTGTCTGTTTCATAGGCTTCGCCGGTCTATTCTATCAAGACCCCAACTACACAAGCTCCAAACACCCATCCACCCCAAACCTCCCCCCTACGCCAATATTCACCTCCGCCTCCTTCCCCTCCCCCGCCACCGCGGGCCCTTTAACCACAATCTCCCCCCTCGGCCCGGTACCCTCAACCTCCCTGTCCTCTTTATTCACCAACTTAATCTCCACCGAACTCAATGGAAGCCCGAAATGACTATACCGACTCCCCGCCTGCCCTTCCCGGACTCTATAGTCAAAGACATGCGTCTGCGCCACCGCGCCCGCCACGAAGGGGGAAGTGAGCGCGTAGCAAATTCTTGCCCGAGTGAAAATCCGTAGGTCGGAGAGCATCGCTGCGCTTAGTGGTGGACTGCCGCCGCCAAGACGCTCGGAGGTGAGGATGAGGCGGAGTTTGCCGGGTTGCGAAGCCGTTTTGCTCGGGGAGAGGAGGCGGAAGAGGAGGCTGTTGCCGTCGGGCATGCGGCCGGAGGCGAGGGATTGGGTGGATGTGTATTTCGCTAGGCTGTGCAGGAGGCCCTTGGCGGTTTCGTTTTCTTGCGCGTGGAGTTTTGCGAGGGTCTCGGCGGAGGCGATGACGACGGTGGGAGCGACGCCGCGGGTTGCGAGGGCGAGATCGACGCCTGGTTCGGCGACTGAGGTGATGGCGAGGGAGGCGTGGGTGTAGAGGGTCGCGAGGGTTTGGCAGAGGACGTAGGGGACGCTGAAGCTGGAGGCGGGGAGGACGAGATCGGCGGCGTTGAGGCGTTGGCGGGAAGGGAGGGCGGAGATGAGGGCTGCGGTGGCGGAGGCGAGGTTGCGATGGGTGAAGGTTGTTGTTTGAGGGGGTTGGGAGAGGTCGATGAGGTTTTGTTGGACGATGGTTATGTCGGCTGGAGTAGGGACGTCGTCGTTGGAGGGTAGTTGAGGTGCGGTGGAGGTGTTTTCTTCGACGACGTCGTGCCATACGCTGACTTGGAGGCGTTTCTCGGCAAAGGAGGGCACTCCGTTCCAGTCCATGTGTCTGCTGGTCTTCTCTACGACCCATGTTAGGAGGCGGAGGTTCTGACACTGCTCCGCTACATCCTCCAACGGCAGGTTCCCAGCGGCGCATATCAAGCCGTCTGCTGAAGTCGATTTGAGAAGCTCAATGATCTTCGGATGAGGAAGGTTGTACGGCAGGAGTACAGGTGTGAGACCGTAGAATGAGCAGGCTTCGGTTCGTCAGCATTGAGCGAAGCGCCTTTGGTCTATTATACATACCGAACACAGTCATCAGATACTCAGCACAGTTTGGCAGATATACCGCAACCTTCTTAACCCCAGCTTCCTTCATGTGCTTTCCCATGACAGCAATCTCCTGGTTCAACTGCTCAACATCATGTTCCACCAGCTCCTCCTTCCCCAGCACAGTCATGATGCTTCCCTTCGCAACATCATTCTTCCCACCCTTCATGACCTCACGCCATACATCCCTCAAGTCGCCGTCCTTGCCCGCCGACCATCTCGGTGCCGAAGCATCTTTGACTCCAAGACCAGACCTCAAGGGCGTGTCTGCAGGTACTTCGGGTGACCTGTAGACCGCGCTCTCATTCTTGTTCCGTACGGAGCCGATTGCCGACTGGCGGGCGAGCAGAAGAGGATGCGTATCAGGTTCCGAAGGGTAGAAGATGGGGTAGGCCACGAATGCTGCGATTATCAATGCTATGAGGGTGGTCGAGAAGCTCCAGTCATACAGAAGGGAAGCCAGCTGGGCATCCAGCTGTTCCAGTATGTTGCCCATGTTCGTCAAGATGGAGGATGCCCTTTAGGAAGTTTTACCTGGCCATGTTGTTGCCAGCTCATATTTGTCCTCTGAGGCCGATGTCATATTGCGGGGCTTAGCGAGCGGAAGCTAGCCTCGGGAAGAAGCGAGGCGCTAGTAGAGGCTACGCGTGCCTGAAAGTTGAGCTTCACGATTCACGCATAGCAACGTCTTTCGACTGAACACTAGCAAGATGCGCTGAACACAACGACGTCGCCGTGATACAGACTAACCACTAACTACCACAGCGCAGCATAACACAATCTCGCGACAGCTCGCGACCGCGAGAAGCACGGAGGAACAAGCCGACACAACAGCATAAACAATGTCGACTACTGCTCTGGTCCGCTCGTCCTCCTCCTCCAACAGCTTGACAGTACAAAAGCCGGCGACACCAGCGACGACCTCACCCATTACCCTCCCCAAGCTGAACCTGACGCCCAGACAAATCTCAACACCCACCGGAACACCGCCTTCACAACAACCCTCTTCCCCCGCCACACCAGGACGATGGCAGCACCCGCGCATGGACGAGGTCATCAGAAGACAAAGCGCCTCTAACTTCGATAACAGCAATGTCCGCACCATCGGCGTCAACCTCGTCGTGCTCCTCCTCAGCGTCTGGCTTCCTAGCCTGTAAGTCTCCCATTCCAACCTACTATCACTCCGACTAACAACCCCTCCCCAGCATCCCCACCTCCTTGACCGCCCCCCTCCGGCCCTACGATACCTACACCCTCCTGACCCTCCGCCTCCTCATCGTCGCCAACATCTCCCTCGCCTTCACCCCTCTCTTCCGCAAACCCGACCTCTGCGAAGACATCCCCCTCGACCCCACCCAACGCTCTCGACTCGGCCTCCCACCTCTCAACCGCCCCGCCACACCCGCCGAGCAAGCACAATACATCACACCGCCCCGCTACTCCCGCTCCAACACCCCGCGCAGCAACAGCGGCAGCCCCTACAGCCTCCGCGCCCAAGCGAGCGGGAGTCCCTTAAGCGGCTACGGCACGCCCATGTCGCCTTTCGGATCTGGTGGACAGGGGCAGAGGAGAGCCAGCGGGTCGCCGATGACGCCTTCGGGGACGCCTTCGAACGCTGCAGCGGCGGGGAGGAGGTTGAGCTATAATCCAAGGGGGTCGCCGTTGAGTTTGAGTGAGTTTGATCCGAGCGGGACGCCGACGAAGGTGGGGAACCCGCGGGCGAGTGTGGGGTTAAATAGTAAGTGGCTTTATGAGAAGGGGAGGGGGAGCCCGACGGGTGGGAGTGGGGTGGGTGGAGGCTTTGGGGGTGGAGGGTGGGGGACGGGGAGTGTGTTTTCGTGATGCGGGATGGATGTTGCTTCATCGATTGAGCGTTTTGCATGACACAGTGGTGGGCTGTACAGATATCAGGATATGCGTGGGACTCACAGACGACGTTGCATGGTCGCGGTCATCGCTCGCTACCTACTAGTGCAATGCGATCACGAACGCGCTTGGAATAGGCCGTGTACCACACACCATCAATTACGAACAGAACCACTGACGTTGTGCGTTGTTGGTAAAATTCTGTTGTCGTTAGAGGAAACAGTCCGTCCACTGTCGACTCTCTTGAGCATTGGCTTTGCTCAACCCCGCCTCGATTCACTTCCCAATCGCCACCACAAACTTCCATCTCCTCCACGAGAAAAACCACAACCACAAACATCCCTTCTCAACCGCCCGCCCACCATGAACACCTCATCCCTAAACGACCCCGACTCCCACTTAGCCCACTGCTGGGCCCACTCCTCCTGTCCGCCTCCCCGAACCCCCTCCCTAAACCCCTCTAACATCCCCTCCAGGCCACCCCTGCCTCCACAGTCAACGCGCCTGCGGCTGGTGCGCAATCTCCTCCACCTGCGTCCCCGTCCCCTCCTCCCTCTCCCTTTTGGCCCCAATCTCTAATCCAAACATCTGCCCCATCTGGGACGAAGGCTTCGAACTGAGAACGAGGGGATTTGGGTGTAAATGCTCCACGTCGACGTTCCTCTCCGTGATCGTGGCGGTTGTGGCTACGCTGTTGGCGGTGCTGGTGGGAAGGTGGGTTGTGAAGGTATTGGGGATGGTGCATCGGAGTGTTGGGTTCGGGGCGAGGGGTGGGACGGAGAGGGTGTGGAAGGAGGATGTGGGATGGGAGGTGAAGGGGTGGAACAGGCCTGGGTGGGTGAGCGGGTGGTGGAGGAGTTGGAGGGGGCCGCCGAGGGCGGATGGGAAGAAAAGTGAGCAGGAGCTTTTGACTGAGAGGTCGAGGTTGCTGGGGTGAGAGGGATGCGGTTGCATTGTGCTTGGTGCTACGGCTACGATTTCGACGGGTTCACGGCCGAATGAGGTAGTGAGGGGGTGGGAGAGGGATGAGTCTGACGATTGATTGCTATGGACATGAAATTTGGGTATCAAACAGTCTGCTGATAGAACTCTAGACCTCACCTACCATGCCCGATGCGGAAGGAGCGCATATGTGGGACACCTCCTGCGCGGGCGTTCATCTGACCTCGCTGCTCGATGAACTGCTGTGGGTATGAGATCGCGAAGACAGTGCAAGGGGTCTTCCAATCTCGTGCTCCAGTGTTGAACTTCGAATGGGTAGTAGGCCGCAGTCTGGTCGCTCAATCCAGGAACTGCGCCTGTAGCCACTTCCCTAGCCACTTGTTGAATTCGTCAGGCATTTCCATGCTGACCATGTGTGCCGTCTCGAATTCCTTGACTTGGGCATTGCGAACATGCTCTCCAAGATGCTTCATCGCTGCTACAGTGTAGGTCTCATCATAGGCCCCATAAGCCACGGCAACAGGTACTTCGATGGTGTGTAATAAGTGACCTGCTGGAGTCTCGGGCTCTACTGTATCCAGAGCCAGGCTACCAGTCTTCGAGCACTCGCGAGCTGCAATCTCGATATTCCACTTCAGCATCTGCTCAGCGAGCGGCTCAGCCATCCGTCCAGGTTCCTGCAGAGGGCCATCTCCCCATATCCGTACTTGCAAATTGGCAGCGCCTTGCACATCGCCGTCCGAAATAAGATCGTCCGCAAGTTTGAATATCCGGTCCTCAGCGTCAGTATTGGGATACTCGAATCCCCCCACGCCACCAGAAACCGCACACAACCCAGCAACAACACCCTGCCTCGCAACAGTATATCCCAGCGCAAGACTCGCACCGATACTGCACCCGACGGGAATCACACTCGCCTCCTTGGGCAAAACCTCCTCCCGCAGTAAATCCAAATGCTCAATCGTGCTGAACGGTTCCCTGGGTCTCGAGCGCAGGTACTCCTCACTGGCATGGCTTTTCCCAAACCCCAATAAATCGAACGTCAAGCAACTCCATCCTTTGTCGACGAGATACTGCACCTGGGCATCCCAGAGCGTTTGGTCCGTTACCCCCGCGTGGATGAACAGCAGGATTGGCCGTTTGAAGTCTTCGTTTTCGTTGTCGACGGCGGCGTAGCGCCAGGCGATGGTGCCTTCGCGGACTTGCAGCTGGTTTTGCGTGATGGCGACGGTCATGGTTTGGTGGCGGCGCGGGTGGGGGAGCTTGGACGGGCGGGTTGGGAAGGTTGTCTATTTGTAGGTGGTGATGAGGGTCGGTGGGGATAGTCGTGGTCTTGGGAGTTGTTTGGGCGTCAACGCAGAAAGCAGTCCTGTTTCTTGACTTGACATGACTGGCTCTTCCTTCGTCGGACACGTATTCATGAAGCGTTATGCCACTTGGAGTGCCTTCCTCTCACAAGACGATACGATATGGAGCAACTTCAAGGAGATCCGACACGGCTACAGAGCAAAGACGATTTAATGCGGCCGTCCTGCCGTCTCACTGTTCAAATACGGCCGCCTTGCAGAGACCAAGTATTTGCTTGCTTGTGGAATCTGGACGCGAGAGGCAGCAGTCCATGGAACAGCTCGGTGACCAGCCCGTCGTGGTGATCTGTATTCGCAAGGACAGCCACTACCCTTCCATCCCTTCAGCCCTGGCGGCGGAGGACTATCGCCGGCTTGTCAATGGCTTGTCAATGGCCACCAGTCTGCAGTATCTCGACTCGACCATACGCCGTTGCCTTCAAGCTCATCCTCCAAGCGCACTAGAACTAAAGTCGAATGCAGCCAGCTACGCCCGTTATCTTGGATTCGGCCCCAATGCCTTGAAAGCATACCAGCTGCGATCGAAATTCGAGAAATACGACGTTCAGTGCGCTCCGCCAGAGCGGATGTGGAATCACCACTGCAATGCTCTGGACGAGTTGTGGGCCTATAAATTGCAGGCTTCCTGTCAGTGCTGGTTTCCCTCCGTTCCCCAGCCGTAAGTGTCATACACATCACTGAGTCGTGTTGTGCCAACTCTTCATCAATTCTTTGTTCATATTTCTGCATTCGAAGTGCAATGGCGAACCGTCTAACTACGTTAGCTTCAAGCATCAACGATAGAGTTGGCAAGCTGAGCGCCTATCTATCTCAGAACAATCTACCATGCCCTTCGTTCGACGCAGAAGCGGCTTCGCACGCGCCCCTAGGTGGTGAAGCCGAAGCCATCGCACTCGAGCTCCAAGATCTCGGTCTAGAGCTCCACGACCTGCTTCGCGGACCTATAGGGCTAGTCCTTAATCATCACGTCAGTAAACGACGCAACCTCCAGCCTTGCGGTCCGATGATACTGACCCATCTAGCTTCCGCCGATCCCCATCTACGACATGATTCTCCGTTTCGGGATAGCCAGCAAGGTCCCTCTAGAAGGCGACATCAGCTTTGCCGACTTGTCGAAATCTACCGGCATTGACCAGGACGTCCTGACACGGCTCCTGCACTACGGCATACTCCACCGCATTTTCCAAGAAAAGCGACCAGGCTACATCTCCCATTCCGTCCTCTCCAAGCTCATGCGGGACGATCAAGGCATGCAGAACCTGGTGGGCATGATCCAAGAAGACATCGTGCAGCCCTGGAGGTTCATCGCGGACGCTCTGCAGAAGTGGCCCGGCGCCGAGGACATGGATCAGGTGGCCCTCCTCCTAGCGGAGAAGCGCACGTCAACGACCTTCTGGAACATCTTGGCCGAGCGACCGGAGCGGGCGGAGCGCTTCGCGAAGACGATGAGCGCCTTCTCCGTCGACGAGGATATAGGTGCAGACTACCCGTTTGAACAGCTCGGAGCTGGGACTCTGGTGGAGTCGGGCGGCTCGACGGGTGGTGTCGCGTTCAAGATTGCTGAGAGGCATAAGGACTTGAAGATTATCGTGCAAGATCTTGATGAAATTGTCAAGACAGCCAAGGAGCGCGAGGGTTGTAACGTGTCGTAGGTCGAACTGATCGCAGAGCAAGGAAAATGCGACTGACGACTCATCCTGCATAGATTCATGACCCACGACTTTTTCAAAGAACAGCCTGTCAAAGGCGCCGATGCCTACATGATGCGCTGGGTACTGCACGACTGGAGCGACACGCACGCGGCTCGCATCCTACAAGCCCTGGTCCCAGTCTTGAAAGCAGGGACGAAGATCCTGATCGTGGACGCGGTCGTCCCTCCCTTCGGCGCGGTGCCGGAGACTTCGCAGCGTCACTTGCTGTACGTTTCATAAGTTCTTGTGCCTTGCGAGGATGAGATGCTAACCCTAGTGCAGGAAGTTCGACATCAGCATGTTTGCCCTGTTCAACGCGGGGGAGCGGACGCTGGACCAGTGGAAGGCGCTGTTTGCGCGGGCGGATGAGCGGTTCCAGTTGCAGAGGGTGTGGCCGTTGAGGAATTCGCAGCTTTCGCTGTTGGAGCTTGTGTGGTCGCCGTGAGTGGGGAAGGTACTGGTTTGGAAATATGAGTACAATGAATGATAAGACTGCTCAACCTCCTTCCAGCATGCCTGCTTCTCCACCCGCCGTATGCCTGTTGATTATAAATCGCCGCCATCTCTCGGAAGATGGACGACTACCCCTCGAGACCAGCCAGCGACCGCACCTTCACTAGCTCGCGGCGTCCATTGCGGACGGAAGATGTCTTCTTGAAGATATCGGTCTGCGCACCTAGCTTAAAACCGGCAATGTGGTTGTAGGCTGGGGTCTCAAACTCGGGGTGATTGACGTTGTTGCCCTCGAGCTCTATCAATTCCGTCAGCATGTTCTGCCAATACACCCACGCTTATCAGAGGTCCACCTACGGTTGAAGACAATCATCTGCTTCGCGCCCTTTCGGCATTTCTTCTGATTATCCGCACACCAGACCGGCGGCTTCGCTTTGGCAATTTGCTTGCGGCCGGGGTTGGTGACTTTGCATTTGAAGCCTTGCATATACCTGGTCCACTGTGTCAGTACACCTTCGATCCCCGTTTAGGGCTACTGACATGTTCGCTTGACCGCAGCCCTTAGGGATCCAGAGGAAGGCACAAGTGCACCCGCCCTTCGGACAGGCAGGCATGCCGGCCGGGACCTGGTAGGTCGCTTCTCTGTGCCATGGCGTGCTGCACAATGATCAGCCTAAACTTCTCAACAAGTCGTGTGGAGATCGGTACTCACTGCTCCAACACAGAAAACACAGTCAAATCCTCCATCTCAATCTTACTCAAATCCGACTCATACGCAATCGCAAAAGCCGTCCCCTGCGCATTGCTCTGATTCACCGCATGTATCCACCCACCCCCCGGCAAACACTCCGCCCCATCCCACTCCCCATGCCAATCCCGCGGATGCTGTGCCCCATCCGGCCACCGCGACACCCCCGTCCCATCATACGACAACGAGGTAAACGCCTGGTTATTCGCGTGCTCGACCGTGAAACTGCCACCAGCAGGGATCTCCAGGAACTCGCCCTTGGGTGGAGGAGCGCCGTCGCAGCCGCGGTCGTGTTGGAACCACCAGTCCTTTTTGGAGAGCTGGTAGAGCGGGGCGATGGGGAGGTTGTTGTTGAGGTTGTTTTCGCCCGTGAGGCCGGAGCGGCAATACATGCCTTTGGCGAAGGAGGCGATGTGGGCGTGCGCTAGTGGCAGGAGGAAGGGGAGGAAGGTTGAAGTGTACATTGTGATGCCTGCACCACGGAAAAAATGACTTTGAAAAGGAAGGACTGTAGTTGGACTTGGACAGGATGAATGAATGAATGAATGAACATGATAGCTGTACAAGCCTTCCTTACTGCTCTCGAGGATTCGTGGGTATATGACCTGCTTTGCTGATGCTGAACAACCAAATCCTGCTATTTCGAGTCCTTATGTCACAAGGCGCCTTTGTCGCACGAACGTGGTTGTCGGTATGATCTACAGACGGTGCGCTTGGCTGTCCCATCTCGTTGGTGTAGATTGGAGAAGGCGTTGTGAAGTGTCCAAGCTCTGGTTTCAATTGATCCTTTTTCTGGGGTTGTGCAGGGGAGTCTGATGCACTTCATCTCGGTTGTCATCTTGTTTGGGTCAAGGTTGGTTGCCTCGGAGCGCTACATAGATTCTGACATGCAACGTAGAAAATAGGGTAGTCCTTTGGAATTCAAGGAGAAGGAGCTTTCGAGGTTACTTTGATGCAAAGCGAAAGATAACGAGCCTGTGCTTTGAATTTCTGTAAACCATTCTGTGACTGTCTGATCGTGTGTTCTTTGATACGTCCGTGCTACTGACATCCTTCCGTATCGCCTGCATCTGTCTCTACCTAGCAGAAGATTGTAGTCCAGACCCACCATCGAATGCTATGCACCGTGTTTCCATGTCGAACCACTCTCCCTTCCTCTACCGGTTCCACAGCAGTCTTCCACCCCGTCGTAACGCTTTCGTGACGTAGGACGCACTCGAGCGACTCGTCTTCTCGTAACCGCATCTAGCATCATAACCTCGTTGTTGAACTCATACTGTGCCGAATCGAATTTCTCATCCTCGTCTTGCACGCCTTCGCGACGACGAACGATATCGTAGTAAGGCTCGAATCTACAAGGCAGGTCGCAGTAGCATGCAGGCAGATGCCAGAGTGGAGCTTCGACCAGACTTAGGTCTTTCTTCGTTTCCGTCATATCGTTAGCTACTCTACTCTCCTTATCGAGGAAGATGGCGTCCCATTTCTTCTTAGTCGATTGCTTGATAGCGCCGGTCAGAATAATTCGGGGGACATGTTCGAGGTGGTCTTTGGCGGACGGAAGCACTGCGTCTTCCATAGTTGCGAGGCATGGCGTGTAGAGGAAACCCTCGATTCTTCCGAGAGAGAATTCGTCAATTTACGGCACACCATCAAGCCGGCTCCGCTGTGCTCAGGGGCTAAGAGGGTCGGACGACTCCTGGTACGGAGGCGAAACAGCAGATCTGAAGTGTATGCACACACTCTTGAGGTTGGGTAGTCTTCCGAGAAGTGGCGCCATATCAAGATTGACCGCCTTTTGCATCGTTCTGGTATCATCATCCACATATGCGAGGTATTCGGCGAGGTCGTAGTTTGTGAGGTCGATTGTAATATGACGAAGAGTCTGCACCCCACCGAATTCGGGAAATCTGTTGTGGAGGGTGTAGCGTTCCAGGTCTGTCAGGGTCTGAAAGACCTTTGTAGTACCGTGACGCATGAAAGGTCCGATTTCCTGTAGGATCTGCTTGCAACTGGATATGAGGTTGACATTAGGTGGGTCAATGCGTCTCAGCCGGGTACCGACACGAGGTTCATCATCGGTCGAATTTTGAGCACCCTCCCCATAGTAAGATGAACCACTACGAGGGTGCAGCAACTCCATTATAGGAAAGTGCTCTACGCCGACAGCCTGTTCGAAGATCAACATACGAACTTCCGCAGGCAGGTCCATGACCCTAAAGGGCTGGCCATTCTTCTTCGACCACTGCTGTTGAATCCTGATGGCTTTCTTGCCACTCAAATGGCGACTCGGAGGACTTTTGAGCTCCCGCAACCACTCCTGGAACGACCTCCACCCGCCTTTGACATCACACTTCAACGTGAAAGACGCAGAGACTCTGTTTCGAACCAGCTTGAAAGGCACTGGAATGACGGATTTGTCGAATGTGAGCGCCAGCGCTTCGATAGCTGACTCGCGCCATAGTGTCGCCGTTGGGAGGTTCACGAGCGCTTCTACCTTGAGTGGGTCGGTGAAATGGTCGAAGCTCTGCTTGTTGTGGACCACCAGGAGATGGCGAGCGTGGGAGAAAATGATGTCGTCAGGATGTGGTTCGCAGAATGTGACGACGCGGTGGGGTGTCGAGCAAGGTTCTGTATGTGGTGCTGGGTGGACCCCCACTTTTGTCTCCCTGCTGCTGTGCCCGTGAGGACCACTGTCGCGCTTTTCGCGAGCCATGGGAGTGGCTCGCGGAGCGTAACGTAGATGCCGCGCTCGCTCGAAGGTCGCAGGTATGCTGGAAGTCTATGGTGTGGATCAGAAAGAAGAGGTTGTCGGTCGAAAGGTGGTGAGAATCGAAGGGGAGGACGGGGTTTATAAGTAGGCGAGCGCGGCTGCCTGGCGTGTTGGAATGAACGCGTGACGTAAGTCCTGACATGTGATCGGAAGTGGATGCAAAGAGGAAAGGCGCACGTGACTGCAACCTTGAGGTTAGCAGCATATGAACAGGAGAAGCTGGCGGCGAGCATGCCGCAGATAGTCAAGACTTCTTGTTCTGAGCGTATAGAGCACCTTTTATGCACCATTCTGCTTGACCATAAATGTCTGTTGCCCTCGCAGGAGAGGATCGTTATATTCGGAAAGCGGACTCGATATACTTACTCTTACAGAACCAAACGCACGCTGTTGAGGAGACTGGTGAACTTTTGAAGACTCCTGCCGAGACTTACTGCTCCTGTTTGCCGTCAATGTACCTCCGACCTTAGTAGACAGACCAGACAACAAAGGGGAGGAAATCGTGTCTTTGTGCCTAGACGCCGAGCAAACGCGTCTCTGCGGGTGTGACATGTCTAAAGTCAATAGCTCTAGTAGTTCTCCTGTCTTGATATCGCCGTCACGTCGAGAAGGTGTTCTCGAGGTAAGGCGTTTGTGGTGAAGGTATAGCAGCAACTGGGAGTCGAAATAAAGCTGACGTCCACGCTTAGACATTGATCCGCTCCGATATCTCCGTTGTATGGCCGTGGCTCTAGATTGAAATAATATCCTTGACAGGTGGAGCTACACGCGGCTACGAGAAAAAATTGACGAGTAGTGAGACCGTGATTGAGACGGTTAGTGTATTGGAAAAGCATTGTGTGTCTAATTATGCATCCTGCTACAAGCCGCGTGTATCTGTTCAGAGACCGCTCAGCTCGGCTAGGATTCAATGAAACTCCTTGTAAGCACTCGCCTATCTCTCTTGTCTTTCGTACTGTGATGTGAGCATGTCTCGACGCATGCATGCACACTCGCCGACCCACTGTCATAAGCTCCGTCTCACGCCTTGCCTGTTGACCACTAGCATCTATGGTCATCCTCAACCACCACACCTCTACCACCCTGGAGCCGGGAAAGGTGCCCGGGCCTTGATTCTAGCAACTCGTTTTCCCGTACATGTATCCAGCAACTTCGGATCGTTGTCGAACTCGTACTTCCCAGCATCAAACTTCTCGGCTTCCTCAGTTGCGGTATCGAGGCCATCACAGCGACGGACGATGCCATAATGCGGCTCAAACCCACAAGGCACTGCGCATCTGCAATCTAGTGGCAGTGACAGCGATACCTCCGACCTCCTGAACATCTCCTTCTCATTGACTGTGTCGTGTTCTGCCCTGCTCTCCGTGTCCTAGAAGATGGTACCCCACTTCTTCTTGACGGATGGCTTGATCGCACCAGTGAGGATGATCCGTGCGATGTGTTCCACATACTCTTTGGCATAACAAAGCACGAACTCCGGAACGCCCGCAAGGCATGCCGTCTCGAAGCCTTGAATGCGCCGGATGTTTTCACTGTCGTTCAGCTGGGGCTTGCCTTGCACCGTGTCACGGCGTACCTATAGACAAAGAAGACCTGAGTTCCAGTGATCGTGGGGGAGGCGCGATTTGAAGTGGATTCGAATGCTCTTGAGACTGGGCAGCTTCTCTAGGAGGTGAGCCCCGCCATCCTCCGCCAAATCGACCCGTCCGAGCGCAGAGCTGCAGCCGAAGAAGCGGACGTATTCCTCATCGTCGAAGTCGAGTGTAATATGCCGAAGCTTCAACAGGCCGGCCATATTAGAGGACTCGGGGGGGTGAATGTAGCTCCCAAGACCGAACTCAGATACGAAGGCTTTGGTAGCCGCGTACTGTAGGTGCGACTTGATCTCCTCGTAGATCTGCTTGTTCGCGAAGAGTAGGCTGATGTTGGGAGTCCCGATGACTTTCTTCTCTGCTTTACGACGAGGATTATCACGCCCGGAGAGCTCTGCTCCGCGGCCGCAGTAGGATAGAACGTCGTCTGTGTAGGTGTAGGGTATCGGAAAGTGCTCAACACACGTCGCCTGCTCGAAGATCAACCTCCGAAGCTCTACGGGCAGACCCATGATGTTGAACGTCTTGCCGTTCTTGTCCCACCACTGTTGCTGGATCTGGGTCGCATTCTTGCGTAAGCTGCGATTCGGGGGTGCTTTGAAGATGCTCAGCCATTCTTCGAAGAACTGCCAGCCGCCTTTCACCTCGCATGCTAGAGTTGGAGAGTTGGTCTGCTCATCTAGGATGACCCTGAACGGAATGAGGATGACAGACTTCCGGTAGGTCAGCCCGAGAATCTCGACAGCTGATCCGGGCTCGAATGTCGTCTGATGGTGCACGAGAGCCTCGATGTGAAGCGGACCGGTGAAGTGCGCCAGGCTTTTCCTGTTGTACGCAGTAACCAGCTGTCGAGCGTGGGTGTGGATTGCATCCTTGCGGTGAGGTTTGCAGAAGTCCCGTGCCGTTGTTGGAACCGGCACCCCGGAGTATGTTTCAGGTAAGGGTGGTGAGTGGAAGACCCGTAGCTTCACGTCCGCGTTGCGTTCCCAGCGCGCATGCCTGGCTTGCATAGCTTTGCGCTGCTTGGTGCGTGACATAATGCTGTTGTCGAAGGGGAGAGGCGGGAATTGTTTTGTGAAGCGTCTTGGGTAGTAGTGTGTGAAGCTTCTTGTCGAAGGCGGAGGGAGAAAGAAAGCGATGGAAGGAGGAGCTTAAACTTGAGGTGAGAGCGGCTGTGAAGCGGGCCGCAAGGATCTCGTGGCCGGTGGGCACAAGCATGTGATTGCAAGTGAATGCAGAAGAGGGGAGCGCACGTGAGGATATTCATGCCACCGAAAGCAGCTATCTCGAGGGAGCGAGCAGCTGAAAGATGCCACACCATGAATGCCCTGCCTTACGGTGGGACACAGCACTGATGACGACGGCATTTTGCTGGTTCGTATCACCCTGCTGCCAGTAGATGCGCGGGTAAGCTGTATATACCTATGCTGATATACTTGCTCTCGCAGAGAATTGAAACACTCCCAATTTTCATTACTTACATATATCACTCTCATAGCTTTTGAGAGCAGGAGAGTACTCCTGTTTGCTGCGGATGGAAGACCAGTGTTGACACACAAAGCAGACATGGAGCCCAGGGGCCACTGTCTTTGTGTCTAGTATTCGAGCAAGCACGTGTCAGCCAGGAAGGTTCGTCCAGGGACACCATGTTAGCCAGTTCTTGGGGTGTCACGATGTCGGGGAGAGCCTCGGTTTGGGCGGTTTGCATGAGAGGAAGAGAAAGAGAAAGTGAAGTTGAAGTCAAGCTGAAGTCTGATCTCGCCGGCGGGCTTATCCGCTCAGCATCTTATGTCCGAGGCCACAAGTCCGGCTAACAACATCATACCCCCACTACATGTACCCCTCTGCCGAAGACGCTGCAGTCGTAGTGGGAAGTCTGATTACTGTACACATTGCTCTGGTAAGTTGTTGACTTCACTTCTTTTCCTATACCACTCTCTCAATGCGATAGCCCATACCACTCCCTTATCACGATAAACCATGCCCGAACAACCCGCCAACCCCGAACCAGCCCACCACGCCCTCGACTCCATGCTCTCCCGCAAGTTCGGCAAAGAAGTCGCAAACTACTTCTCCGGCTCACCCCTGAACCGCGTCGGCTTCCTGCGCGAAGACCACCAGTTCCTGTCCCGCGCGCTCAAACACCCCTCCACCAGCATCCTCGTCTGCAACAATCTGCAGCCGCTCATCCCCAAGTCCACGCAGCCGAAAGTAGGCGGGAAACTGCAGTTCGTGAAATATGACGATGTGAAGAGTATTGTCGGGGAAGGGAGGTACGAGAAGCCGGAGAAGGTGGCGATTGAGGAGTTTGACAGCGGGAGGTATATCCCGCAGATGGTCTTTCTCGGGATCGATGAGAAGGATAAGGAAGGTTTGGATTATCAGAGTAAGAACCGGTACTGCGGGGCGCCGTATTTCGCGCTGGATGTTACGCCGAGGGAGGGGGTGTTGAAGGAGGAGTGTGAGAAGTTGATTAAAGGACTGGAGGAGAAGGGGCTGGGTTTCGCGCCGGGGAGGGTCATGGATATTGATGCCAGTCAGGGTACTTCGCCCCTCCTTCCTCCGTAACAAGATGTGAGGTTGCTAATATGTGGTGACTGACCAGCCGCCATCTACGCCGAAGCCCGCGCCCTCCTCGACTGGAACGCCCGCAACCCCTACTGCGCCGCCTGCGGCCAACGCACCATGTCCGTCAACGGCGGCTTCAAGCGCGCCTGCCCACCAAAGGACGCCTCTGCGACCTCCGAACGCCCGGCCTGCGTCACGCGGAAGGGCATCTCGAATTTGTCGTTCCCGCGCACGGATCCGACGGTCATTATGGCGATCGTGAATAGTAGCTCTGATAAGCTGTTGCTGGGACGTCAGAAGGCGTGGCCGCCGTATTGGTATTCGACGCTTGCTGGGTTCGCGGAGCCAGCGGAGAGTATTGAGGAGGCTGTTAGGAGGGAGGTATATGAGGAAGCTGGGATTTTGGTTGGGAGAGTGGTTGTCCATTCGACGCAGCCGTGGCCTTACCCGGCGAATTTGATGATTGGAGCTATTGGACAGGCTATTCCGGAGGGCGAGAAGGTTGATTTGGGCAATGACCCTGAGCTGGGTGATGCGAAGTGGTGCTCCTTTGAGGAGGTACGGCATGCACTAAGAGTAGGCACGAGTGGGCTGGGCGAGGACGCAGGACCGGAGTACAAGGAGGGCGATTTGAGGTTGCCCCCAAGTACTGCCATCGCTCACCAGTTGATGTCGGCTGTTGCGAATGGATTCGTTAGTGGGACGACGAAGATGTAGATGACTGATGACTTGGATATATGCCTAGTATAGACAGTTTTGTACAGAGGCCTCGTCTAGATCTTACACTTCTCCAGCATCCATCTCAATTGACCACACTAACATCCCTCGTGTCCACACTCCCCTCCCCCCTCACCTCCCCATTCAAACTCAACCCCGGCCCATTCGTACTACTTAACACAATCTCATGTACCCCTTTACTCACCCGATCCGCCAACGCCCCGATATCCCTCTTCACCGCCCCCACAAACGCCGCGATATTCTTCTGCACCTCCTCAGGACCGAACCCCAGCTGCCCGACTCCCATCCGCACCACCCCTTCCCGCTCCCTGTACTCGCTCGCGCCCACCATCCCCTTCACCGCCGCCCCGACATCCTTCACCACCGTATTCGTCTTCGCGCTCGGCATCAATTGGCGGGGACCAAGAATCCTCGCTACGCCGGCTTTACTCAGCTTCGGCAGGGAGTCCGTATGGCACAGACAGCGATCGAACTCGATCCTGCCCTCCTTCACTGCCTCGAAGATACTCTCCTCGCCCACCACCTGCGCGCCAGCCGCTAGCGCATCTTTCGCAATCTTCGAGTCGGGAGGGCAGATGACAGCGATTCGCGTGGTAGTGTCGATGGGGTGGGGGAGACGCATGCGGTTGCGGACGACGGGGCCGTTCTTCACGGTTCGCAGGCGGATGTGGAGTTCGTATTTGGCGGACGTTGGGGGACGGCCTACTTCGGCTGCGCGGAGGTATCTAAAACCCCCCTATTAGTCTTATTCGGCAGAGCCAGCGATGCGTGATGCTTACCGCATCGCATCCACCAAACTAAACTGCAGCGCCTGTTTCAAGTCCGGTTGAGTGTAATGGGCGCGCGCCTTCTTCTTCCGTCTCGCGGCGCCTTCTTTGTCCTTGTTCTTGCTGCGGAACATGGCGGCGCGGGCGGAGGGGAGGCCGGTGGCATGGCGTTTCTGCTGGGGGGGTTGTTGGTGTTGTGCGAGGAAGGGGGAGGGGCGGAAGGCGAGGGCGGTGCGTGTTGGGCGGAGAGAGGAGAGGCAGGAAGGGCAGTAGCGGGATGGAAGGGCCATGGTGAGGTATGTACAGTGGGGTGGTGTAAGAAGATGGATGTCGATATGAGTTGGAGTCTTGGAGGTTCAAAGGTCGAGCTTGATCCGAAGTTCAGCCGGTTGACCTCCTCCAACGTCCAAGAGAGGTCTGTTATTTGAATATATCGTTGCCCTGATCAGCACTACGCAATACTTCCACACAATCGTTAAAATGTTGCGGTATACGCAGGTTGAATCACAATGCCATCTCTGCTCGATGGCCGCAGTTTGAATACTCGTATACAGCTCTTCGAGTGAATATAACCTCAACAGTGCAGTAACGTAGCCCTTTCCCAAGCACACACTCTTCGACAAGACCCTGTCGACGACAATAGCACACTCTATTCTGTTTGCCTTCCAGTCGCGTTCTTCCTAGGCCAACACTATAGGATGAAGATTTCACCCCACTCCCTCTCCTGTGCCCTCTTCTCCTCCTACTGCCTCCGGTGGCGGTTAACGAACGCAAGAAGGCGTCGAAGGCCTCCACTGCTCGCGTCTGTTCGTCCGGTATGGGGAACATGCCTGGCGCTGTACCGTTGCTCCACGATCCCGACCCTTTGCGTATCACAGACAACCTGCTCTCCCTCTGCTCAGTGCCATACTTAGCTGTTTTCGATGCCAAGCTGTTGCACCCCTCCGCGAACCTGCTCCTCCCTCTCCTTCCAAATTTCCTCATACATCGCCTCTACGCTCGCCGGAAGATCAGGCAGATTCGCCGTAGCATGCCAACTCCCCTGCACAGCCGGGAACGTCCCCGTCCAGCCCTCATAATCCTTCACCTCTTCAGTGAACAACTGCTCACTAGTCCTCTCTCCCACCATCCGCAACCCTTCCTTCAACCTCCCAAACTCCTCTTTTTTCACTCTCTCCCCACGCTCTCCAATCCCTATCGTCTCCCCATCCTCTCCAACGCTGAACCCCTCACCAATCTCAGCAATCCCGTACTGATTCCCATGCTCAAAGTAAGTATAAACGCACCCACCACTATACACCCCCGTCATATCCGGCGAATACAAACAAGGAATCTCATCCCACTTCCGCTCATTAATATTCGTCCCGAACTCCGCTAGAAACATGGGCACCGGAAACCGCCCGTACGCTTCCACCATACTGCTCCATCCGCTCATCTGGAAGTCGGACGGGCTGGCCCAGGAGTAGCAGTCCTTCGCGAAGAAATCTACGCGTGACTCCGCGGGGCCGGCGGTGAAGTACTGCAGCATCGACATCTCGAGGCCCGCGATGTCGCTTGTATGGACACCAACGGGTGGCCGTCGGCCGCCGCGAAGCTGGAGTAGCGTTTTGACGTCTCGCACGGCGGCGCGGCAGACTTCGGCCATTTTGGTCATATCGGGGGAGGTGATCATCTCGGCGTCGGCGGTGAAGGCGAGGAGGTTGGGGTGGTCTGCTAACTGGTCTACTATCCGGAAGGCCCTGCGCATAACGAATAGAGTGTAGTAGCGGGACGTGTCGAAGTTGGGATCCATACGTCTGCCAGCGTGGCTGGCGGCTGGGGTCTTGATCTTGTGGCCGATCTCCACGAGGACGTAGATTCCGGCTTCGGCGAGGAGGTGCATGGCTTTGGCATGGCTGCGGGTAGGATCTAGGCCAGTGACTTGGATAGTGTTAAGGCCCAGTTCTTGGAAGATGGGGATGTCGCGTTTGAGCTCCTCCAGGCGGTCGTCGGCGAGGGCGTCGACAATGGTGTCGGAGCTGTAGATGCTTCTGTGGTTCTCGGGGTCAATGTGGCGGGGTATATAGGAGATGCCTTTGATCAGGAAGCGGGAGTTTCCACGGTAGAAGTGGTTGCCTTTTGTGTGGATTGGTTCCATTGCTGCGGGTGGTAGATGAGATGGAAGTTCTGAGTGGAAGCAGAGGATGTTTACAAAAACAAGACGAAAGTCACATCTACTTGTACCTGAACACGACACACACAACAGTATGGTAGATCCTTGGTGAGTGGAACCTGTAGCAAGGCAACAGCTGCACCTTGTGTCATTGAAGGATTCGCTGAGACCAACCAGGCCTTGCAGCTTGAATTCACTTTGTACCTTGGCCAGTGCACTTTTAGCCCCCTTAGCCTAAGCCTGAGTAGACGAGCTCTCGATACCGAGGCAAGGCTAAGCTGATCCGGCAGAGCTCTCCCCTCGTAAGTACCTCGACAGCTACACCATGTAGTCCTCTACACCGGCGTGGCACCTCTGCCATTGCACTGTATACCAAAGATAAATGCCCGACATGGTCCAATCACCGCCCCTCCAAGGCCTCCGGGTCCTCGAGTTCGCCGGCCTCGCGCCAGGTACCCCCTCCCCTCCCCTCCCCGCCAACACCCCACCAGCTAACCACCCCTTCAGGCCCCTTCGCTGGAATGCTCTGCGCAGACTTCGGCGCCCACGTCCTGCGCGTCGACCGCGCCCACCCCTCCGCCCACACCGACCAGCTTCCCCCACCAACGGCCGACCAACTCACCCGCCGCAAATCCTCCATCTGCGTCAACACCAAAACCTCGGCCGGCATTGAGCTGCTCAAAACCATCATCCCGACAATCGACATCCTGATCGACCCCTTCCGCCCCGGAGTGCTGGAGAAGATGGGTCTGGGGCCCGAGGAAGTGCTTATGCGGCTGAACCCACGTCTGATCGTGGCGCGGATGACGGGGTTCAGACGGGATGGGAAGTACAAGGATATGGCGGGGCATGATATCAATTACATCGCCGTGTCCGGGGTGTTGTCGATGCTGGGACGGCACCATGAGAAGCCGTATCCGCCTGGGAATATTGTTGGGGACTTCGCGGGTGGAGGGGCGATGTGTTTTCTGGGGATCGTGTTGGCGCTGTTGCATCGGGAGCGGAATGGGTTGGGGCAAGTCGTGGAGGCAAATATGGTGGACGGGAGTGCGTTTATGGCGACGATGCCGAGGTTCGCGACCAAGTTGCCGGTGTGGGGTGGGGAGAGAGGGACGAATCAGTTGGACGGTGGATGTCCTTTTTATGACACGTATGAGACGAAGGATGGAGGGTATATGGCTGTTGGAGCCCTGGAGCCGCAGTTCTTTGCTGCGTTGTTGAAGGGGATGGGGATTGAGGAGAGCGCGATTGGTGGGAATCGGATGGATAAGGGGACGTGGAAGAAGCAGGCTGAGATGTATACGGCCAAGTTCAAGGAGAAGACGAGGGCGGAGTGGGAGAAGATCTTTGACGGGACGGACGCTTGCTGTACTCCAGTCATTACGCAGCGAGAGCTTGAGAAGGACGGGTTCGACCAGCGACCAGTTGTTACGCTGAAGAGCTCGCCGAGTCTGGCGATGGCCGACTCAGATCTGGAGGATCGGCCGGTTGCTGAGGGCCAGGGCATTGGCATCACCGGAAACGGGTGGGAGTCGAAGGGTATGAGTCCTAGCGATGGCGGCGAGGAGATCTTGTCAATCTGGATGGGTTGGGTCAAGGGGAGGCATTATGAAGTCAAGGATGGCGCACTTGAGTTTGTTGAAAGAGGCAGCAGGCCGAAGCTGTAGAACGCTAGCAATTTGCTGAGGATCCTCCTGTCCCAAATCTTTGCAACTGCCAGTTTTTTCGTTCTTGTCGTTTTGATTCGGTGCGGTGGACCATAGATTTAGCGTCGATTGTCGAGTGAGAACAAGATGGGAGGCAGCTCTTCGCAGAGTTCACACCTCTGAACGCATCATCTGTCAAAGGTTTTGTATCTCAAGAACGCATCCCGCAAGGTCAGTATCAGCCAGCCTCGCGACGACCACGAAATGTTGGAAAGTTTCCCATACTGGTGCCTCAGTGCCCAACTGCATACTCGGAAAGACTCATCGAAAGCCGACGTGTCAAAAGTGCAGTGAGCGAGGTCACGTAAAAGCGCAGCAAGTGTGCAGACAGTGTCATTTCCTCCATCTTGGCGGTTTCAAGGATGATGACCCTGCGTAGGAAGACTCCTGGGATCCTCCGCTTGTACTTCGTAGACAGAGGCCTGTGCTCCTTTGTGCTCTGTGGAAAGAGTGGCCAAGCTATCCAGACGATGCGGATTCTTCTTGTCATTGCATGTTCGTCGGCATACGTGCCCATCGAGTTGTCCCTGGTCCGCGAGCGTAAGATCTTGTAGTCAACATCATAGACACCCAGGGGAAGGAGGGCATATGCACCCAGCATAAAACCGACATATGTGACCCAGTAAGGCACCCATATAATGAGTACTGCCAGCCCTAAGTTGAGTTTGAGGACTCCAGTCGAGGTCCAATCTCCGAAATCGCCTCGCTTTAGCATTGTACCAAAGGCTTCAGTACATGATATGCCTCCTGCGTAGAATGCCTCGGCGTAGCTAGCAGACGCAGAAGACCCGTTGTCTAAGAAAGGTCGGTTCTCAATAGAGCGGGACATTCCTGCGTACGACAATGCTCCTCTCAGCATCAGGCGAACCTTGGCCGCTCTAGGAGAGGTCCAGAGCTCAAGCGCTTGTCGTTTCACAACCGAGCCCAGGCTCACGTTAAGATATTGTTGGCACAGATTGTCCTTGTGCAAATCCTTCGCCTCGAGCATCAGTCTTGACCCTGCCATCAACTTTTCTAGCCGCGAGCCACTTACCGCACGGTCCCGGCAATCCTCCCAGAGCGTGATAACCATTTGCTTCCTTCCCTCAAGGAGCGAGGCTTTGGCGATGTCGATGCCTTTGAATGCTAGGTAGAGACCGAGGACTGAGACTAGCAGAGCCACGAGACAGAGCACAACACCTATCCGGTTGGAAGTGACGTGCTTGTACAGAGGCTTCCACCAGGATTTAGCGGGTGGACTGGCAGAAGCGGATGGTGGTCCAGGGTTTGCTGTCGTCAGTGCCGGAGGGTTTGAAGAGCTCGGTGGAGCAGATCCAGCTGCTGTTGAGGTAGACGCAGTAGCTGGCAGCGTCTGGACGTTGGAACTTGGGTGAGCGGCTGGAGGTGCCGACACCGTTGGCGCTCCAGACATCTTCGGTTCAGGTTGTAAAGATTGTTCGACACAGTCAGAAAAGAGCAAAAGGCGAACCAGAGAACTGTCGAGTTGGTGAGTGTATCAACTCGGATTGAACTGGGAAACCGCGGGGTCGTGGGGTTGTTACTACGCCGCAAGAAGGCAACAACGCACACCACTGACGTACATACAGGTACACAGGGAGTTATGTGGTTGCAAGGTGGCTTAGTCACTTCACCGCCAAATGCAAACGCGGGCAGTTCGCAGGCACAGCACGTCTTTTAATTGTACTCATGGCGTTCGGCAGCGGGAGGCTGAGTGCCCACAAATGGAGACAACCGCAGAGAAAGAATCGACTAGATCCTAGCGTGTCCGATCGTTAACTTTGGCAAGTGACATAGGCCTTGTCAACGAGTAGATGCAAAGTGACGGATCCCTTGACAAGCGTCCTGTTGGTGAAGTTGCGCTCAGTGGTCCTCGCCTACCAACAAGCACCATGTCGTCGTCGCCACCTCGTCAACGGCGCACCGCGAGATCTCGGAGTTGATTCTTGACCGTGGCGCATAAGGCTCACCCCTGCCGACCGGTTTCTCAAAAGACCTCTCCAAGAGGTGTCCGGGCGAGGGGGTAGGCCATAGCGTCGTCTAATAGTCCTCGCAACGACAAGTCGCTCAATAACCGCAGAGACGGCTCCCGCATCACGACCGAAGGGGTCGGCACTCGCGCTATTTGCCCAGTGATCGCATAATCATGGTGGCAAGCTGTGAACCGTTGCATCGTCTCGGAGAGCGGAATGCGTTCTGGCGTTCCGTCATGAGTGGTCGAGGTTCGCAGGTGGGACTGTTGGAATTCTGAAGACGGATCGTTTGACAGACGAAACTAGACTTTGTCTTGGGTATGGCTTGCATCAATTCTGTGTCGTTCAGCCCTACAAACTGAGAGCTTCGGACTGATAGCTGTACAGGATCTCGCTGGTCCTTCCGTAGTGGATTCGGTCCGCTGTCTTTGCGACTCGCGTGCTGGCTTTCGAAATACGAGGTGGTGCGAGATAGGAAACCAGGGCGAGGCTGATGCCTGATGCTGTAGTTGCGAAGTTTACTCGGATCTCAGGGATGCGTGCCCGAGTTTCTTCCATCGCCGTGCCAGAGCGAACGAAGCGCATGTTGATAGAAGAGCAGGCCTTTATGCGACCAGTCGACTTACTGAAGCTGTCGAAGTCGCGGGTTCCAAGGCAACGTGAGCATGCCATTAATGGCAGAGACTCGCTGTATTTTCCTGTATAAGACAGGTATGAGCCGTCCATGGAGGGGACTCATTTGATCGAATCTGCTTCAGCCAGCACCTTTCAGCACCCTGATGCTATCGCTTTCTGCACCGAGCTCGGTGTACATTGCTACGATCGCAAGCACAGCGTCGGTTGCTTTTTCACCCTTCGCTTGTCGTAGTGCAGAAGCCAGGTCCAGTAGCAAAGTCCTGCGCACTTCAGTAATACTTGCAGTTTGGGCCACGATGAAGGGGTGCTCTGGACCGATCCGTTCGATGGAGCGGGTGAGAAGCAGGAAGCTCCTTACATGCCGCTGTAGTCGTCTGATCGGTACTGTCGTCGCATAGTCCGGTCCTCCCTCATTGTCGGATTGATCGTCTGCAGAATCGTTCTGCTCCTCGCCATCGCCCCCCTTGATGCCCAGTCGCTCTTCCAGCTCACTCAATCCCGCATCGACCTCCAGTAAAGCTCGTCCCATCATAACATCCTTCCTGGTATTCCTTTTCTCCGCCAACAGATCTCCCATTTCCGTTTGCCTCTGCTCGACGGCTGCCCTGATTCCCTCCACCTCCCTCTTGAATCCAAGTAGCCCCACCCTGACGCCTTCCACCCTCTCCTCCCCACCGTTCAAGTCCGCACCCAAGCTCAAGAACTCCTCGTAGTTGCCATTGACCAGATCCAGTAGCTCCTTGTTCAGCAGTTGGCTCCGTTGGCGCAGGTCTGATCGCAGATCCTCAAGTGTTTGATGTCGGTTGCGGAGCGTGGAGAGGTAGGTAGCTGGGTCGAAGTCCGGGGCGAGGAAGTCTGATCGAGGGAGCTCGGCAGGATAGGGAAGAGTATCTTCATCTGAGTAGTCATCCGTGGAATAGCGGGGAGACTGGTGGGACATCGCGGGGGTGATTGAGGGTGATGGCGAGCCGCTGGTGGGCAGTTGAAATCTCGAAGACATCCCGGAGAACTTGGGTTGATATTAAAGTACGGCGAACATTGTGTAGTACCTCCTCAAGTCGCTGAATGTGGCGTCTTCGAGCAGGTGAGGTCTTGCAGATGGATCGGACATATCGCGGCTATTCCTCGGCTTTGAATCACTCCTCTTGGTGCTTCCACGCCTCACCTTGTCTTTCTTTTCACACCGCAATCCTTCCTCCGCTCCATCAGCTGTCGAGGTTATCTGTTAATGACCATCACTGAACAGCAACCCCGCATTGTGTCCGTACGCATGCCTTCCTTGGTCAGTCCATGGCCTGAACCGGCAGGCTGCTGACAGCGCGATCGATTAGCTTCTCCCCTGGGAAGTGCTTGGTATGCAATGACATACCTCCCATAGACCAGGGTCAGCGACCATTGGCACTTTGAGTTTCTCAATGCCGGACTACTCTCTTCTTTGCGGGGAGAAATCTTTTGCTGAAAAGAAGTGCGGAGGACCAAGCACGATAGCGCAGCAGGTGAAATGCTCATCAAGGGCTTTGCGCATACTTGAAGACTGCATGGTCGTTCTCGAGGGTCGGCGATCCTGTCTCTCCTCTTCACCCGCTTTCATTACCTCAGCTGTTGTAGCTGCAGTCATGCACTCATTACAAGACTTGGCTTCTTTACTTTCAGTGTTTTCCATGTTCATGGCTACTCCTGCCGTTCCTGCGGACATTGACACAGATGCGATGTCGGGGCAGAGACCGCTGATGGATCATGCAACGATCATGAGTACGTTATAACAGGCAGCGTTGCAGGCGGAGGGCCGCTTGCTAGCCGACTCGCTCGAGCAGTCTGCAAGACACTTCTCGTTGAGGCCGGCAAAGATCTTGCAAATGACTACAACACGACCGTTCCCGGATATCAAGCAGCTGCGACTCAAGACCCTGCGCTTCGGTGGGATGTCTACGTGAACCACTACAAAGATCTTGCTCGTGCACAGAAGGATCCAAAGTTCGTTTATGATGTTGATGGCTTCGATTTTACGCGCATCAATAATCAGACTGCTGTGCCTACCGGAGCAACGCCAAAGGGCATACTCTATCCTCGTGCTGGTGTCCTCCGCGGTTGCGTTACTCACAATGCCTTAATCTGGATCGAGCCGAAAGACTCGGACTGGAGCAACATCCAGCAGATGACTGGCGATGATTCTTGGAATCCGACGAACATGCGAGACAACCATTTGAACAGCAAATTCTACGACTGGCAGGTTACCATGCCTTCAGATCCCACGATTCTGGTTCGAGATATCAAATTGGCGAAGCACTTGCTCGGTGGAGCTGCTCAAGTAGGACTCGGGTTCTCTCCAGTCAGTGCTCTCACAGGACTCGGCGAAGCACTCCTCGTCAGCCCGAACGGCGGCTACCCTGGGCGAGACTCTGCGGAAGGCTTCTTCCAGATCCCGCTCATCATGAATGGTGGTGAGAGGCAGAGCGTCCGCGAGCGCATCGTGGGCACTGTCGACAGCGGATACCCGATACCGATCATGACGAACACCTTTGTCACCAAGATCAACTTCAGGCCCGATAGGAAAAGTGGCAAGCCTGGAGCCAAAGGCGTCAGCTACCCCAAAAGATGAGTATCTGTACAAAGCCAGCCCGCTCAGTGGAGCATCAGGTACCCCGGGCAAGGTGTCGGCGAGCAGGGACCTACAATAAGGTACAGCTACTCAAGCTCTCCGGCATCTGTCCTTGCAAAGAGCTCAGGAAGTTCGGCATCAAAGTGCGTTCCAACCTTTTAGGCTTGGGGACCAACATGCAAGATCGCTACGAGATACCAGTCAACACCAAGCATCCTGACAAATTCCCCATCCTCGATGGCTGCACCTTCGATATGAAGGCTCAAGACAAGTGCTTCGACCAATGGCTCAATGACCCCTACGTTCTCGCCCAGCGAGGCGCTTACGCCACCGACGGCCTTGCGGCAGCCATGGCACAAGTGTCAACCACCGCCCCGACAGACGACATCGATCTTTTCATCTTTGGCGGACCGATCAACTTCCGTGGCTACTTCCCTTGGTCGGGTAACTAGGCTGTCCAGGATCACAAGCACTACAGCTGGTACACACTCAAAGCGCACACGCGCAACAAAGCCGGTACCGTGGAGCTAAGATCTACCGATCCGCTCGAGCAGCCAGAGATCAACTTCAACTACTTCGACACCGGCACGACGGAGGACGGCGCGAATCAGAAGGATCTCCAGAGTCTCATCGGAGCCATCAAGATCTCCCGTGGCGCCCTGAGCCACTTCAACGACTTCGACCTTGTCCTACCAACCTCCAACTTTATAGAGCAGTACCCAGGCCCACGCGCGGATACCGATGAGGAGCTAGGCACCTACATCAAGCAGGTGCTTGGGGCCATCATGCATGCTGTACTGCGCCAATTGGAATTGACGGTGACCCGATGGCGGTGCTGGACTTGGAGTTCAAGATTCGCGGAGTGGAAGGCTTGAGAGTGGTGGATGCGATTGTGTTCCCGAGGATTCTGGGGGTTTTAATCAAGAGTGCGATTATGATGATTAGTGAGAAGGCGGCGGATCTGATCATTAAGGGGCGTGAGGGGTGAGAGATGGGTTCAATGAGTAGTTTTAGAGTAGCCTCGTCGTTGCAATGAGACGCTACTAAAGTCTCGAGGCAGTCTTGTCAAGCTCTCACCATCACGCATCATCTTGTGTCAAGCACTCTAGAAGCCCTTCACAATTCAATTTATCTCGACTTCTTCCAGTGTCACCCACTTGAGCTGTAGGTTCTAAGGCATCCAGGCCGAAGTCTTGGCATCGGTGAAGCTGCCCTTCAAAATCCTTCTTCAGACCTCACTTTCAATCTCGCGAGCAGCCAACGTCGATCTCCACCTTCACTATGGCGCTCACTGGATCTCGAACGTCGCTGACAAGCGCTCTGCCGAAACCGAAGTACTCAGGCGAAGACGAGAAATTGCCGACGCACACTCAGCAAAAAGGTCCCAGAGTCGTCGATGCTAGGGAGCTCGAATCGTCACAACTAGTGGTCAAGCGCGCTGGCCCACCACCCTATGGACAACGCTCAGGATGGCGACCTCGAAACCCGGAAGACTTCGGTGATGGCGGCGCTTTTCCAGAGGTACCAATGGCGCAGTATCCGCTGGACATGGGACGCAAGGGGGGCGCGTCGAGCTCGAATGCGCTGGCGATCCAGGTGGACAATGAAGGAAAGGTTAAATACGACGCCATCGCCAGACGCGGGCACAATGAGAAGAGGATCGTGCATGCGAGCTTCAAGGATTTGATACCGCTACGACAGAGGGCAGACGTGGGTGAAATTAGCTTGGATCGGCCGAGCCAGGAGGAGGTGGAAGAGTCGAAGGAGCGGACACAGAAGGCGTTACAAAGCTTGGTGGATGGTACGCTTGCAGCGCAGAAGCCGAAGAATATCAAGGGCACTACAAGACCGGAGCCGACGTTTGTGCGGTATACCCCCGCGAACCAGATGGGGGACAATTCGAAGAAGCAGGATCGGATTATGAAGATTGTGCAGAGGCAGCAGGATCCGATGGAACCGCCGAAACACAAGATCAAGAAGATCCCTAGAGGGCCGCCGTCACCTCCGCCGCCTGTCATGCATTCGCCGCCTCGCAAGCTTACGGCAGAAGATCAGGAAGCGTGGAAGATCCCACCGACAGTCTCGAACTGGAAGAATCCTAAAGGTTACACTGTGCCGCTGGACAAACGCTTGGCTGCTGACGGCCGCGGGTTGAAGGAGGTCACGATCAACGACAGGTTTGCGCAGTTTGCGGAGGGCTTGTCGACTGCTGACAGGCATGCGCGTGAAGAAGTGCAGCAACGACAGCGGATGCAGCAGCGTCTTGCCGAGAAGGAGAAGCAGGAGAAGGAGGACAAGCTGCGGATGATGGCGCAGAAAGCCCGGGAGGATCGCGAAGCAGCCGCTGCGCCCAGACGAGAATCAGGAAATGCGCGCTCCCGCAGCAGGTCGATGGACAGCCGCAGCTCATACTCTTCGGCCTCGTCCCGCTCAAGGAGCAGAGGCAGCGATCGTGAGGAGGGTGGAGAGCGCGACCGCCGCGACCGTGAGCGAGTGCGAGCAGAACGCCGTCAAGCAGCCCAACGTGAGATGCGCCAGAAGAACATGGGCCACGAACGCCGCATCCAAATGATGGCGCGCGAGCAGAACCGCGACGTCTCCGAGAAAGTCGCCCTCGGCCTCGCCAAACCCACCCAAAACAAAGAAGCAATGTACGACTCCCGCCTCTTCAATCAAAGCTCCGGCTTCGCCGCGGGCTTCAACGAAGACCAAGCCTACGACAAACCGCTCTTCGCGGAGCGCGACGCGCTGAACAGCATTTACCGGCCGCAAGTCGGGGATGACGATGATGGGGACGACGGGGGCGAGACGCTGGAGAAGATCCAAGGGACGAAGAGGTTTGAGGGGCTGGGCAAGGCGCCGAAGGAGGGTTTTAAGGGCACGGAGACGACGGAGGAGAGGAGTGGGCCGGTGATGTTTGAGAGGGATAGAGGGGATGATCCTTTCGGGGTGGAGGCGATGATTAGTGAGGCTGCCAAGGGGGCGAACAAGAGAGGGGCGGAAGAGGAGGTGGGGAGGGGGAAGGGGAAGAGGGCGAGGGTGGATGATGAGTAAGAGGGTGGAAGAGAACAGTACGTATCGATTCAAGAAGTGTTACATACATGCTCCGGTGGGTGCTACTGTCCTTTGCTTGATTCATGTTGTTCGATACACCTTTCCATCACTGGCAAAATCGTGAAGTCTTGCTCCTTTTCAAGCAGCAAACACAAATACCACTTGCCCTTCTCACGGGGCACAGTGATGCGGCTATGAACTAGAAACATGAAAAGGTGACCACTAGGCCCTACTAACATGAGCGAAGAAGATTGCAAACGGACAAGGCAAGGAGGGACATTCATGAGCAAATTCACAGTAAGTGAAACTACGAAAACACAACGGATCCATAAAGCGTATCCAAAAGAAAAGGAGGCACCACCTCTACAACTCCTCCACACCATACCACACCAAAGGACAAAACCCAACGGGCAAAAGAACACCCCCTTAACGTCGTCAGACCTCGGAGGTCAAGAAACCTAATCGAATAAGTTTACTTGAGTTGTGTCGCCTCATCTTGGAGAGTTCCGCCTCATAATCGTGGGTATGAGGGACCTCCGTATACGGGGTTCTACGATGCCCTTCGTAGGGTTTCGAACCATGGTTGCAACAGCTCGGTGCTGTTAAGAATCGGCGGGGACACCTCAACGGGATGAGGCACTTTGGCACAGGGGCTCTTTCAACTAAATTGCAAAGGGGCGAGTTTGAGTCATCAGGGACCTCTACCACTGCCGGGGGGGGGGGCTCACCAACCAATTGATTGATACGAACAATCAATTGACTGGGGAGTTTGAACCCTTGCAATTTGTTCTTCAAGCCGCTACGCTTGGGGGGCGAAGGTTGAAGTTGGGGGATATTAATATGTATTGTGGGTTTAGTGCCGCAGTGCCGCCGGCTGTCATGCGAGGGGAGTGGGTGATGTCACTTCATTTGCGGCGGAGGGCGAAGATGGGGGACTACAGGAGGCTGCGGGAGGGCTTGGGGCGTCCATGAGGTGGAAGGGGGTATGGAGAGGTGACGCAGGGGGGTCATGGGACTGTTAAGAGCAGGGCGGGCTGAACATGCTTTGCATACCGCGAGCATTTCGAGAGCGTTGGGTCATTATTTGCCCTCTGTACTAAGAGCGACCTCACTTCACCAGCCAGCTTGAAGGATTTCACCAGCCACCAGCCACCAGCGTCGACATACGATTCACCGCAACATTGATCGCTCCATCACAGTCTTCATCCACAGCGCAACTGCTAACGCTGCTATTTGCCACCTCGTTCACCACGACAACCGCCATCCATCCAGGAATCTTCACCACGACTCTCATGATGACGACTCCTCCAGCAGAACCGGCAGATTCTCTGCGTGCGTTGCCAAACGTGCCCATGTGGATGATCCACGCCTTCGCCGGATGCTGCGCCTTCGTACTGACTATGGCTGTGGTCCTGATCCTGGCGCAATTCCCCGTCGATTCGGCGTGGGTGTACAAGATTATGCCGAAAGTTGCGCAGAATCAGACACAGTACTACATGGCGATCACGCAGGACGGTTGCGAGGTTCGTGAAGTGGGAGGTGGAGGCAACTATGCTTCTGCGGCCACAGATGAGGAGATGGCTCTCGGTGCGGTAGGAAGGCGGAACGCTGGGGCGAGGAAGAGGAAGCCGAAGAAGCTGAGCATCGATACCACTGTCGCCTATCACGGCTTGAGTATCGCTGTTCAAGGTGGCGAGCACGAAGCTGGCTACCATACATTCAACATCGACAAAGGTCATCCCAAGACTCCGGCCACCGGCGGATGGTTCACAGCACCACTCCTATCAGTCTCCACCTTCTTCAGCCAACGTGCGCCTACCTACTCACCAGCGGTCAAGAAAGAGGACGAGAACGCCGAACTTGGCTGTTCGTTCCACATGCCCTTCGACCACGGCGCGACTATGCACGTCAATCCTGCGACTTCGCCGTACGAGACTCCGCCCGAAGGCCACGAACGACACACATCTGGCAACGGCTTTCTGCACAAGGTGAATGGAAGCATCAGCTCTGCTGTGAACAAGGTGGCGAAAACCTTTCATGATCAGGTTACCGGGGCTGAGGAGGGACTGCTGTTGCCGGTGAAGGGGAAGGAGAGGCAGGCCGAAGTGGCGCCCGGAGTGTTCGTTGATTAGAACCATCCGACAGACGACGGTGGCGGGTGAGTTTTCTCAGGCGTGATATGGCTTCCTGTGGCAGTCATCAAGATTCATCAGTCTATGCTATCTTACAAAACGTCCAACATCCTTGCAATCACAACCCCCTCCTACTCTTCCACACCAAACATCCCAAGCATCTCCTCCCGCTTAAACATCCTCGCCGCCTCCACCGCATTCGGCTGCCCAGCCCTCAAATCCGCCCCCCTATCCACCAAGCACCTCACAACCTCCTCACTCCCCTTGAAAACCGCCCCCGCAATCGGACTCTGTCCGCGATCATTCAGCACATTCGCGTCCGCGCCGAGATCCAATAACGCTTTCGTCGTCTCGACGTGCCCGTGGTAAGATGCCAGCATGAGGAGCGTGTCGCCTTTGTGGTTTGTCAGATTGACGGGGATGCCGGCGGAGATGTATTGGGTCAGTTCTGGGGTTTTGCCTTCGCGGGCGAAGTCGAAGAGTTTGGAGGCGAGGGCGAGGGCTTCGGGTGGCAAGGAGGTGGCGGAGGTTGGTTTGGTTGATGAGGGCTCTGCGGAGGAGTCTTGTTGTTGTGGGAGGCCCATGGTTGTTGTTCTGGCGTCGTTTTTGGAATTCTGGTTGGTGTTGTTGTTTGAGGAGAGTGTTTGTCGAGAAGATGATATTTACATTCACTGAGGTCATTGATGCCAAGGATCGCCTTGTAACTTCCTATTTGGGCCTTCTTTTCGCCCCCTTCAGGTCAATCACGAGCAGACCAAGACCGGCTTGCATTTCTCCAGCCCTTTTCACTGCCTACGGCATATCAACGAGAGGACGAGCAACAGAAACGCACTACCAGCCAAGTTTCACAGGCTCAAACACTGTTCATTCTCCACCGCACCACAACAAACTACCCAGCTACACTACTCCCTCCCATCCCCAACACCACCACGCCATGCATTCACGCTGCGCCATCGCTGGCAACCCACCCCAACACCGCTCACCATCCCGCTTGCTTCCCATATCATTGTGCTCATGCCGCGTTCGCCTTTGGTGCATCGCTCATTGATCAACGACGTATATGAATGTATACACCGCGCATTCTTGCTTCTCGATATCAAACTCTTACAATCAATTCCGCTCCTTCCTCTCCTCTCGCCCACTTCTCCGATTCATCAATAGTATCGCCTCTTTCTTCACTAAACCCCGTCCCCTTACAAGCCGGGCAAAGCAACCCCCCCAATTCCTCACGCCGCACAGGCGGCGCCTTCGCAGTACGAGCACAAATCCGGCCCGCGGTTTCCGCATCAACAGTCACGAGCCTCCCCTGCTCGGAATCCCACACCCGAATCTTGTGCTGCCCGTTACTCTCTCCCGGCGCGCTGCGCTTCTTTGAAGTACTACCGTTGCCGGCGGATGATGCACGCTTGCATATGCTGTCGTCTATGAAATGGATGGAGTCGTCGTGTTCGGCGTCTGCAGAGCCGTCGAGAGCTGTGGCGATAGTTCGATCTGCACCGTCCTACCGGATGTTCAAACTCTCATACCGCACAGCATTACTCCGATTCCGATTCGGGTGCTCCAGCCCCAGATGGTCGTCCGGATGCAACTTCTCTGACAACACATCATCTGCCACAAAAAAGTTAGCCTCACTCCACAACATCGCTCCACCATACACGAAGGCAACTCACCATCCTCAACCCACACAGGCCTAACATAACTCTGCCCCCCCTTCACAATCGCAAACCGCACTTTCTCAAGCTGCTTTCCCTTAATCCCCGTCCTTCTACTCAACCTCTCCTTCGTCTCGGCAAACCCCTCCCCTTCTTTCAACAAGAAAACAAAAGGAATCCCATGCGCCTTCGCCGGCTCCTTTTCAAAATGGAAACAACTGACCAACCGATCCCCTTTCTCAAAGTCCATGGATTTTTCTTCCTCGGAGACGCGTTCGGCGTAGATGGTCATGAAATCGTTCAACGCTACGACGCCGTGAGAGAGTGGGAGGAGTTTGTACACTTTACACGCGTGGGCTTCGTAGAAGCGGATCTGATCGAGCAACTCGTCCGGCAGCGCGGCCTTCTTCGCCAGAGCCGCGAGCACGTCGGTGAACTGCGACTGCTTGTGCATCAGCAGGTGGTACTCTTCGTCCTTGGCGATGCCCTCGCTAAGCCAGTTGATGCGGACGGTCTTGCGCTGCTCGAGGTCCGTGAGGCTCATCTCCAGCACCTCGTAGAACATGTGGTCGGGCGCTTGGGTGGGGGCGTAGCCGCCGTAGCCGCCGTAGCCGCTGCCGGCGAGGAGAACGTTGGCCATGGTCGCGCCGGCTTGGCGCTTGACGATGGATTTGGGCTTGCCGGATTGGATGTGTACGGTGGTGAAGCGGAGATGGGAGGGGTCGACGGGGGTGGCGCCGGCGGCGGAGAGGTATTCTGCGACTTTGATGGCGAGGGCGTCATAGCTGTCTTTCTTTGAGAGAGGGATGCGGAAGATCTCGTCGCCTTCGGTGCGAGGCTGGTAGTTCTGCATCGGGATGAATTTGGGTGTGAAGGTGACGTAGATCCTATTGATGAGGAAGTCGTAGAACTGTGGCGCGACCAGGCTGGCTGTGGGGTTGGTCTGCTGCATCGCTGCCTTTTCCTCATCGCTGAGATGTCGCTGGAAACAGACGATGTCACCGTCCTGGATCTCAGATGCAAGCAGAGTCTGCTTCGGCTTCATAGGCTCGATGAAGTTCTGCTTAATCTCTTCATACATCTCCAGCGAGACGCCAGGCTCCCAGTTCATCAGCTGCAGGATTGGGACAGCGAGGTCCTGGCCTTTGTCCATGGGGTTCATGTAGATGTGGCCGACTCCCTTGAGCAGCTGTTGGTCAACGTCGAAATGCTTCAAGAAGACAATGATAGGCTTCTGCTGTGCAACATTGCCGTTCACAACAGGCGAAGCGGGGGTCGGAGGCTCGCTTGACACCCAGTTGGGCTGGCCGTCTTCACCTCGCTCAGTCTCTTCCATGAACACACGGAAGCCAGAGTTTCTGGTGCTGTATTTGTCCGCAGCTTCTTGGAGCGTCATGTCCTGCCACGTCAGAGCTTGATCGGGTCGGACAGTACCGTTCTGCCGATTCACCATGATCCATGGCCGTATCAGCTCCTTGTCCAGTTCCTGGTCGCGAGCGATGAAATCCGTGAAGTCTGAGACCGTCATACTCTTAAGCAGCCTGTACACCTTCGGAGCTGCTGGATCGTCGCCATCGTCGGTGTTCCAGGGTATCAGATCAGTGCCGTGGAAGTCCTTGAAGTTTGATTCCAGAGCAACCTGCACGTTCATGTACAGATGCGCCTCCTCACGCTCCTTCTTCCGCCTCTCGAGCGCTGCCCGCTCTTCAGCGAGTTTCGTGGGCAGGTGTTCAGGCGGCTGCACTTCGCTGTCCGGGAGGATGATGTTGTCCAACTTGCTCTCGCGCACGTAAACCAGCATGTACGCGTTATTCGACCGCTTCGTGGACCATTGCCTTGTGTATGGGTTCTGCGTCTTGATGTTGCCGTTCACTCCATTCGGTGCGTAGTCGCCACCGAAGTTGTCGTCGATGGCTTCTCGTTTCGTCGAGCGAGTCACTCGGTCATCGTCGAATCGGTAGAACTGGCCGTTGGCGTCCCGCTTCAGGAAAGCGTAGTAATGGCCTGCGTTGAGATCTCCAGAATGTACCAGTACGCCGTGGAGATGGTAGATGTAGGGTTCTGACTTGTCTGCACTCTCATCCAGATACGGCGATGCATCCCAGATCTCTGGGAACTCGTACCGATCGTTGACCTTCATCATGGCGTCGCGGTTGAAGTCGTACTCGAAGCGCTTTAGCTGGAGATGCAGAACGTTCGGAAAGCTTTCGAAGATGACGCCCTTCTTCGCGTCCTGCAATCCGTACCCTTCCGCCATGTACTTGTTCTCGCCCTCCAGAGTCTCGACTTGGATGTAATCCCGGAAGCTGTCGTCCAGACTCTTGCAGCCTGACACGTTCAGCTGCAAGTCCCAGAAGTCCTCTATCCGGCTGGACTCGTAATCGACATTGATGCACTTCAGATATGTCTTCATCTTTCCGACAAACATGTTGGGGAGTGCATTCTCAGCTTCCGTGCCCTTCATCCGTGCCTCCAGCTTCTCCATCAATATCCTCGAGAGTTCTTGCACATCCTGCTGCTCGAAAATCTGCCGGCTCTCCCATCCAAACGAGTGTGTAAGCTCTTGAGTCGACACCGCTGCTTGGTCCGCTTGCAGCCGGTAGAACAGTCGTTGCAGGGCGTATGCTGATGTCGAATTCTGTCGATCCTGGTCTGTCGCCGTTGGTATCTGGTACACTGCTTTCCGAAATGCTCCAGTGAGATACAACGATTGCAGTAGTGAGTTGAGGTAGCATGTGGCGCCCTGATTCCGCAGCCCGACCATGCCTGTCTCCTTCTTGCTGTCGTAGTTGACGAAGTTGTGCCACAGCACACCAGTGGGGTCCTTCAAGACCCTCACATAGGCCGTCACCCTCGCGCAGTCGTTCTCGATCATCGGTCGGTCATGCCCATCAAACTTCGCCGCGAAAATCCGGTTCTTGTCCGCGAATCTCGTGAATCCCCAGTCTCCCTCGTCGACGGTGAAGCGGTGATGTGCTTCATGATGAATGTATATGGATGGATCGTTGGGGTTATGCAGAACTAGCATGAATTGCGCGCAGGCATACCAGTCATCCGGCGGCTTCTCCTCATCGAACCCTTGTTCTAGATAGAAAGACACGCTCTCTGAGGCGGCATTCCCGGCGGGGAAGAATAGTATGCGCCATGGGTGTCCTGCGCAGTGAAATGTCGGTCCATGTGTCCTCTTCGGCAGGTTCCTCCAGTTCTGGATGTCCCATGTGTGGAATGTCTCTGCTTCTGTCTCATATTCGGGCAGCGCCGGCAGGAACCGGTCCCGCATGGCTTCGAAGTCATCCGCCGATGGTTGTGTGGCCTCTGCGGTGGGCTCTGGGTCGTCTATCATGCTGTCGGCGTCGTCGGGGGAGATGATGGCGACGTTGTCGTTGTCGTCGGTTGGTGTCATCATGTTGTCGGAGTCGAGCAGCATGTCACTGCCGAGCTGCGAGGCACGTCTTATGTCAGCGGTGGCTCGGGCGCGCTTTGATACGCGCGGCTGGCTCGTAAAAGCAGGTGAAAGTAGTACAGTGGAGGGACGAGAGCTTACCTGATCCATGTTGTGAGGCGATCAGTGGTATGCGCAGGCGGCAGTCGTGGGGGATGTCGTGGCTTCGTTTGCACGCTGTTTGCGAGCCAGCAGAGCGCAGTGGATGAGCAGCCGTCACGAGCGCCTGCTATGACTAGGAAGCCGGCCAGATGATGTTTGGGGGAGCAGTGGGGTGATGGTGAAGAGGTGTGGTCAAAAACTCATTCGTCGTCTGAACTGGCATCCGAGGCACGTCATTGGCTGGTCGGTGCTGAGCCAGCACAAAGGGAAGAAGGTGAACAAATGCAAATGCCAGACAAACTTGGAAGATTGCACTGCCCCAATCACGTGCCTATCAGCAGCTTCGCATTCACTTCGCTTGAACCGTGAAAAGCTTGACCAAGTGATGTTGGATTTGGGTGCGGTCAAGGAAGGCAACACAACAGGCTGCTCGCTTTGTGAGCTCCCCCACCATTTCTCAAGCCACATGCACCGAATTGCATCCGTGCGCGAGGCGTGAATCACATTCACATGTTTCTTCAAGTCTTCCAGGCGTGATGACCCAACATCGACATGAGGGTGAGCGCCAGGAATCTACTGAAGAACACCTTGGATCTACCGCCCTCTCTACGAACCCAAGCATATGCCACCGCTGCCAACACGAGCGCAGCCCAGCCATGCACAGTGCCACCATGGCGACCTTCCAACGTCCTAGATGACTGGGTCGCTCGAGACGTACGACCCATCTCCCTCCGCCAACTTACCTTCTTCGGCCGCACCCTCACGGAACCCCGTCTCCTGGAATCCGCCAACTATGTCCGCCTCGAACTCCCCACCCGTATCGCGCACCGCCTGCGCAACATGCAAACCCTCCCTTACACCGCCCTGACCAACGAGCACATCAGCCACGTCTACGAACTCTACTACGGCGCCTTCGAGCGCTTCCGCAAAGTCTCCGAAGTTCGTAATCTAGACGACAACGACAGGTACTGCGCCGTGCTCAAGCAGACCCTCAATGAGCACCTCTCCGTCATCCCACGTCTAGCGATGGGTGTGCTCGAGATCCAAGACACCATCGGCCCGGACCAGAGCGACCTGCTCATGAAGACTTTACTCCGCTCACGCATCAGCCGGCGGGTCATCGCAGAGCAACATCTCGCCCTCACAGAAACATTCCACTCCCCCTGGCACTTCCCCAACGCCAAGAAACCCGCCACCCTCACCCCGGAAGACGATTTCGTCGGCGAGATCCTGCTCAAATGCAACGCCAAAGAGATTATCGAGAAGTGCGCCGCCACCGCCACGCAGCTCGCATCCAAAGCCTATGGGAGCGAAGTAGCGATCCCGAAGATCGTGCTGCAGGGGCATCTGGACACGACGTTTCCTTATATCCCCTCGCACATCGAGTACATCATCGGCGAGCTACTGCGGAACAGCATCCAAGCGGTGATTGAGCAGAAGGGGTCGAGCGAGCCGCCGCCGATTGAGGTGTTGATTTGCGAGGCGGCGCAGCATGTTATTATCCGGATCTCGGATCAGGGTGGTGGGATTGAGCGGGACGTCCTGCCGTACTTGTGGTCTTTCGCCAAAGGCCCGCGACGGTATCGAAGGCTGGAAAATCTAGCGACGGTCCCGAGGTTGAAGGCTACGATGCAGGAACTCGAGCCCGGCGCTGCTTCGCACAGCGACAAAGTGAAGCATGGTAGTTCGCTGTCTTCGCTGTCGAGTCGACCGCCGGAGTTGCGTCTGGGGATGGGTTTGCCGATGAGCAAGATTTACGCCAAGTACTGGGCGGGTAGTTTGGAGCTGCATAGTCTGGAGGGCTATGGGTGTGATGCGTTTCTGCAGATTTCGCGGTTGGGGAATAAGAATGAGGTGTTGACGACAAGAGCGAGTATGGATGCTGTGTAGGGGTATGGGCATACACGGCCACTGGCGGCAGACTACGTACTGCTCTCGACGATGAGGAGCCCGGAACTACGGCTTTTGTCACACCCAATCCAACCTCGTGCCGTTCAATCCTGTCGAGACGCCACAGTGAAGTTAAGCTGAGCCACACCTGTGACATCATCGCTCTTACTTTGAAGCGCTACTCGCGACTCTTCGCGACACTTATATTCTCCCTCACACCCCCTACTCCTCCAAGCCAACAACACCCCCGTCAACCTTTCCAAACGTCTGCGACCACCGAGAACGACCGCCAAAATGATCTCAGCAATCCTCCTCGTAATCATCACAGTCTTCCGTTCGTCCCCATTCCCCCACCCACCCTGTCTACCTCAGGCACCATGAGATGCGCTTCCATACTGACCACGCCCGCGCAGTCCCACCCGTAGGCGTCGCAATCGTCGCAGGCTGCGGCGCCGACCTCCTAATCAACATCTGCCTCACGATCCTCGGGTTCTTGCCGGGGCACATTCACGCCTTCGTACGTTGCGCCCTTCTCCAACTCAACCCATCCCCTCTCCGACCACCCCAGGCGCGAAACCTCCCGCGATACCACGAGATGTGTTGCTGACCAGGACTATAGTATGTGGAATACATCTACTACTCCCGCCAAGAGCAAGCGCGTGAGGGAATTTATGAAAACAGGCGGGCGCCGGGGGTGTTTAGCGATAGGGTGCAGACTGGGGGACGGGGGTACGGGACGATGCCGCCTCCACAGCAGGCGCCGCCGCCGGGGTACCATTGAGGAAATGGGATTTGCGAGCTGCGTTGAGGCTGGGGATGGAGGAGATGGATTTTGGGAAGGGAAGGCGAAGTAGGAATGGGTTGGGGGAGTTTTAAGGATATACCCTGGTGCGTGGAACGGTTGTATGATATCGAGAGTGGATGCACGAGAATGCTCTTGGGTGTCCAGGAATCCAGCCGCCTTGACGGCCAGCAGTTCTCGTATCCTCATTCTCCTCTACCGTGCCAGCGCGTTCCACTCTTGTCTATGCCTATGCAATGCTGCAAACCCTTTCTCTCGTGGAGAACTAGCCCAAACTCCGCCCGCTTGAACGCAGCAATTCACACCCCGCTCGAGTGCCTCATGTAGCTCCCAAGAACGATCCGCTCTCAGACCAATTTCCGAGACTTCTAACCCCCAGCCATCGCATCCCCCACATCCTCCATCTTCCCATTCATCCCGTTCACCCCGTTCACCCCGTTCAACCCCGCCCCGGCCCGCGGGCGCCGCGGCGGCGCCCGGCGGGGCGCCCGCCGCCCGGGCGGGG